TTAACATGAGTCCAGTAGAGCAGGCAGGTTACTTGCCTCTAATGTATTTCAAGTTACATGGGGCAAATATCCTGCCCGCCTACTGGCTTCGTGTAAACATAAACGCGGCTTTTGAGATAAAACACTTCACTGCTGTGTACCGTATCCAATTTACAAATAACAAAAAATACTCCCGTTGCGATATATCTGATTTTGATCAGCCAAAGTCAGTATAAACAAGTCGTCCAATCAGTTTCAGTAATTCACATCAGTGTACTCCGTTGGCAACTCAATTCAACTACTATTTTGATTCAAAGGCAAGCGACAACTCCGAGGTATAGAATGTCTAGTTTAATAGTCAAAGCTTCAAAAGACAGTCGCTTTTATTTCTGAATAAATAATAATATTTTTAATTCGCAGGTCCTGTTTGCTAGACATGTGTGAATGTCCTGGCCGCAAGTGCTATTGTGAGTCGTTCACAGCGTACGCTCACGAGTGCGCGAGGCTGGGTGTCAACCTACCGTCGTGGCGTGAGGACACTGGCTGCCACGCGCTCTACTGAGTGCTGCTCCTCTCGCGCTCGAGCGCAATACCCACTCACTAGTCAACTCCACTCCCCCTACCCCCACCCCTCACCTAGCGCCAGTTAATTGTGAGTATAAATAAATTAATATAGAGCTAGGTTGATTTTTTTGGTTTCTTCATTAATTGCATTTTTATGTAAGATTATTTAGTGGTTAGAGCTAGGTTTACCTAACCACGGAAGCAGAGTGCAGATAAGCGATTTTCCGCTCGTCTGCTCTGCTTCTAGGAAAACGGTATCATTAAAATTACCAAGAACAAGAGGAAAGCAGACTCGGCTCGTAGTAATACCCAGCTTTAATGAAAGTAGTAAAAACCCCTTAAAATTATTGGAATATATTGTGTATCGAACTTATCCTCCAGCACCAAGTCCGATAATTTATAGTAATCGGTGCTTGTTCAGATGATAGACAAATATAAATTACTAGAAATCGCTAGCATAAGATACAAGTTTTGTTTAGGTCAATGAACAAAAGTAATTTAGTTGATCATAAGTTTTGTGACGTTTGTATCAGAACGTGTCTTTAGATGTTTGTACATCTACCTTATTTTACGTGGGAAGGAACCTAGAAAAATGTCCAGTTGTCAAGCTTGGAGCCAGTCGCTTGCCAGATTTTTTTTGTGAGTAGGACGCTAGCCTAGCTTTGGATCGAATAATTTCTTATCCATATCATTGTTGTTGTTGCAGATACCAGTGAGATCGGCGCATTGTTGTTGTTGTTAGTCGTTGTCGTGTCAGTATTCCCGCTTTGCCGGATGTGGAGCACAATTTCGACCAACCGTTGACATTCTGCTTCGACATCCTTGTAGTTAGTGACTGGATCACGTGTTGTATATATTTATACAGTTGCAAACTAAGTGTATTTTATTTATGTTAAATAAAAATACAGCGAGAAGCCGAAAAACATTTGATTCATTCGAGAGAAGCTGAGCAATATATGAATTTAACTTGTCAACAATGTATATAACTTTGAAAAAAAATTGTAAAAAGTGATGTGACAAAAATAAATAACAAATCATTAAAATTTAAAATTGGAAAGAAATACTTTTACCTTTTTAAAACACTGTTAAGGAATCTATCAACCAATGATGTTACTTAATAAAAAGTAAAATTATAAACTCTTGAACCATTTTACTGAGTTCGAATTAGTATTGTTTCGCCCTAAAAAATCTTTACACAATATCAAAATTAATTCACGAAGCTTCAAATTTAAACAAAATGTTTTTCGGCTTTACACAAAATGTTTAATATATTAAATTGTTTATTTGATAAGTATTAAAGTAGATATAGCAAGTTATATACCATTAAGCCTAGTTTAATGATTATTTTTATAATTAGAGTAGGATTATAGGACCTAAATGTTTACCTTTTGATTCACTGTTTACAATTATCTACCAAAGACAAATGTAATCGTTCATTCACTCGTAAAAACTCATCGTTCAATAATCATCTATTTTTTTCCTTTGTTTATGTTGAGGTTTATTTGAGTGTCAATGTATGTTTGATTGAACAATTTTACTTTCTTGATTGCTATATTTTTTTAAGGTTGGCAGCCTCTTGGAACAAGAAACTTTGGATTGTACTTGACTAGAGGTCTATGGTCAAAGTCTAGAGGACTAGAACACTGTTAATTATTTATTTTGAAAAATCTCTTAGAGGTTGAAAAATGTTTTAATTGAAATATACGATAACAATAATGTTATAATATATTTTTAATATCGTTGAGTGGAAAATGACAAATGTTATTGCTTGGAATGATGTATAACTACTTTTATACTAAAGTATTAAACGTTGAAAGAATGTATACAAAAGAAAAATGAACAAACAAGGTATCTTCGACAAGAACCTCTTTTTAAAAATCCTTGCGTTTATTTATTTGATAGGAATTTATTGTTTTGGCTGGTCCAAATTTAATGTAAGTTTTTTTATGTTGTGTTTGATGAACAGACCTATGTGAACATAAGAAGCATACTGAAATTAATAGAATTATGAAATTAAATGTAATAACTTAGGTAAAGAAATATTTCTATAGCTCTGTTAACTTTTTAACTGCACTGTTATTCCCCTCTTTGAGGAGTATACTGTTAGGATGTACGTTTTTACACGTCTTACTTTCCTCTTTATTTTTCTGTTTACTATTACAATACTTCCCTTATACTACTGAAAACTGTACTATATAGTGCAACACTTGATCGATAATAAAAAAAATGTTCATCTTTCCATGACCGTCATCAATTTAATAAGCACAAACTGAAAAAAAAAACACCAAAATATTCATTATTAATATATAAAGCTACAAATTCTTTGAATATTTAATATCGGGCTGATGATTTTTAATTTGTAATTTAAAAAAATAATACGCAGGTTTAATAAAATTTATAAAATTACAAAGTATAGAGCTTTACTTCATTGTGCTGTTTATGTGTTAAGTTATTTAGATGTGTTGTATTAAGCGTTAAACCTATTAAGAATCAATTTAAAAATGTTATGTGAACTTTTTGTCTTATGATAAACTCCTTAATGCCTTAAAAGGTGATTAAATAAATTGATGAATTTTCTAAATGTTTAAAGCATACGAGAAAGGTCATGTAATTAGTATACAGTAAAATTTCTTAACTTTAGAATTTGTTTGTCTTTAAGAAACTTCAATTTTGGATAAGCATGGATTTTATCCTTTTGAAATATTTCTTACTATTAAAATCTACTAGGTTTTACTTCCCTTAACCCACAAAAATTTCTTCAATTTTTGAAAGACCTTTTAGATAAAAATTAGAAAGAATTTTAATAATTTTAAAATTGTAATGATTTTCTCCAATCAAAAGGAGACAGTTGTAAAGATCTCATGATATCCATCACCATGTCTGTAAATAGCCATAATTTCAAGCAATGTGTTCCTAATGTATTTTACTATATTAATATATTTTAGGTAGTATTTTTATTTGGTTTGTAACTATTGTACGAACTGGAAATATCTCTATAGTGTAATTATTTTTGTACATAGCCTAGTGAAAATTATTTAAGAAGAGGTGCAATTGTATGTAACTTGTTCGATGTAATTTGATTCATTCCTATAAAATATTAAATAAATTCTTCAACTCTATTCTCAAGAGAAATGTGATCTTATGAGGTATTTGTACTGTGATAATGTTTCCTTCTTCTTTAACTCCTTAACACATTACAACTAGTCCTTTGATGTTAATTTTTGATGATGGTGGGTTTTGGGCTTTGGGTTTGATGATTATTAATGGGGACCTGGGTGTGTATTTTAACCCAAACATGAGTGAAGGATGAGTGTAGAATGGTATGAGATGATCTGTGTAGCTTCGTTACTAAGATAAGCGGTTTCAGCAGCCGGGATCATTTATTTAAAGCCCAATGGTCAGGAACAACTGGGTCCAGACATCGAACCATCAAAAAGCTACTGACTTTTCTCAGGATTGACTCGGCGACCTTTTGATTGTTAGACAAGCACTATAACAACTGAGCTACCCATCCATGTGAATAGTGTTTGAGATATTACTGCGGACATTTTCCATAAAGATTGGTGAAAAAAAACTTTCAAAACACTACATGGAAATTATCGCATTGCCACACCTGTTAACAATACTCAAATTGATTAATTTATGCTTTATTCATTTGTGCACTATTCCTGCACGCTAAATCAGCTGATTTCACTGTTCATGTTTCTATAAGACACTTAATATCTGGTAAGCAAATAACATAACCTACTGTAGGGCCACGAGAGTCTGCAGTTGAAGGAGGAGTCTATTTATCACATGACTTCCAAGGAGCCAATGAAGACCGCACATTGTTGCCACATCTAATAATAGATTAAAACATGTTTAGTATCTTTTAAATAACATACTATCAAACTTTGCTCTGGTTATTTCTGTCATATCTTATTTACTTTAGATTGACCAATTACGTTAGTTGTTTAGTTTGACAAATGTGTTTCAACGGTGGAAATTTATAACAGCTGAGTTGAAAATCTTGTTTGTGTAATTTAAATAATGTTGCCACGGCCCGTGAGGGCAGGCGATGTGGCAACGACACGCTAATCCGATCTTGGTATTGGCTGCCTACAACTTCAGACTTGTGGCCAGTACAACGAATGACATTTTATATACAGCTAAAAAGTTAATCTCTGTTTTATGATAAGTCAATTATGGTCCTAGGAAAAATCTGTGCGGCCATCTACAGTTCTTGGGCATCAATGACATAATTTGCGCTCTTAATACACAAATAGCTATTTCAAAACATTTCAGGGTCTGGAATGATCCCGTCCTCAAGTGGGAAAGTATAATGAACAACAATGGTAATTTGGTGCAGTTGGTTTCTGCTATAGAAAGATACCTTACTTTTAAAATACAGTACCTTATAAAACGTAGTGAACAAAATGTTAGATGGATTAGAAAGGGTAATAAAATAACTCAAGTAATTATAGCTTCATACAGTGAAAATGCATTTGTACTTTTAAAGTAATGTATATATTTACATCAATAGACTAAACAATAGACTTAACACTAATAGAAATCTTCTTCAGCCACTTTATTCGAATCCTGTTGGTTTTTTATTTGGTCTTGATTTTTGTACATGTCTGCAATCTGTGAAAGGAAAAGTAGTAATTATTTAATTAACTAAGGAAACTCATGGTTTTAAGCTGTTAAAGGCTATGAGAAATTTCATTTGTGATTTAGTAGTACTTCAACTACAATATACAGGGTTTCCTTCACTATAAAATATTAAATTTGAATTTGATTATGTCTTTTTTTTTGTTTTAACATAAACTTTGCTGATAACCTAACCTGACCTAAAATAACCTTACCGTAAACATGATTTGTACATAACAACATTCCTAAGTGAAAAACTCATAGTGGTAGTGAATTAACGGAAAAGGTCCGCAAGTTTTGTCCGAATGTAAAGACAATTTATACCTGTTGCGCAGATGTCGCTTCTTCCGCTGATTTGTCCTCTCGCACTCTCATAAACCGAGGGAATCTCAGCGAAATGCCTTTGTCTGGATCGACCTGTCAGCAAATAGTCTTGAATAGCATCATTTTTTTTTTATAAACAAAAGAGGGCTAAAATCTAACTTGGCCAAGAATAAAGGATGAACATAGAGGGTAATTTTTAAGACTTTTGTGGGGATAGCATACTTATCTGAATGGGAAAGAGTTCAAACTGGCACAACAAACACAAAACTTTACACTACACAAAATATTAGAATATTTTACTGTCGCTGACAGCATTTTCTACCAAGAGCGTTTTGAGTAGGGAAGTGAGAGTTCATTATGACTATTTTCTGCAAAAGGCCATCATACTTCACTGATAAAAATAAAAAGTATCTGAAATAAGAAGGCAGCTGGTAGGTTAGGTAAGGTCAAATACCTTCCTAGATCAAATACGCACCTATACTCCATTCAAACAGCCGTGGCACCTGACGGATTAGGAGACCCCATGGAAAACCCTTGCGGCCTCCTAATCCCTCAGGTGCCACGGCTGTTTGAACGGAGTATAGGTGGCGTCCCCATCACAAATAATAAATGTGAAAGTTTGGATGTTTGTGAGTACGTCACGTTTCGATTATTCCACTAGAGCTGAATATACCACAGATGAACATAAGACTATTCTTATTTTGAAACACTGCTAGGACTCTGCCACACTGGCTTCCAAAGTTGACGATATTCTTATGATTCGAGTTTCTAAATTGGTGTCAACCAGCTGCTTGTCAATATTTTTGTTGGTTTATTTACAATAATTGGGTTTGACCATTACATTGGATAAAAAGAATTAAATATAGACCGTCAGCTGTGCTGCGGTTACCATAGGTTCTGGCGCACACCGCTTGCGTACGCCGTTAACTACATGGCGCTCCAAGCGATGTGCGCCAGAACCTATGGTAACCATGGTAACTGCAGCACGGCTGACGGTCTATATTTAATTCTTTTTGTCTATGATAAAACACAGTTAAATGAGCTGATGTTAAGTCAGTTTACGCAAGTTTCGTAGGCGTATTCAACTCTTAACTATAATTTACATCAGCATATTCTGTCATTCTGTCGGTGGTTCAGTTGTACAACAATATTTTTAAAACTGGTGACAAAATATGGGGTTGGAACATCTAGCTCTATCAATATTTGGTATTTTTACTTAGACTTTCTAATGTCACTTACGATGCCAATAGCAGCGTGATGTACAGGAGACAAAGACAAGTCTGCGCACTTGACCTCCCAAACTTGCGCTGCGTCGAACCAGTGATCGGGCTCGTGGCCGGAGTCGTAGCGATAGTACGGTCGAGGACTCGGAATAATGGATGTCTTCAAAGTCTCGGAATGTTTTTGTAATGCCTCGTCACTGAAGCCGGTACCAATCTGTGAAAAAATGTTCTTTTGAATGTCTCACTCAAATAGGCTTACTAATTATTGTATTCTATAAACTAAATATTCTTGTTTAGCAATTACTGTATTGTGTACCTGATTGTTTTAATACCAAAAACAGCTGATGTTCATTATTCTAGATACAGTACAACTCCGGGAATTTTAAAGAAAAATCCTCATTTTCGGTACTAAATGAACTTTTAACTTTTAATTAATAATAAATAAAAATCAGAACATTTTTACAGTTTACAATGCTCATAGTACAAGTGTTCTGTACATGTTATTAAGTTAATAGTGTTCCATCAAAGTCCAAAATTACACACTGGCTAAATGTGTTTAATAACAATTCTTTGGTATTTTGCAAAACTTATTACTGTAGCTTTACGTTTTTAAAATTGATGAAGTAAGCAATTCGGATAATCGGCGATTCGGTTAATTGGAGTTCTACTGTAATTAATTTTTCAAGATTTGAGCTATTTCAGCTAATAGAAAATTGATAAGGCAAATCAAATCCAAGTTCATTTTAACTTATTTTAAGTGATTTCAAAAATTTAAATAAGTTTACTAATGATTCTTTTGCATTAAAATGCTTAATATGTTTAGCAATATTATGTTTATTAATATAATTAATAATTGAAACAAATTTAAACCCTTATTGGACCTTTGTCATTAAATTGACTAACCCCTATAAGTTGTATGCAACACAAAAAACAAAAAAAAAACCAATGGTAGTGAATTAACAGAAAACAGAGTATAATAGAGAGAGGGTATAATACTACTCAGACTAGCATAATCATATTTAAAAATTTTCAAAAACACTTTAACAAATGCGAGGATGATATAGCTCCACCAGACTGCAGGATTTCCTAAGCGCTCCTGGAGCTCTGAGCTTTTAATTAAATTAAATTAAAATAATTAACTAGGCAAAACCGTAGAACAGCTTTATATCGCACCTTGGATTTCATCGGCTCCTTCTGAGCACTCCGGGGAAGAAATTTAAGTGTTACTGGTTTAGAGGTAGGCGTAGCCTGTTTTGCGAATTTATTCTCCCCTCATAATTTACGTCACAAATGAAGTAAAGAAGGCAGGGCTGCTAACATGTGAGCTTGTTTTGTCTCTCTAAATACCTTGTAATTTGGACTGTGTTTAAAAAATTTGAATTTTACTACTTTACGATGAAACAATGAAAACCAGATGAATCATTCTATGGTGAAAATACTGTTTCTCCAAGTCCTCGCTCACCTTGCAGACCGTTTGATATTCCTCAGTGTCAGGGTTGTAGCAAGCCAGAAGGAATCCTCCGTACACCCCCGCCCTCTTCCCCTTCCCCAGGTATCCCCCCACCACCACCAGGTCCAAAGTGTCCCCGACGCCGTCCAGGTAATCCTTCTTTAACTTGAGCCAATTGCGGGACCTCTTTGCTATTTCGTATGTAGCATCCGTCTCCAATGTCTTGACCATTAGCCCTTCGCAGTTCCCTAGTGCAAAAACACAACTTTTACAATCTTTGAAAATATTTTGATCTCATCTATATACTTAATATAATAAGCACAACAATATCTATATAGGCTACAATAAGGGTTTTTTGTAATGTCTCTTTTTTTCTTTTTGCCTGTCCTTCTTAACCGAGTTTTTCAATTTAGGTGTCAATTTAAAGCTTATGATCTAGCGAAGGGACGAATTGTAAGTGAAAAGATAATGTCTAGGGGTTTTCTCCTTGTTTGATTATTTATTTCTAGGGTTCACTTTCAAAGATCCAGTAATGCTGATCAACTTTCTTATTAAGGTTTTGAATGTGAATTGTGATTTATTTACAGCTGACCTTTAAGTTAAATGTTTAGCCACAGTCAAATGGTAAATAAGAGACAAAGCAGTTTATGAAAATGGGTTCTAAATAGCTTAAACGCTACTTTTCTGGATAGTAACCTGACTGCGGCAAATAAATCACTCTTTGAGGCAAAGATCTACAGATTAAATTTATTGCAAATTAGTAGTTTTATTCACCTAATAACAGCCGTAAACAATCATTATCTTTGAAAGGTGAAAAGGTATTGCATTGTTCATTTTACCTCGGACACAATTGTTAACTCGATTTAAGTGCACAAAGAGGCTTTTGTATGACGATTTTTTGTAAATCTAAGATCTGCTTAGAAGCAGGGAGATTCTCATGTATAAACATTGTTACATTGGCAAACAATTTTGAACAACTTTTGTTCTGGTGGAATCCATTTATGAGTTTTTACTAGAATTTCCTTTACCCAATCCAAGCAAACACCCCATTTTGATTCAGTCTCAAACTTAAAATGATCAATATAACTAGCCTACCAACTTTAAATAACACATCTTTTATATTTTTAACTCTTTGTAAATAATTACAATGTAGAACCATCTTGTGCGTATGTGTAGTAGGCCTACACTGAGTTTACCTAACTGTGTCTGTTAAACCATTATATTGTTTATTTAACACTTTTGCTGCGGCACGTCAAATGGCAGGCGTATCCCCAGTGCGGCGCAGCCCGCAGCGTCGAACAAACCCGATTGCCGCGTGTGATTGGCTTTCCAATTTCGGTCTGACGAATAGCAAATAACGTGCGGTGATGACCTGCTTTACAACGAGAGTCAACGTAGTTCGCTAAACATCCACAGATAGCAGCACTGCTTGGAATGTAGCCGGTCCCATTGGAATTTACAAATGGAGGGAAAAAGACGGGACAAAAAGTTGATTTTTAAGCTAGCCAGACGGGGATTTTACAGGGAATTTTACTACCAACCTACACCACTTAAAAGTGCAAGTCACACACTACACGCTAAGGTGGTATAGGTCCGCTTTTGACCGACGCTAGAGTAAAAACAAAGATATACAAAAGGCATTGCCGACCGTTCCCGATCGGGTACGGACGCATCGTAAGGGGGCCGAGCACCATACCCAATCAGGAACGGCCCCACTCATCGTGTTAAGGGCTATTGTTTTGATTTTTGTTTGATATCCATACAGTTTACTCTGAGCGTGTGTGTGTTTTCTTTGTGATTTTCGTTTGTATTGGATTTGTGATTTGTGTTCTACTCTTGTTATGTTTTAGGTAGGCTACTTTATTATCTGAACACCAACATATCAAAATATGATATTATGCTAATCAAAATATGAGAAGTAATTAGGTTCCTAACCCCAGAACTTTTTTTCCTTCTCTGAGCTCTATCTCTATCCAAAACATGTGTTTGAGAACAGTTTGAAATTTAACTTTTTTTTTTGTAAAAACTGACCTTTGACAGATCCCTCGAGGAATTCCTGCATCTCCTCCAATATACTGGTGTCGAGACTGGTCGCAAACTCAAACTGTTCCGCGACTACTTGGAAGTTCTCTCTGAGTAGTTCTCGGCGCTCGACCAACGGTTTCTTGACCAACGACTCTCCGTTGAGGTAGAGCAAGTCAAACATGAACACGCACACCTGCACCTTGATCTCGCTTTCCACACAATCCTGTAACAGATTAAATATCATTCAGTATTCATTAAAAGTAGGCCAGCTGATTTGAGTTTTTGTGACTTCTAATTACTGATGTTTTTTTCCCCGCAGGAGACTATGATGTCTGCAAGATTATGAAAGATGTTCAAGATTTAGCGTCAATCACGGAAGACGAAGATGTAATGCCAATTTAAAGTTTTTGATATCATGGACGATGTCAGAAATGAGATTCAGTCAATGATAAATAAGGAAGATAATTTTTGAAGATTTATTAAAACATTGGAAATGAGCTTGTGTTCTTAACAAAACAAAACAACAAACTAAACTTGATTACAATTTATAATTTAAACACAATACTGTATTTGAAAAAAAAACATTCTTTCAGCAATAAATAAAAGGAGTTTTACTGTGGGTACTGTTTACTTGTGGACTGAATTCAAATGATTCAAATGATTTATTTGGCCATTCAGTACAAACAGACAATAGGCTACGTCAATACAATACAATAGAGCTGAAATAAACACATGCAGGATCTCATTTGAAATAAGTTTGCGTTTGATTTCAATATCTAGAAGCGCAGTTACCTTTTTCTTCCTAGTACTGAGGACTTGGAAGGGTTGTATCCGTTTGTTGACCTTGTCCCAGGCTACGGCCTCCGTGTCCAGTACACAAGACTTGACCTTCGGCCCCAGACAACTCGGCAGTCTACTGACTATGTCTGGGTACTTGCCTGTGTTGTCTTCCTGGTTACGACTGTAGATGCTCACCTTGCCATCTTCACCCAGGTGAATCTGAACAGACATTTTGAAATGTGTAAAATTATTTTGCGACGTTGTTTTCATTAAATTTCCATGTATTTAATCCCAAAAACAGCAGTTTGCCGTCTGTTAAATCTTTAATCAGCTGTTGTCCAAATTTTTTAAAATTTATTACTGTAGGCCTACAGTAAAGAGCTCATTCCAGACACGAGCTGGTTCTAATAATTTGTTTTTAAATAGTCATCAAACAAAATTTATACTAAACTCAATTCTGAAGATAAACATCACCAAAAAGAAAAAGTTTCAGGGTAACGAGTCGAATATTCTATTGGCAGTGAATGGTTAGAAACAAAAACATAACCTCTCCTCTCAGAGAAATTGTTCGTAGTGATTGTTGTGAAGTCCTTGAGTCCGTTTGTGATTTTGACTGTTTCCAAAATGGTGACACTTTGGAAGATTGATCCAAACAAACTATTGTAAGTGTGGCACAAATATACAAAACCTAAAAAAATAAATTATTCTTAACTGAGTTTTCACTCCTCACCTGAGCTCTCTCTCCGTCGTACTTCCACTCACAGGTGAAGCGAAGGCCGTCAAAACGCTGTAGCACTTCCGATACTCCTTTGGACGGATGCGCCAACATAGGCTTGAGCGGGACGCCCGGAGTAAGGCGGCAATGTTCCGGTAACGCTCTGACACCCTCCGACAGGATAACCGGGATGATCAAATCGTAGTTGGGACACTCACTGAGAAGGAATTATGCTAATCAATTATTAAATTCTTTGAGACACACTTTTGTGTATTTTAAGCTGAATATGAACGCAAAGTGAGAAGATCTGTGGAGCTTTGTCACTGACTGAGCAGAAACTTCAGTCAGGACTATTTATTAAAAGCCCAATGACTGAGGACAGCTGGACCTAGTTTTGAAGCATTAAAAAGCAATTGACTTTTTACAGGATTGAACTGGCAGCCCTCTGACCATTAGGCAAGCACACTCAGATAGGCATGTATTAAGAAATTCCGGGTTCTCTAGCAATTCATTGTCACGATTACTAGAGTAGCCTATGAAAACTTAATAATCCTAATAAAATTTCTGAGGTGAAATGTAATGGTACGCTTTTATCAATTTGCCCATATTTGGATCACAGACGAAGATGGCATAACCTAACATAAACTAAAAAAAACATAAAATTTTAAAACTTAACAGCCAACCTTTGATTTTCCTGGGTTTTATCTTAGAGGTCAGAAATCAAACCTTTATCATCATCCAACTATTCCATAGAATTTAAAAACGTTCAGTCCATGAGATTAAAATAAATAACATTTTAAACTAACATCTAAAAAATATCAAACCAAACTGACCAATATGTTGTTTTGATAATAAGGGCTTCTTCGTCAAGTTTTGACTTGAATGAGTCCGCAGACATTGATTTCGCCACATCAATCGTCTCTGGAGGGTATTCTTGACCTGGAGGTGTCGTCACACAAGCCAAGGCTAGCGCCTGGATAGACAATAATACACAATATAAACAAAGCGAACAACAACCTCGGATTCTACAACCCTGGGTTTACAATCTTCTATTATTTATCCAGACAATACCGTAGTGGTCAGTCTTAATAGTTGCCACAGGATTCACAAGCGTAACAATAAATTATGTTCTTGTTTAGTTTAGCCTATACATAAATTATTTATGCTCCGTAATGAATAATGTTTCTTTATGGCTTTTTTTAAGCCGAAAAATCTCAAGTTAAAGAAATTTTTAGGGTTTCTCAAGGGTCTGAGGAGGGTAATTAACAACAAACATAATCAGTTGCTAATTTTATTCAGCCACATAGCTGGTTGAATAAAACCGAAGAGGTTAATTATAAAACTAAGTAAGTAGTACAATTGAGTTTTGTTTCCGCCAATAGTACGTGAGAAACTGTTTTCTACAATTAGAATCAAGATTTTGTTAAAGGGTTTATTGGAATAGTAGACTTAGCTAAACCAAAATCAGTTTAATGTATTCAAACCAAAATCAGGTATTAAACATTTCACAATTTACTATGTAAGATATAAAGCCAAAATTCTTTTTGAAATATTTTCTAGTTATTCAGTGATACTTTAAGAGTAAGTATATTTACTTACCTGAAGAACCGATTGCTCAGCCAACCCGATGCGGAGTTTTCCAGCGAGGGATCGAATCAAAAACCGGGCTTCCGAATAGCGACAGGCTACAAACATCGACTGAATCTTGTCCACTTTCTTTCCCATCGACTGAAAAAAATAAACACTTCAGACATAATAGCTATTTACAATTTAATACATTTCTACTCTGCAGCGCCAGATTCCCAGCCATACTTCATTTAAGATATTCATACAAAGCTCAACATTTACAATGCTTTAATATATTCAATAATTCCATATGGTGCAGGTACATGGGTATTTGGCAAAGGAAAATAAAGCCTTGAAGATAGTATTTGGACCAACAAGAGAAAATGGAAAATTTAGGATTAAACGCAACAAGGAAATTGGAGACCTGTATTATAGCCTACTCCAGACATTATAGTCGAAGAAAAAAGTGGTTGCACATGTTAATTATCAGAAGAGATGTTGGGGCTTTGATAAATGTTGTGTAAAACCCAGAAGGAGACCTCCTGGATGTCATCTGTAGGCCCCAAAATATCTTGAAATAAAATATGTACAGCAAAATATTCTACCAAAAATTGTGTGTTTTTTAAGTTTTTTTTTAATAATCAATTACTCTACAATTAATAACCCACCGCTTGTCCAGTCATCTGCGCGATCTCCTTGAGTTTGTCGAAGACTCCGCGCACTGTAAGAGCAGCAGGTTTGAACATCATTCTCTGCGTAGAGCGACTTTGCTCAGCCACAATGCCCAGATCTCCCGCCGCAGCAGCGTCTGACTTGATCTGAGCCATGGACCGACCAGTGCTCTGAGCTATAGCCTGGCAGAAATAACATGGAAAGAGCTACATTAATAATGGTCTAAATATAGATTTTGTTTATCTGTGAGGGTTTACTTTTGAGATTACAGAAGATTCCTGGTTGGAAGATAGGATTTTTTTAAAGAAATGCAGTTCAACTTGTTTTATTAACACAATATTTTATATTGACAACACTTACAACTACACAACTCCAACTATCCTAACTCTAATCATCAGGATCGCCAGATATCTGGATCACGTCAAGCAGAAAAACCCTATAAAAAATAAAATGAAAGAATTTCATTGCAGTTTTTTACAGTTTGCAGGAATCCATAAAAAATTTTAACGTGTGCTAATTGTGTCCATCAGGTGGCAAGTCTATTGTAGTCTCATATCAATCGGTGTGTGGCGAGTCATCTGCTTAGTGCCAATTTAAATGTTCGGATAAGGTTCAATCCCAACTGATTGGTAGGTATAGTTGACCCTTTAATGTAGTTATTTATATTAAAACACATAAGAAAATACAAGAATCTTGTAGTCAAGTTTACCTGCTGTAAACTTGTATCCAAATGAATTAAATGAATTTTCTCACATTCATTTAACGTTGTCATTATGTTATAATCCAAACTGATCATCCAAACATATTCAGTATATGAATTATGTAATAATCAATGTTTAGATGTACCTATAGCAGCCTATTCTTTTTTATGAGGTTGCCAGCTCTTTAAATCTCACATATGCTGAGCGTATGGTGAAATGATTTCAATGCGTGGAACGTATTTTTAGCAAAGCAAGGGGGTGAGCCAGCACAGTACCAGGGTGAAAAACTGATAAAATTTAGTGGTAGGCACCAGGATCCGAACCTATCGCTATGACATCCCTGTCTTCGAAGATCATCCCGCTGCCAACTGTCCCAGTTACGTATTATATCAATGGCAGAGAAACACCCATCATACATAAGAAAAACTTCAAAACATTTCTCAAACAAAAATAACTAAAAACGTAACGGGAATTATTGTACCTTTAACATAGTGGTTTCAGCCACACCCAACTCCAGACTGTGGTAGGCCGGAGCGAGCTTGTTAAGACACAGGTAGACGGAAGGTAAGAGGTCGTCAGGACTAAGTACGATCACTGAGCGAAGGTAGTTCGACAGAATCTCAATCATTTTGAGTCGGGCACTCACATTCTCAATCTCTTCCATCGTCCGAGCTAAAGCCAGGTACGGAACTCTGAAATAAGGAATAGAACATGAATCAGTAAAAACTACCAAGAAAACAGGTGAAGATTGGCTTCAAATGGAACAGTCGAAAAGGGAAAAACAGGGATAAGTACAATAAGAAAGAGAGGAATGTCATTCTTTGGACATTTATTAAGGTCTCCAATATCCAGAATAAGCAGAAAGATTGTAGAAAATTGTGGAACAGAAAAAGCATAAATAAAAGGAAAGTAGAAACATGGATCTAAGTTAGATAGAATATTCAGTTTTCAAAGGTCAAGGTGAACCCCATTTTCGCTAAACAAAAAGATTAAAAATACTTACTTGTCTTTATGCTTCCAAAACGCATCATCTATGGGGTGGTATTTGCTTTTTGCCGGGTTGTAGCTAGCGCCTGGATCTTGAGGTGGGGGAATGGCCTTCCCATCTTTGTCTTTCTTAGGGGCTGAAAATTATGAACAAGGGTAAAATTAAGTAATATGATTTGTTTTTAAAACGTAAGATAAGTATTTACTGTATTTTACTTTAAATTGAGAGTTGATCATAAACAAAGGTCTCCAAAGTTTCAAAAGGTCTTTAGACGTTCCAACCAATCCTAATGGGACACAACAATTGCGTTAGTGTTGAACTGAAAACTTGTACTTCTCATACAAAAAGGTGTAATAATTTTATTTTACTACCATACGAAAAGCTTCTATCTATTCCTACCAATATTTGAAATTGTCATGCTCTTAGAAGAATAAATTTAATTTAATAAGCTTGCAAGCTATGTTTTACAGTCAGTTGTGTAATGGAAACGGGAACGCATGGAATAGTTATTAGTTATAGTTCTTCCAATAGTCATACAGTAGAACCTTGAAAACTAGACTCTCATAGGGATTATAAAATAATACTTGTTATCAAGGTTGACTTCTTATTGAGGCTTGCAATAACATGCGATTAGGGGTGAAATAATTTCAAGGGGATTTTAAAATGGCCCTTGTTATCACAAGGGTGACTTGTTATCGAGGTTCTACTATATTATATCGAGGTATAGGCCTATATTAATCCTACATGTAAGTCGGTTCTAAAACTCTGAGCGTTCCCACACTGGACATTTTACGACCACACCACTGTTTACTTTACAGCACCGTTCCCACACTGGACATTTTACGACCACACCACTGTTTACTTTACAGCACCGTTCCCACACTGGACATTTTACGACCACACCACTGTTTACTTTACAGCACCGTTCCCACACTGGACATTTTACGACCACACCACTGTTTACTTTACAGCACTCTAATAAATAATTCAGTGTGTTAAAATTTCAATATTTGTATCCAATTAGGTCTTTGATCTTTACACAAGCTAGAGAGGCAACTTCAGTTAAAATCATCGTTCTAGGATTCACACTTCATGTTGAACATTCTTTTTACTCACCAAAGAATGAAAGTAATTCTTTTTTCTTTACTGAAGAGTCTGATGAAGTGATGTTTGACTTAGGAGAATTATTTTCTTTCTCTTCTTTGACATCTTTCTCTTTTTTTACCTCTTTTTCTTCTTCGACACCTTTTTCTTCTTTGACATCCTTTGCATTTATTTCTGTTTCTTCGATAGGTTCCTTAACCTCTTTCTTTTCTGATTTAATCTCTTCTTTAACTTTAGGTGATAATGTAGAGGATTTTGTATTCTTAAACATACTTAACTTTGATTTTGGTGACTGTTTCTTTCTTTTAGTTTTACTGTCGTTTGAACTACTTTTAGAATTCTTGCTTTCTTTTGAACTTTCTCCACCAGGCGATGATATTGATGCTGAGGTCTCTGAATCTTCAGACACCTTTTTAGGGGGGCTACTTTCCATTTTTTCTTCCTGACTCTTATTTTCTTGAAGTGGTTTAATGTCTGTTTCCAGTGATTCGTCATCATTTTTATCTGAAATCAAAACACACCATTCTTTAAAATGTTTGATAGGCCTAGAGAAAAATAAAATTCTTGTTTTAATTTAATTACTTTGAATTAATGGCAATTTTGGTATGGATCTAGTTTGTGGCTAATTTTAACAAGGTTTTAGAAATAGGTACACAAAAGATATAAACTTCCGATGAACAATTTTAGTTGATTTGTATTTGCATTTTGTTGAAGTAACTTATATAGATCCTTTGAGCTTCAGAAAAATGGGGCCATTTTCTTCTTTTCTTAGGTACATAATGAAAAGGTCTAAAAAATGTTTTTAAACGGAAAAAAATAAACTAACCATATTGGATTGTATATGTCAATGCTTCATGCAAACTAATAAGTCAATCAACTGCAACTAAAAGGTGACAAAAATTATCAAGTAACCTGGAAAAATATGTCTAAGTTTTACAGTAACTATTAAACAAAAATAGTTTTGTTACCCTACCAACTACCCAACTTACCATGACACAGTATTAAACCCACTGCTATAATCTGTTCACAAAATTTAGACATTTTAGGGGAAGCGATTTCACCGCCTCCACCTCACCCTAGGTTTGAAGAAAACAGCAGACAGCTGATCAGCTGGTATATGCATTAAGCTAAAAAAATGCTGTTGGAACCCAGGAAACCTTCCCCTTAAACTGCCTAAATTTTGTGAACAGTCTATAGTGCACTAAGATAGTAGGATAGTAGGATCTAGCCTACTCAGGATAAAGTGATTATGTACCTTCTGAAGTGCTAGATTTTCTTTTAAAACATCCTCTCTCTTCCAATATTTTCTTGATATTGGGACTAAGAGTATTGCCCGGGGGTAAGGTTCTAGGAGCTGAAAAATGTCCATTATGTTTCAAGATTAACAAATGAAGAAAGTGTCAGAAAGAATCTAGTGTAGCCTAACCTTCAATTATGTAACCTAATCCTAACCTTAATTATGTACAATTTAATTATCCATGTGAATGAATAGGGGCAATCCAGAAGTATGGGCAACAACATAAACAACAACAGAATATTTTATTGATGGGATGGTAAAATACTGAAAAAAGCTGAACTAACGACTTAGTGTGCACTTTTACTTTTCTCCTGTTCGTCATACTAAAAATATGTACCCAAAAACCAAGCCCAAACTTCAGAAATTAATCCCTCAGTCCAAAAAAAATGATGAGACGATTAGAAACAAAGGCAGCCTTTAGAGAACAGTTTAGGTACAACAGAACAGTGTCAAACTGAAATTTCCAAACTAAGCTTAGTGTGGTTTGGTTACGTACAAGGGATGAAGAAGTCTTGCTATAATCTAGCTCTAGATAGGAATAGGATACTTGGAATAACACAATAGAAGTGGCAGGACATTGAAAAAGATGACTTTAAAAGGTGTAAGAGAAATATAGATAAAGAACATAACAAATGTGGATTTTCCAACCATTTTGAGCCTCAATTCAGTTTCATCTTTCATGAAAGTGAAGAGGTTAAATTCTCAAGTAAAGTCAAGATAGAGCAGTCATAATTTATTTTCAGATCATGGAAATTGAATACTAATTGGATTTACCAGTTTTTCTGATAGGTTTTCCATCTTCTTTTGAAAAATCCAACAAAGGTGAATGTGCTCGTTTTCTTTCCTCTGGCGATTCAAGTTTTTCATTTTCAGATTTTATATTTTCTTCACTTTTGGATTTTTCAGGGATTTCCCCTGCTGATATCCCATTAACTTTCTTCTTTGCAGGAGATTTTCTGGACATACATTCAAATCGATTATTTTTAACTAGTTGTGAAACGAAACTAACTAAAATATAAGAGGCTAATTTTTCCATGAATAAATAATTCAAAGCATATGTGAAATAAATATAACTTCTTCAAATATATTGATGGAGTCCATAGTCACTTATAGCAGATATGTGGTCTTTAGGCAACAACCTTGTCTAAATCAACCGTAATTGTTTTTTCTTTTACCTTTTCCTATAGGTTAGATTTGATCATTTTACTGCCTTTTTAAACTAATCTACTATTACAAATTTTACAGTCTTTTACCAATCTACTAGATTAGTAAACACAGCAATGATAACTTTGAACCACAAGTTACGTTTTTGAGGTTAGCCTTCGGATTACGTTGAATATATAAAAATTGGTGTAAATACCTGCTTCTTAGTAATCTAAAATGTTGTTATGACGCAACTAGTTTCAACTTCTCATGAAGTCATCATCAGGCGTCCAGGGGATGTGATAAGATAAGATCAGTTGCAACGACTGCCCTAAATATTATATTGGCTAGACAGCTTGTTCTTTCAAGAAAAGATTTAAAGAACATCTAAGAAAAACAACGCCCGCTCAAACCTCAACCTTTTCCAAACACTTAGTTTCCGTTTCCGATAATCATAATTACACAAATATTGACAGCAACACGACCGTGCTGCATTTATCTAACGACCATTTTTGTACACTAGAAGAATTTGAAATTTACCAAGCTGTGAAATTTGACAAACAAAATATTTTAAATGACAAACTATCTTTCCAATCTAATTATATTTATGACACGGCCATCAAGGTACTTGAGAGAGAGTCGGGAATGAATAACAAAGGAGTGATGTCACAACGCCGCGACAATCTAGACACTACATCCATCCGGACGTGACGCATCATAAGCGATGATTGTTACCATTTTTAGTCTTTCAATCGCAATAGATAAATATACCTTTTTACTGTTTCTGTGTTCATGATCGTGTCCATATTCGTTTATAAATGTATAATATGTGTATCGACAATTTTCTGAAGAAGTGATTTTCACATCCCCTGGACGCCTGATGATGACTTCGCCTGAGAAGTTGAAACTAGTTGCGTCATTGCAACACAAGTTACGGTATGAACAGACCGAGCATGGTATGGTATCAGTATAAAAACATCATAATTACGAAGCCGGACAAAAGGCTATGCAAGCTGGTAACGCCCGAGCAGTAATGCTACTGCTAGGCTTATTGTTTACGCTCTGCAGACGGCTCGTCTCTCTTGCCAACACGGCCAAGATAGTACTGTGATTTTTAATTTTTTAGTTTATTGCACATCATTTGTAACTTGAAATATAACTTGTAATAATTATTTCAAGTGTTAATTTCTGAACAAATTACAAATTAATTGCTATTTAAATAACTTGAATAAGCTAATAGGCCTATATAATATATTATGTTATTTTATTTTATTCATTATTTTGCCTCCTGAACTGTAATTCATAATACTGGTAATACTGGTTATGGCCTAAAACAACCATGGATAATCGCAAGTGTACTTTAGTGAATTCTTAACAAATAGTCTATATAAGTTACGGTATTATAAACACTGATATTTAAGGTACGTATCATACTCACTCTGGGCTAGTTTTCTTGATTTCCTCCTCTTCATCACTGCTATAAATTACTTTGACTCTCTTTCTTTTTCCACTTTTCGGTGAAGGACTCTTGTTAATTTCCTTTTTATCACTGTATGATAAGAACACATTTTTCACTAGATTAAAATTTGATCCATGAATCAAAGTATTATTTAATTGCAACAGTTTAGATGAAACAATGGAATACTGTCTTACATTGTCAATAAAGCCAAATTGTGATTGCCTTAAAGCCAACTTCAATACAGAATATTTTCGGAGAGAACTTTTGCAATTTGTTAAACACTGCAATTGCACAAGGAGACGTAAACTTCCAGACATAACAAAAAATTTAATTTTACATATTACATGCTTCTGTTACTGTCCTGGGTAAGCCAAAACATACTTAGCAGAGTTGAAAAACAAGTTTATTAAGTTTTGAGCACTCTCTTAATACTTGTTTCCTACATACCCGCTTTCTTCTTTTGCAGAAAGTTCCTCATCATCTGTCTTCTTAGGAACAGGTTTGCGGTTGAAAAATGATCTGCAAAAAACATCATTTTTAACTACCAGTCGGAAAACCAAATAAGAGATAGGCCTAACATGAGACTTACTTGTTGATTTGTTTAAGCAATGAAGCAGTTGAAATTAAATTAGTTAAAAAATGATTAAAAGTGAGTAAACAAATTGAAGCTAACCCCTTAGTTAACATTTGTATTAATTACGTTTTTTTGACGTCTTTGCCCTGAGCTAAATGTTTGTAACATTTGAAATCATTACGTTAAGTAGGTTTATGCACTATTAAAATCTAGTTTTAAAACAGGTTCAACATTTTATAGGCCTGATTAATTGTTTGCAATAGGCTATAATTTTAGGGTATCAGTCAATGATTTTAGACAAAATCAGTGATTCTGAAAACTTCAACAAAATAATTAAAATTTTTAAACCTAGGCTATAAGAAAACTTAAGGTTATAACAAAACTAGGTATGTGGAATGTAATCAGTTCAGTCCACTCTTGTACTGTACTGGCTTGCCCCTTACTTTGCTGGAATTAGATACGTACCACACACAGGCCCGCTAAACTGGCCCGAATAGACTTATGTGGACGGCCAAATGAAAATAAATTTGGAATAAAAACTTCACCAATATCTTAATAATTTTTAATTTCATGAGGCCTTTTGCCAGCTATGCTGGCATCATCAGACACATCACAAAACAAATGAAAGGTTAAAAATGCTGCCAACCTCTTAAAATAGTGTAAGTTAATTTATGAAAGGTTTCTTTTTAAATGCCGATATTAACTTTGATAGGCCTGTGAGAGATTTAAGCCTTCAGTATTATAATTCAATAAGAGAAAACAAGAAGGGCCTAAGTAGCCTACCGGTAGTAATTTAAATTTGCTTTTCAAACTATAGGCCTACCTAAGTTTAAATTCAATTTGTATTAGCCTACTAATTTTAAAATGTAAGCCTGGGCCCTAACTTAACTTGGGCCAAAATAAATTTAGGCTGAAAACAAATTTTACTTACAATGTTCCTGAATTTTGTTCGGTAGGCCTACCGTGAAACTGTATTCTGTTACTTCTACGATTGCTAACATTTTTTGTAAACGAATAATGGTAGAAAGTGTAATTTACATTCACAAAATTAAAATGTCTGCTAGGCTCACAAGGCAGTAATTCTTGATAGTCTTTATTGACACAACGATTAGTAACAAGGATTCTTCTGCATGATTGCAAGGCGGTTTTGTCATATTGTGCAAACAAATTTTCAAACATTAGAAATTTGGAATCGGGAAAAAGGCAAAAATCATAATCATTGAAAGTAGGCAAAACCTTTCCAAAGTTAAGTCGCCATATCGCGTTTGTTGAACTAGATGAAAATTGACACATTTAAAATAGACCAGTTAATTAGTTAATACTCAGTGTACCACAACACTTGAAAAATTCACCATTGATAAACTAGGCTCTAACCTATACTTTGTTGGTTCATTTAAATGTTGAACTGTTCATATTCTAACAAAGCTATTCACAACCTTTCTCCTTTAAGGTTATAGTAACTGGTATTTAATAACAAACTTGATCAAAAATACGGTACTGCATCTCACCGTTGTGTGATAAGATAACTATGCCTATTAATTACAATGACATAATCAAGAAACTTGATAAATTTATTGGTTATTTTAGAACAAATAAATATAGGCTACATATTGGTTGGTAGGCTCTGTTCAAATTTGACAGATAACCTATACACAACCAAACTTAAATAAACGGGAGAAATTTAAGAATATATGCAACATAATAAGAAAAAAATTATTGTTTAACTTACGTAATACTCCTCTGAGACATAATCTATCAATTATAAGAATAATGAATTATTTATTGTGAGATAAACATTAAATAAAATTAAAAAGATCAGAGCATCAGACCGAACTGAATAATAACAGAATGGCAGCAGAAAGCGGAGAAAAGTAAGAAGAAGATAGTTCACTCCCGCCTTTCAAAGCTTTATGAAACAATGGCGGGAACTGTGCCAACTGTGCGAACATCTGTGGGAACATCTCAAAGAGTAAAACTGTAGCATTAGTGAGAATGTGTATAAAAATAACGCCTAAACGGTCTTTAACTATAATTAAATTACTAAAAGTATTAAAGCTTAATATTTAATACTTAAATTTAATTTAATGCTTGCGCATTTTTAATATCGTTATTTCATTGTGTTTCACTCACCATTTAATTGTGCAAAAACAGTCTGGAAGTAGCATAAATTAATGAGCCGGTTCATTATAACCTAACCTTTACCTTCCTAATCAAACCTCACTTCAAAACACTTAATACAGTCACGAATCCGCATAAAGCCCGACCTACCTTCCTCACATGCCTAAAATAAGAACTATAGCTCGGTCGCTTAGAAAACGACCTCCTCCAGCATTGGTTTAGCATTAGCGCGCAGGTCGTTTTCTAAGCGGCCGAGCTATAACTGATTATTTGGTTTCAAAACGAATTGATTTCATTCCGCATTATGTCTACCATAAACAGCTGTTTGCTCTCCTGCTCACTCAGTCCACAGTCCACATACCGACCCATCCAGACCACAATTAAATGACAAACTTTTATTGCCTTTTACCATCCTATAGCTATGCCATATTGATTGACCATCAGTATAGCTCAATGAACTATAGATTCGTAATTTTAACCTTCGTTTACGACCACTTATGAATCTCTCCGACAAAAACTGATTGCATTTTTGGATTCAGCGTGAAAAATACTGTAAGTAGACATCTAAAAATTACACGATATCGCATTGTAGATATGTAAAATATTTGCCAAATAATTTTCCAAAGTCAATGCTACATTTGGTTAATGTAAATCCCAAGTAGCACACATCGTTGGCCCAACGTTGGGAAATGGTAGGCACGGTTGGGAAATGGTTGGCAGAAATTTTAACCATTTGCCAACGTTGGCCCAACGGAAACTGGTATTCGTTGGCCCTACAAAGGAAAGAATCGTTGGGCCTTCGTTGGGCATTTGTTGGGTTTAAGTATAAAACATTCTAAAACGAATTTTAACAAATTGATTTATTTAAAAGTACATAAATGTTATGGCAGCAGAATATAAGACAAATATTGTAAAAATTTGGATCAATAATGAATGTAGTCAGATGATGTTGTGATACTAGATACAGTGGGGAACACCTGCTTAACATGTAATAATTATTATAATTCATTTTTTTTTATATTCTTTAACTTATTTAAGCAAGTTTTTAATAGTTATAGAGAAAAGATTAATTAATTATATAACAATCAATTATAACAGTAGCCTACTAATCTAATGGCAATTAAATAATCTATAAATACTAGTATCCTCTCCAACTACCAGAAAAACAATTCAACTACTTGAGGTCTAAACAGATTAACAGAATCATATTATACTGTAGCATCAAAAATAAAAATATTTAAAGTATTAATTGTTATCATTGCACCTGTCGGCTACTCTTTCACCACTTGAAAACACTCTAAATCAACAAGCACAGTTAGCTCAGAGGTAAGGCGTGAGGCTCACAAGTCGAAGGTACCGAATTCGAGACCCGTCCCGGCCAAAAAAATTTTATCTCGTTTTATTTTCAAAATAAGTTTTTATGAACTATTTAATCAATTTACTCAACTCATAATTATGCTTTTCATACAAAATCTTTATTATTTTGTGTTTTTTATGTTTATGCCCAATGGGATGGTTGGCCCTTCCGCAAAAATTGGTTGGTTGGCCAACCGTAAGACTGAGTGCCAAAATTACCGTTGGCCAACGATCGACAGAAACGTTGGGCCAACGATTTGCCAACGATTTTTGCTACTTGGGATGGGATTTATACTTGCAGTATCATAAGTCAATGCTAAATCTAGTTCACGTAAATCCGTAAATGAGATCTCTCCTTACATTATTCAAAGTCAATGTCAATTGCACATCTGCTTCACATAAATGGGATGTCTACTTGCAGTATCCAAAGTCAATGGCTTCATCTGTTTCTCGTAAATGACTATGATTTCAAAGTCAATGGTAGGCTATATTTGTTTCACAAAAATGGAATGGCTATAAGTCAATATCGTGTATTCGCTTAATTCCAACGTCCATAATTATACCATTTTTGTAGTTTTGTTTCGATGATTAGATTAACAAAAATTAACCTTGAAAAAACACATATTTGGTGTAAAAGACAACAAAATGGACTTGAAGGTTTGTAAACTCAACTGGCTTCCTAGGCAAAAAATCAAAGCTTTCATTGACCAAATCTCACACTTTACAAAGTTATGATTAAACCTATTTGGACGTACGGGATACAGCTTTGGGGAACGACAAGTAAACCCAACTTAGCAATTATTCAATGATTTCATTCAAAGGCGCAACGAAGAATAGTTGATGCCCCGTGGTTTGTCTCAATTCAAACAATCCACAAAGATTTTAAAATACCTACAGTAATTGAAGAAATGAAGAATTAGCAAGAAATATCAAGAAAAACTCGAAACCCACCCGAACAATATAGCCGTTAACTTGCTGGAAAATAGTGATTTTCCCAACAGACTGAAAATTGGGAAAGTTCTTGAACTCCCATACCGATTTGTATAGTTTTAGTTATGACTATTTAATTTTGCAAGATCTTTCACTGGGGAGATTCTTGGTCAAGTCACTTATTTATATTATCCCTTTTACTAATTGTTCACAGTACTGAGCAGATTGTAAAATAACATGAATAAGTAAAAAAAAGATTACATAAATGTTATGACTCTTTTGTTGACCTTTTAGTGAATTTCCCTAAAGGAAAGTAGTTATTGCCATAAGGTCTCGGCCTGGCACCGATTTTTCATTTTGATGTCCCCAGAGGCCAATACCTCCATTCGTTCAAATTCGTGTCTGTAAACACGAGAACTTGAGATATATTTTTGTCTAATTTTGATTAAATTTGGTTTAATGGTGTAAGGCGGGATTAACTTGAATGAGTTCGCAAACCAGCATGATCGGACCATGGGAACTGGGAACGGGGTTTAACAGAGGGTGGGGGGGAGGCTAAATGGTGTAAAAATTGGTTTTTCTCATTTTTGACTTTCAAAATACAATATTTCCCAATTTCACTCTAAACCATTTTAAATAGCAGGAACCAAATTATTTAGTATATCAAAGTGTTTTTGTACAGTTATTGGTTAGGGAGAAAATTTAAAAAATGAATAAAATTCCCATGTTTATTCTTATGGAGAACATTGTAAAATGTTGTAGTTTGCTTGTTTATAGATATATTTTGAACAACTTGGCATTTTTTTTTGTTTTATACAAAGCTATAATAATAAAAAAAACTTTATTACACTCCCTGTAGCAGCAAACCTAGGTACTTGTTAAACCTAATGTATTCAAATAGATTTTAATTGACAATCCTATCAGGCAAATGGAAATTCTCCTGCAGGTATGCTGCTGCTATTTCTTGTTATCTTGCAAATTATGCCGTGGCAACCAATAAGCCCATAAGACCCATGTTAAATTTCTAAAAGTATAAATTAGTGTAGGGATAGGGAAACACCCTGTTTGTCTGATTAAAACCATTTCAGATTCATACCTTCTAGTTCAAGCAAACTAATCAAACGGTATCATCAATCTGACACACAGGGGCAGCTCCAGAGGGCAGGCCAGGTAGGCCCGGGCCTAACCAAATTTTTAGCAGATTTTTCAAAATTATAAATAAAGAAATTCAATTATTATAAATAAAGTTCAACACATTCATTCAAACTAATTATTTTGCATTTAAATTTTAAAATCACCCCTTTTTTGCGGGCAAATCTCTTCAAACCTCTGGTCCCCGGTCAAACTCTTTCTTGATCCTTGTCAGGCCTACCCAAAAAAATATTCCTAAATTAGCGGGGTATGCACATTTTTTTTATCAGGAGCTCGACCTTTTGGCCGAGTCCTTGGTAGAATCTGATTAGTGTCTCGCATCCTTCGGGAGCAAGAGTTTCAAAAGCATGGCCAAACTCATTAAAACATTGTTTGTGTGTTCACCCCACCACACAAGTGTTAGGTGTATTTATTTAGTGTATGTGTGTATGTTGGTGAAAGTCCGTGCTCTCATTTGGTGGCTAAGGTGGTGTGTATGGGCAGGTTCTTCTGTTTCGGACCTCATCTGATCGTAGGCATTTCAGTCCAGAACCTTTTTTTAAGTTAAGTTTGTGAATTGTTTCTTGTTGATTTTTTTTGGAGTTTGGAACTACTGACTAAAAGTAAGATGGGATTGTTCGCACCACTGCTCAATCCAAACGCTGCTGTTTTGAGCAAGATTCGTCCAGTTGATGGTTTGGAGGTGGAACCTTTGTTGGAGTTTTTGGGAGAGGTGCTGCACCTGAGAAAGTTCCCAGGCATGGCTGACCCAGTTAGTGATGAAATTGCTGGTGTTGTTTGCCTGAAACCTCTTGGTGACAAAATGTTAGATTGTTTGAGACGGGGTGTGAATTTTGACACTTTTCATCATGAAGGTTTGAATCAAACTGTTTGCTATGGTTGTGGTTGTGGTCAATCGGGGCGGGGCACATCAGGCGAGATTGTTACCAGAAAGTACATCTTTGGTCTTTGCCCAAAAACTTAAGTTGCTCACAAGGGGAAAAATTACCCAAACTGCCCTGTGAGGTTGTAGTTAAGGAGAAGGCCCGTTGTCATCCGTTTCTGTCTAGACTGTTGTGTGTTTGTTAAAATGTATCTGTGTAAATCGTTTAGTGTCTTTTTTGTTCAAAAACCTTTTATCGTCTGTAAAGTCATGAATTAAGTGTGCCAACGTCAGATGAGGTTCCGGATGGGAGGCTTTTACCAGTTGCTGTCTTCGGAGAGGGTCGCCCGTGGAGACACTACACCTTTTCCCTCTTCGGGCTGCCAGCTACCCTGCTCCTGGAACCAGTAAGCCGCCCTCCGCCTTCTACCACCACCGCCCACTGCTAGTGTGACCACTGCCAATGTGTACAACCACCCGTCCTCAAGTTACAATTTTGAACTATTTTCAAATTTTTAAAAACTTTCTTTTAAGTTTCAAAGGGCCCCCATGAAATATTTATTATTGGTTGTTTATTAATAGTATTGTTATTTATTTATTTGTTAATAGTATTTTTATTGGTTAATTATTCAGTTGCCATTGTAAGTTCAGAAGAATTTGATGAATTTATGTTTGACAAAAACACTTTGTAATTCTTTGGATGGCTGTATTTTGTCGTCTTTTTGTTGTTGAATTTTTGATATTATAGGTTGATGTTCCACAGCCTAACAAATTTTAGGTAGGGATGTGGGGGGAACACTCGCACTATCACTATGGGGGGCATGCTTCCACTTGTTGTTAGTTAGGAGACGGTGCGAGGGGTCGGCTCAGATGGTCTCCGACTTTACCAGTTCCATTAAAAAAACCGGCTTTCCGGCTTAACAACTAGAAGGAAATTCCCGTCTTCAAACTGGTAAAATATTGGCAGACATTTTGTATGTATTGTAGCAATCCATCTTTGGGCCAGGCAACAATTCAACAGCTGTTTGGGTTTAAAACAGTTGTTGGGGGTTTAAAAAAAATTTGATTTGAGAACTTGCTCTGAAGATGTATTGCGACACAACTGGAATGGTCAGTATTTTTTGTTGGAATAACACATAAATAGTTCATATGTGTAGATTTTGATAGTTTACCCATCTCAAAAATTGATTTAGCTGAGTCTAGGTGGCTTTAATTTAATTCAGGATTCAATTCAATTCAATTTATTTACTGCAAAATCCATTGTACAACAAGTGCCATGCATAAAGATACAAAGTTATACAATCAGTAATACTAAATCATCAATATACTGTACGTTTGAAACATAATAAATAAGAATTAATTAATAGCGCAAAGTAAATAACAAATAAACTCAAAATAAAAACAGCAACTGGCAATTATTGAGGCAAGATTTGTGGATTTAAAATAGAGCAAAATAAACATTTGAGAGAAAAATCAAGCAACACTAAATAAATACAATAAGTGAAAAAAGATTAGTTGACGGGCAAAAGGAATACAACTGATCCAAGACACAAGATGCATACGAATCAATAAAGAAGACTTAATAATAATACTTCTAGATAGTGTATACAATTCTGAAGAAAAACAAAATGGTAGCATTACAAGAACAGGATCAACGTGGACAAAAGAATTCCAACCTTCCATCCAAGTTTAAATTCAAGTTGTAATGGTTCTGAATAAGCAAGGAGATTATGTACTGTTTCCCTCCTTTAACACCTTTGCTGCTGACGACTGCAATCGGATTCCCGCAGCGAACGCATCGGCGGATCCAGCCAGAACATAAAAAAATGCTCAACTATCGGGTAGGCCTGACATTGAATAATGCTGGGCCTGGCCTACACTCTTACCAAATAATTACTTAACTGCCAGAAATTGACAAATTTATGTATTTTCCCTCGTAACATACTTAACCCTGCAAGTGTATTCCACTGTAGTATCTTTCATTTTGACAACATTCGACTGAATAAAGGATATTTTGTCTGAGCATCTTCTGTGAACACCAAAACATTATCATCGTCTTTTGCAAATGAGACAACATTTTGAACAAACCCGTGGGTGCCAAGACACCATCATCGTCTACCGCGATTTCGGAAATATCTTGAACATTTCCACGAAAGCCAAGACTAGTTATTTTATCCTGACATCCGGAAAATACATGAACACCTACCACCATTGCAATTTGCAAAGATATCATCATTGTATTTTGCGATCGCGGGGACATCATTATCGACTTTCATGATCGTGGCGAAATTATTGCATAACAACCAATAAACCAAAAAAATTTTCACCAATTCAGGTTTTTTAAAATAATACCAGTAAACCGAATCCAACTTCAAAAACGGGTTTTATTTTGAACCCTCATAAAGTTCACACATTTTTGTTGTTTGAAATACCTATGACTTATGGCAAAAATTCCACACAATATGTAAAAATGTAAGTACGCCCCCCCTCAGCAAAGTCCTGGATCCGCCTCTGAGCGAACGTGTTAACTTGTGCTTCAATATAAGTAGGATGTGAAAATAATTTTTAAACACCATTATTTTGTAAGATCACAATTTTTTATGTAATTAACAACTTATGTTCCAAAACAATTGAAGGAATAGCAGTAGATTTTGGCTTATATAAAACTTATTAACAATAGCAATTCATTAAGTACTATAACAAGAGGCACTAATACAATCAAATTTATATCGAGGCTCTTTAAAATTTGTGTATATAACAAACCTTACTGTATTATTAAGATCACAGTCACATTTGAAAGCTTTGCGAATTGTGTACATTAACTTCATTAAAAAGAGAGCAAAACGAGTTTTGAAATTAAAACTGTTAACATGAAAATGAGTTACGACCTTACCTTATGATGGATTCAAATATGGAATGTAAAGGAATAAAACATTTGAGTATAAAATATACTAATGAAACAGTTTTTATTACAAAACAAATTTCAAAAAACACTTCTGATATGTTAACTGTTAAAATAGTTTTCACTCATTTTAGGGAAATAACGGGAAGTCCACTTAAAAATACTAACACTGTTAAAATGAATGAATTTGAATACAATACAAGATTTTTTCACTAATAAGTTGTGTTTTCAACTTGTAAAATAGCCAGGCGCAAAATGTATTTTCTAAACTGAGAATAATGGACGACATAGACATGTTTTATTTGCACATAACATTCTTTACATGTGTTGCTACATACAGAATAGGTGCATTGTCAGAGTTAAATTATCAGAATATAAAAAAATTAAATAGTAATCAAGAAGATTATGTGAATTAACAAAATTGACTGAAAAACTACTCCAAACTAAAGGGGTATTGTGAAAATCTGCAATTAAATAAAAGGCTCTGTCAATTAAGTGTTTACCTATTTTATTAATAATAATAATCAATATTAGGGATGGTCAAGTCTCGAAATTTCGGGAAATTTTAAATCTCGTTACACGAGACGAGATTTCTTTTTGGCCGAGATTTTTATCAAGACAAGAATTAAAAAAAAAAAAAAAAAAAAAAAAAAAAAAATTAAAAACGCCTGCAGAAAGTCAATGCAATACACGCAATACAGGAGCGTGTTGTAGTTGCGTTTCCTTTGCGAAGGCATTCTTATTTAATTAATTCTATAAATGTAAATATTATTTTAATTATTTTAATAATATTACTTTAATAACATTTGAGAAGTTTTGTTAAGTGTAAGCAGTGTGAGGAATGTTTTATTACTATAAAAAGCCAAAACAAGTAACTATTTTATAAAAATTAATATTGCTTTTATTTTATTTTAGGATAAGTTGAACTCTATCCTAACTGTTATCACTATGTTTCCTAATCGTAGGCATTTTTAATAAGTTAGGCGTGATTAATAAAAAAATGTTATGCTGATGTTTTTTAATAAAAGATTGTAAATATTCTTGCCTGTTATCATTATTTTTGTATTTAAACAGTCATCTAACAATGTTACAAAATCAGGTAAACATTTTGAACGTGCATTTCCCGTTGTGTATGAGAAGGGAAATCCCGTCTCGATCTCGTCTTGAAATTTTATGAGAAATAAAAAATCTCGTCTCGTCTCGTCTCGAACTAAAAATTCAATCTCGTCCATCCCTAATCAATATTTCATAAATTATTGCAAAACAGCAAATTTTGGATTTTTTGCTTAAAAACTAGAATATATGCAGTTCTGAAAATAAAGTAAAAGAATATGTTTTATAAAACTTAAAAGAGAAGGAAAACATACGGTTGTGATAACGAAAAAGACGAGACTATTACTATGAAAAACTAACAAATTTGAATTTTAAAAAATTGGGGCCAGATTCAAACGATTGAAAAAAATCTTCTTCAGTCTAACCCGCAAACATCACCACTGTCTTTACGATAATCTGCGTTGGCGTAAATGCGGTCGCCTTTTTTGGCGATAGCACATACAATGGAGCCTCTGACTCCAAATCGTGCCATTTTGTGACCAAGTTTTTGTAGGCTCTTGACTAATGGCTGAAAAATGCAAATTATTTTATTAATAAACCCTATTAATCTACTAGTGCAGTAAAGATACTTTATGTCCGAGTCATTCATACAATTTTCGTATAGTTAACATAAAACATAAGGAAGAACTTACTTACTTAAAAAGAAAACAAGTTACATCAGTGTTAACGTTTTTATTTAGTAAACTAAGCATTGACGCCTACTTTGTTTTCTTGTCCATACAATATCGCCTGTTCAAGTGTGGAAAAGTAAAAACAAATGCAGCAAACTATAAGCTATTGCGGAAAAGTAAATTGAGTGAATTGAAGTAAAACTAGTGCCACACCAATAAAGATGTAGATAAACCTAAACCTATTGTCACAAAGTAAAAAACTAGTGCAGGAAAGTATTAAAAAATTACTGATTAAGACGAGTGCTGCAAAATGAAAGATTGTACGAATCAGCTCTTTTACTACTTGTTTTCTTGTCCATACAATATCGCCTGTTCAAGTGTGAGAAAGTAAAAACGAATGCAGCAAACTATAAACTATTGCGGAAAAGTAAATTGAGTGAATTGAAGTAAAACTAGTGTCACACCACTAAAGATGTAGATAAAGCAAAACCTATTGTCGCAAAGTAAAAACAACTGTAGCAATTTGAAAACTAGTGTCTCAAAGTAAAAAACTAGTGCAGGAAAGTATTAAAAAAATTACTAATCAACACGAGTGCTGCAAAATGAAAGATCGTACGAATCAGCTCTTTTACTTATTCTAATCAGTGCCGCTATTTTACAGGTGGCTCTTTTGTAGATAACAATTAATTGTAGGAAATAGTTATTTGTGCAACTAGTGAGAAACACTCGAGAGAAATCCTTACTCACGAGCCGTAGGCGAGTGAGGAATGGTTTCTCGAGTGAGGCAATTGTACTTTGCACTCGAGTTGCACATTATACTTTTCCTACAGTTACCATAAAACAAATAAATTTGTGAAGAAACATAACCTATTTTTACACAGAAGTGAACTTTTAATATAACATTTAATTTGAAGTGACAAATACAACAGTACAACAGCTGACCAGCTGATTTACAGCCAGTGCTGCCAACGTATTTCCCGCGCATACGACATTGCCTGCATGTTACGCGCTCACTATTTCGTGCCTTCACGTTGCAAATCTGGAGTGAGACAAAGTAATTAGAGTGAGACAATGTTAACATTGTCTCACTGATGAGCGAATTGGCCACTTTGCTTTCTCAAATCAGTGAGAGAACATGTACATTGTTAGGTAACTGTAGGAAAATATTTTTTAACTTGTTACAACCAAGCAAAACAAGGTTACTTACAGAAGTGACTCCATATGCGTATTCAATCTCCATTGGATACAGCTGATGATGGATTCTGCTTGCATCCACTGCTTCTTTGATTGACTTTCCCAACCATAAATATTGCATTATGACCTGAAAAACAAATTAGCATTTTATCATTCTGTATAGGCTGGAATAATTACACTTTATCAAGCTCAGGTTGGCTGAGGCAATCCCTATAATCCCTCGCTGTGTCTCGCCAAAATATCTCATTTTAAATCTATTGTAACCGTGAATCTGATTTGCTATATACTTTTTAATTTTAATTGTTATTATTTTGACACACCACATACCTAAACTGTGATTTTTTTTCAACCTCTAAAAAAAGTTTTTAAAATCCAAAAAGCAATTTACAAGGAAATTTTGGAATCACATAAAAACTTTCTATTCAGTAGTCAAGCTTCCAGTGCATCAATATACTTCAACGTGAACGCATATTTTTGATGATTGTTACTATAAGAACCACTGTTTAGCCTGGTATCTGAGGTCAACATCAATGCAAAATTATTGACTCCTGCCAACTCTTAAAGGCATGAGGCGGTCTCAAAGGTCGTTTTCCCCCTTATGAGTTACATAGAACAAATTTTAAAACAAAAACAGCTGTTTTTTAAAAGAAACCCATTAGCTTTTTTGGGAGTAAATATTGATGTTTGTTATATTAATTCAGGAGGTTACTGACCAATGTAAACAGTTAATCAGTTTTGTTGGAAGAACAGAAAATGCTTCGAGTTCCAAGAAGAAATATTGAAAACAGGAGGCAGACAGTTAATAAGAGATCTTATTTTATTTTATCTAACAAGATCAATCCAGACATCTGGTCAACGATCGCCAGTTGGTAATGGTAATGGTGTGCGTATGAGAAGAGTAGAACACGAGAGGGTTGGTCTAACAGTAAGGAATCCAGATACACACTCACTTGGTGAGATGAGTTCATATTTGCCAGTTGCCCAGTTCTGCAATCCACTTTCTTTGGAAGAATATACACATCGTGTTGTCACGGTGGTAAAGTAAACTTGCCCAATGTCAGATCAAATGAATACATACAAAAAATGTTTACATGTAACACTGACAGATCGAGACATTTCAAAACCTTGAGTGGAAACTGTAATACTGCCTTGGCTATGGTAAGCTCAAGTAGTAAAGATAAAACCAAATTGTGGCAGAACTTATGTTTTTATTGTTGATGTTTTTGTTACTCGCTCTACTTCAATTGAGAAAAAATGCAAATAAATTGTTTGCTTCTTGCTGTCATAACGGCGAGTCCCGCAGGGGGCCCACGCTTGCGTGGGTACGTGGCCTAGCGACCACGCGGACCCTAGCTCTCCCAAAGGGGAGGTAACTGCTTGGTGTTGGTATCGGCTTTTCAAGTAGGCCATAGTCATGGACGTCTGGTAAGCGCCAGCCCCTTAGGGGGAGCCTCCAGTGACATTCCTCCATCCAGGTTGGTCGGGTGTTTAGCTCTCGGAGAGGTGGAAGTGCGCCATCAATCTCCCATCTACCTGTGACTATGGTTCTTTGGGCTTCGGCCTGCTTGCTCTGTGCGACCAGCATTCTGTGTGGCAAATCCTCGACTTTGGAAGTAGCCTTTCCTGGAGGTGAAATCGGGTAAGTACCCGTAAGCTCACGGGGACACTCTAGGGGAGCCTAACTTTCCGCAGTGTGAGGGCAACGGCTGGGCGTACTCCATCAGCCAATCCCTGTCTCTGAGACCGGAAGGTATGGTTATCTAGAGTGTGGGGAGTTCTCCCTGGAACTTCAATTGAGCAAAGGGTGTCGCCACCTATGGTGGATAGGTTCATCCGGGTGGGACCCACTTCTATTCCTGCCTCCTTTTGGGAAACCCTGATGGCCTGGCAGTGATGTTGGGCTTGAAGGGCAAACGATGTAGATCGGGTGCTGGGTTCAAGCCCGCTGGGGGTGTTCAGGGATCTATCGCCTTGGTCACCTCTGGTTTCCCAGCAACTGGGTAAGGCCTCGATCGGGTAGTGGTGTAAATAGGTGGTTGGGATTCCCCCCATCAGCTTGCTGGTGGTCCCCTTCTTCCTGGCTTTGATGGCGGGTTTTGCCTGTCAGGGATTGGATAGGTCCCGAGTGTTGCTTGCACTAAATGTGTCAGAGCATTCCACTATGGCCCTTTTGGGAAACAAGTAACCGGTACCTATCCCTGGTTATGATTGAGGGGCAACCCTCTCTCCGAAGGGTTGCTTCAGCAGCCGGTGAGCCTCTCCCATGGTGTGCCAAAGGTCGGTGCGTATGCTTCGGCCTACATCATGGGGCCCAGGTATGTTTGATTATGGGTATCGGGTTTGCAGTCAGGGAGCTTCTGGCTCTTATGACAAAATGAAATGCGAATGCGAAAAAATGCGATGCGAATGTCATAACGGCGATGTCACGTTGTCAGTTCCACAAACAAACAAACTTAATAGAAGTTTATTGACTGGAATTTCCAAACAATGAAGACAATTCAAGTAAAAAACAAGAAGTTTCAACAACTAATTTGTTGTGGTATGTGTTAGTGGCAATATTAGACCAAACTCAATATAATGACCTTATATGTATGCATTCAATGGTCAAGTTCATTACAGAATTATTGGAATAACACCCATGGAATTACAGTCGCTACGGTCAAGTTTATTTTTATGATTCCGGAGAGGCATTAGACGTTACAATCGACCGAAGCAGATGATGGCTGTCCAGTTGGTAACCCAGAGTTTGTGGTATACCTCATAAATGGAACGCATCAAATGGTTGATATCACCCCATTGTTCAGGATTCCCCTATTAAGTAAATCCGTTGGTTTAGAGTTATGTCTCAAATCAACCTAAATTACCTTTGAATTTACTTCACATAGATTACTAGCTGGCCCGACAGACGTCGTCCTGTCCTAATGTGGTTTTATGTCAATGCTCGTTCATTTTCAAGATGAGCTCGTTCGCATCGCTCAATCATGTCCTGGTTGAAGTTCGTTTGCTACGCTCACTCACCTTTAGGTTAGAGCTCGTTTGCTACCCTAACTCGCCTCCAGGTTGTAGTTTGTTCGCTACGCTCACTCACCTTTTGGTTGCGAATTAGCTGTTGTCATAAATTAAAAAGAATAATAGTGCTGCACCCTGTTGGTAAACCTATTGACTTTTTAATGCTATTGAACATCACAGAATCAAATTGTTTAGTTGAACCAGCTGTTAAGATTCTTTAATTCCATTTAAATATGAGCACTCATAAGGTTAACATGGGAAACCCCAGAGCCACTGGGGTGGAGCCCTTTTGACGGATCTGCACCAAACTTCACACAAACCATCCTTGAATAATGCTTAATAATGCCTGAAAGTTTTATTACAATCTGTCGAGCGGTTTCAGAGTCCATAAAAGACAAACAAACAAACAAACATGCATTGGATTTTTTATATATAGATCAGTAAGGCAACAACGTTCTTCAGTTCTCCATGTTGGAAAAACTTTGTTGCAACATATATTAGACATGTTCACTTGAATTGAAGGAGACCGTTTAGGATTCATTAGGAGTAATCAGTCAAAACTGAGAGCAGAAATGTATGTGAACCTTCACAACACAATTAGAGATATTCAAAATCAATTTGTAACAAGTTTTATAAAAACTCTAAGAATGTTACTACAATTAAGCACAAAGTTCCCCTCAACGTTATGTGAGCCGCGCAGGTTCCCTAGTTACAAGATATATAACAAATTACTGTAAACTACAAGCTTGGCGATCTGAATAATAGTTAAGAGTTCTACTTTAGATGTAAGAAATTATCCAAATCCAGCCTAAATGCAAACGAAGCAATATTATTTAATTGTCTGGGTAGCCGAGTGGTTAAGGTGCTTGCCTTCAAATTTGAAGGACACTAGTTTGATTGCAAGCGAGATTGTTACTGGAATTAGATGCCAATTATCATTGGGCTATCATTAATGATGTTGTTCAACGAAAGATTAGAGTCAAGTGTATCATCGTTTTTGAGTAAATGTTTGATTTAATGATGAGATTTAATCATGTTTCGATTAATTTTTGGTAATGATTTATAGTATTTTAGAATAGTTATAGAATACATATTGGGCAATGATAGTAGGTAAATAAATTCTCATTTGATTAAGTCTTCCAACTTAGATAATTTTGTCACTGTCTACCCTTTGCATCAAACAATTTAGTTTTATAGACAGATTTATATTTAGATGTAGTTACTGATAATGTATAATCATGTATGAAACATACTCCCTTAATAGATTTGTCATCCAAATGGAACAGCTGAAGCCAATTTTATCGTTAGTTCTGTACGTCCAACTGTAGAGGTTGTGTTTTGTTTACAAGTTGTTTCAAGTCATTTCAGTTATTTAAAAACTCATTTAACCAAATTAAACGATAAAATTTTGTCTACCCCAGCGATCAGTGTGGACGTACACAAACTAGAAACAAAAAACAAGCTTCACAATTTACTATTGGATGACGAGCCTACTTGTGTTGCTTGGTCTATGGTATAATGCATCTTTGCATACTTTATGACGGATAAAAGTTTTGAAATCTGGAAAGTAACAAAACCAGGGTTTGGATCACTCTATTACAATAAAAAATGTAAAAATGCCACCGAGATATTTAAAAATAATGAATGTAAGAATTTTCTTGCAGATAATTGTCAAACCCTGCCTCCCCTACTCACATATGTCACTGCGGTGGTGATATGGGTGCCCCCGGCGGCCCCGACGACCATCCGCACGTCTCCATTATCGTCTACTATGATCGTGGGGCAGGTGGAGCTCATTGACCGCTTGCCTGGTTGTATGAGGTTGGCGGGTGACGGTTTAACTCCGTGGTAATCGTTCTGTCCAGGTATGGAGAAGTCATTCATGCCACTGTTCAGTAAGATTCCTGTTCTCTTTGACGTCACTCCTGAGCCAAAACTGTCCACAGAATGGTTTCAGAATCAAATTTCTGGCAATATACATTTCTTTTATTTTTGCATTTGAGAATTTACATTTCTTGTGTCAGAGGTACTCTATTTTTGTGCAAAATTTTAAAAACATTCCTAAGTGTTATCTGAGGGGTTATATCGGAAATTTTCCATTTAAAATATCAAACGTGGTACTCCAAACCTGTAACGTAATGTCTTTCAGCAACATGTTATGTTAGGCCTACCATTGAGCTACTATGTTTAGTAATTGATTTATTTTTTAAAGTGGAAAAGATTAAACGATAATAACATACACCTGGGGTGCGAGCTCCTCTACTGATAAAAAACACTGTTTCAGTCCCTGAGGTCCCACGTTCAGATCCCGCCAATCGCCAATTAATTTTATCTATATGTGTTACCCTCTGGGTCTATATCTAACTAGGTGTAGTAATGTGAAAACGGTTCCCAACAGGAGCCTAGCATCCTATATTTAAAATACCCCCGTCGCAGCAAACCTGCAGACTAAGCGAATTTCAACTTGTCTGATTACATTTTAACAATCACCCACTGCAGTTGTGGTTTTTCTTTACACTTTACACAACCGCCATTGAAGCGCCGTCAATGAGTGGAAACCTTATTTATAAGCTGGTCAAAAATGGGAAAACTCCATTTTTACCCCATAAAACCCCCAAACCCCTGTTCCCATGGTTCGACTATGCTGGATCGCGAACTCGTTCAAATAAACGTAGGTTTACAGGTTTGTACCAAATTTCATCAAAATCGGATCATTTTTGCTTAAGTTATCGCACTAACGGACACATATAAATATATATATATAGATTTGAACGGATGGCCTCTAGGGACCTCAAAACAAACAAAAAAATCGGTCCCGGGGCCAGGACTTACCATGAGTACTACGGTAATAGCTTATTCCCTATATGGGAAATTCGCTAAAAAGAGAATATAAAAAAATGAAAGTCCACTCACATGAGACTAAGACTGCTAGTGACTGCCACGGCGTCTCCGTCCGGAGCAAGGATGCTGATGTGTGCCGTGCCATGGTCTTCAGCGTTGTAGAACACAGCGCCATAGTGGGCGGGGTCCTCAAACGTTTGATCGTCCTTGATCTGTGATCGTATTTCGTTAACGAAGTCCTCAGACATTAGGTTGGCTACCCGCTAGAGAAAATAGACCATCATTCATTTGTTGTTTTAATATTATTGAAGGATGTAGACAGGTTATAAAAATATACCTACAGGTTTTTTTTCTTGTTGCAGATCTTTTTTAGGCCGTTCCTTTAAGCGAGTTGACAAAGCTTTACAAATAAGTGCTATATAAAAAATTCACTTGAAGCAATTATGTTTTCAAAAACGGTCCACAAGTAAAAAAAATAAAAGGAGGCATAAAGAAATCTTAAATGAGGCTATATTTTTAGTAGCAAAATACTGTTACGCAGGTTTAAAACAGTTTGGCAATAGGTTACAGAGAAAACCATTTTATTTTTGTATTGTCATCTGAAGTGTTGTTTATGTTGTTTATTGTGTTTATGCATGTTGTTTTACAATAAAAACCCATAAAATCGCAAAAATATCTGACTTTTTGAGAGAAGCTGGTTTTGATTAAAAATCAATATGTTATTATCCTTACAGTGCCAAATTATAATTCAAGTAAATTGTTTTTGGACAAACTCGAAAAGCTACTTGTTAGTTTACAAAAAAAAGCCAAAAGGAAAAATGTTTTTATAACAGGGGATTTAAATATAAACATTTTAAAGGATGATGCAATCACAAGACAGTAGGTTTAAGGAAATTGTCGAATGTAATGGTTTCAGTTTGCAGTTTAATGAGCCAACTAGAATAACTGCCAATTCATTTACTTGTATAGATAACATGATTACAAAAAACTGTATAAAGTAGACCACAAATTGAATAATGATTTAGGTTTATCTGACCATAACGCCATATTCCTGAGCCTCCCTGGGCAATATAAGAATATATTTACTACTGGTAATAATAATAATAATACAAGTTCCTATACCAAAAGAATAATTTCAAAAAGAAAAATAGTTGAATTTTGTACATATTTAAACCAAAATATTAATTTTACATTTGATCCAGTCCTGAACCCAAATGAAAACTTTAGTAACTTTTTAAGTGATTTTCTTTTGACTTTTAATTCTATATTTCCTCCAAAGTTTCTTAATAATAATAATAATAATTCTAAAACCAAGTCTTTCTCTGTAAACTGGATTACTCAAGGTATAAAAAATTCAAGTAAAACAAAACGACAATTGCACATGCAAGCCAAGCTCAGTAATGACCAACAGTTTATTACATATGTTAAGCATTATAAAAACATATTTAACAAAGTTGTAAAAAGAGCAAAATTACTAGCGAATAGCAATTTTATAAAAACATCAGAAAACAAAACTAAGGCAGCTTGGCAAATTGTAAATCTAGTTTTAGAAATTAGATAGATGGTTTGAGTTATGACAAACAGGCGCGACATCAGTTCTACCCATCATAACGGTAGCTTGCAATACAGAATATCCAGATTGTGGTGGCTGCCCTGATTTAAGAGTGCGCGCGCAACCTTGGACTCTGCCCCAAAGCGCCTATACTAGCATTGGAATGACGTCATGGCACCCTCAGCGCTGTTCGGTTGTTCTGCCATAAGACTACATGTATTTACATGTATTGGGATAGGGGCGGTCTAGCCGCCGTCTGCGTCGTCCTTACTAAAGCAAGCGACGATCAAAAATGAGTCTTTACTGAATTGAATTATCCAATTATTTCACATATTTATGTTGTATATTGTTTAAAGTACTCGTTAGAGTAATTTTAATTTGATTTAACCGAAGACTATATAAAATGTAATTTATTTATGAAATGTAATTTATTTATGAATTGTTGGGAGGGCGGCGTCCGCGAGTCCTTATGGGCTAACCGCCACTGCCTTGCATTAAAACGAATGGCTGGTATGTATGTGGCTGTACCTAACCATCTGTATTCAATTGATTTTAATTCAAAACATATGTTAGGAAATATGGTTAACTTACTACTTCTATTTTTAGTTTGATGTTGTACTTTTTGTCCATACAATAAATTTTCTTAAACATAAATTATATCATTTTATTAATGTTGTACATCACCATCAACTACACGTACTTGACGAGGAAGTTATAGGTGAAAAAAATAATGGCATGGTTTCACCTATTACCAAAAAAAGCTAAGAAACGTTCCTGACTGTCATTGCAAATTGACATTTCCCATCTCTACCCAGTATAAAATCACACTTACATCTTCGATTTTTTCAACAAAGTCTGGATCGCCCAATTCTGTGCGCTTGGCGTAGGCGTACTTAAACGCCTCCACCATCCTGTGAATGGTTGTTGTCGTTTTTTCGAGCGTACTCACGCTGTCTGGGGTCAGGTCGAATCCATCGAGGATTTTGAGGATGAAGGCGAGGAGGACGCCGGCACCGGGCGGAGGAGTGGAGTACAGTGTGTTGTCACGTAGCTTCATAGTGATAGGATCTTTCCATACTGCTCTGTATGAGTAAAATGATTAGTGTGTGAGGTAACTTAAGTAATTTACATTGGGGTTTCAAGAATAAATTTAATCTTCAAGACTATCTTTTGCCACTTTAAAAAAAAAAAAAAAAAAATCATATTCATATTCTTTACTTTATTCATATTTTTTGTACAAAGGTGGTACAATGAATAGCGTCAATAAAAAGAAATACAATTACAATGACATTAGTAAATATTAACAAGTAAAATAATAACAACAACCCTTTAGTTAGTCAAGAATGAAATACAAAATTAAAATAACTTAATGCTACCTATGCCAGGGAGGTGGAGAACTCTTCCATAGAATAAATAGCTAAATTTAATATATAATCTTTGAGTAATTTTTTAAACTTATTAAAATCTGTTTCTTTTTTTATATTTTTGGGGATAAATTTTAAAAATCTTTGGCCTGCATTGGACGGTTTTTTTCATAAAACTTGAGCCTATGAGGTTCAACAACCCCACTTTTTTCCTAAGCTTATAGTTGTGGCTTGTCATCGGGTTTTCACTCAAATTTTGTTTTCTAGCATTAAGAATAACTTCATATATATATTGTCCATAAACTGTAAAAATTTTTAGATGTGTAAAGTGTTGTTTGGCTGAATCATCCCCCTTAAGCTTGAGCATTATCCTGATAGCTTTTTTTTGCTGTTTTAAAATAGAGTCCATATTTCTTTGTTTTGTAGAACCGTATAATGCTATGCCGAATTGGATATGGGAATGTAAATGAGCAAAATATATATTCTTTAAAGTGTTTATATTGCAATAAAAAGACACTTTTGATAGAGCATAAACTCCAGAATTAATCTTTAGCAGGATCTTTTTAACATGCTCATCCCAATTTAGGTGCTCATCTATCGTTAAACCTAGAAAATTTATACTACTTTCCCTGTTGATGTTTTGTGATTTATATTCTAGTGTTGGATCTGAAGATTTTCGGTTTTGTTGTGTTTTAAACGTTATGAACTTAGTTTTTCAGAATTTAAAATAAGGTTATGATCATGTAAGTAGTCTCCAATGTTATTAAGTTCATTAGAAGAAAAAATTTGTATCTCCTCCAATGAGTCAGCTGATAAAATTAAATTTGAGTCATCAGCGTAGAGACATAATTTTGAATTTTGTTTATGGATTATCATATTTTCCATGCCCCTCAAGTAACACAAAAAGAGCAAAGGCCCAAGAATAGAACCTTGAGGCACCCCAAATTTGACTGGTCTATAAGCTGAGTTTGATTTCATTACTTTATTTTTATCTGTTAGATGAGATATTTCTACAAATTGAGACCTATTTGTTATGAAGTGAACCAATCAAGAGATCTTCTTGATACTCCCAGAATTTTAAGCTTTTCTAGAAGTTTAGAGTGTTTGACATTATCAAAAGCTTGAAAGGTCCATGAATATACCTGTTGTATACTTACCGTGGTCAACTGAGTTGATCACGGTTTCAACAAAAGATACAGCTGCACTGACAACAGATCTCTCCCTTCGGAAGCCATGTTGATTTTCATCCAGCATTTTAAAACTCTCCAAATATTCATCAAATTGTACATACACAGCTTTTTCATATATTTTGGAAATGGACGGAAGTATAGATAACGGTCGATAATTTGATACATTTGATGTGTCGTTCTTTTTATGTAATGGAATTAATTTTGCTTGCTTTAATTTTTCTGGGAGTATTCCTGATACAAATGAAGAATTTATCAAATGGCACAGAATTTTATTAATGTTATTTTTAACACCCTTAATCACTGTGACTGGAATTTCGTCATGGCCACAAGAATACTTGTTTTTTAACGAATTTATGATTCCTTCCACCTCCCTCTCACTTATTGCTTTAAGTTCAAATTTTTGCTTAATGTACAAGTCATCGCTAAAACTATATGTGGGTACATCACAATTCACAGAATTATTATTACCAGTCAGATCAGTTACAATATTACTGAAATGCTCAATGAACATGTTTGCAATTATATTTGGATCAGACACAATGCCAGAATCTTGCTTTAAAGTTATATTTTGTGATTGTCTCTCATTTTGACCAACTTCAGAGTTAATTATAGACCAAACTGTTCTTTGAATATTAGTGGAATTTTTAATCTTTTTCTGAAAATAATTATGTTTTGCTTGATTTAGTTCAGTTTTATATAATTTTTTCCTTTGTCTAGATAACATTTTAAACCCCTACTCTTTTTACTCCGATATTCCTTAGTTGTTTCTATTATCTGCTTTTGTTTATCCTTCAGCTCTTTAGATATCCAGGTACATTTCTTCTTTCTTTTTGTACCAGTAATTTTGGAAAAGCCTGATCAAAATAGAAGGCAAATAATTTGTAGAATACATCGTATTTATTTTCAACCTTAGCATAGTACACGTCAGCCCATGTTTCCTGGGAAAGTAGCTTTAAGAAAAGATTTATATTTTCTGATGAGAATTTACGTATTTCTTGTTTTATTGGTAAATTTAAATTTTTTATGTAATTTTGACATTTTATTTTTAGTAACTGGCCATCGTGATCAGATAAAAAAGTAATCAGACCCTCTACCTCTACCCTGGATAAGTTGATATTTTTTATCAAAACATTGTCTATTGCGGTTTCAGAATTTTCCGTAACTCTTGTTGGGAAACTGACCAGGTACCTCATGTTCTCTGATTTTAGCATCTCTTTCAATAGCCTATGTTTGCGATCATTTTTCAATACATCAACATTTAGATCCTTTAGATGTTAAACCATAACCCAGATTTACGGATATGCTATCGGTACCATAATAAAAAATTGAAAACCAATTGGAGAACTAGCTTGGCAACGGGAATTGTCTGCCGTGACCAACATTGGCCTGACTTGGTGAACAGCATATAATGGACCAAATGACAACACAGATCTCACACCGTGATAAAGTGTAAGGGTCTTATTTTTTAAAAGGATTGTATTTTAATTCGAAAGACAATTTTATTTTATTTTGAAGGAAATGAAACCAGAGATGATCCCAGTCAGTGATGGATCTATGTGTCTGTTTGCCGATGATTCTAATGTTTTGTTTTCAGGAAAATCCAATTTAATTATTGAAAAATCCTCAAACAGGATTCAGTCTTCTCTCTATAAAAAGTTTTTGGATGAAAGAAATCTACTTATTAGCACAACAAAATCAAATCTAATATCCTTTCAACTAAACAATCAATAACAGCATTTGAACCTAATATTTTTATAAAAACAGACAAAATTGATCAGGTAAACCAAACAAAGTTTCTGGGACTGGTCATTGATGAAAATCTATCTTGGGATAATATCATAAACTATGTAGTAAATACATTATTATCTGGTAATCATGCCTTGCGGCTGATGTCCAAGGTTTGCAGCTTGGAAACTCTTAGGACAATCTATTATTCTCTAATTCATCCCCACATATGCTATGGAATCGCCATTTACGGAACAACAACTAAGGCAAATTAGGATAAAATACTTATGAAACAAGAAAAAGCTATTAGAGTGATCATGAAAATAAAAAGATCAGATTCAGTTAAAAATATCTTTCCTGAATTGGGTGTAGTTTACAGTTTGTATATTTATGAGACAATATTTTTTGCAAAACAATTTCATTTATCATCCACTGCAAGTAAATATAACACACGCTTTCAAATTAACCTTCCTAGACATAATTTAGAATTCTATACCAAAAAACCTTCATATGCAGGATTAAAATTTCTTAAAAAATTACCTATTTCACTTAACAAAGAAAATAATACAAACAGATTCAAAAGCTTACTAAAATACTTCTGGATAAGAAACCCATTTTATTCTATCAAAGAATTTTTAAATTGTAATCTCGAAACGACCATTTGAATTCCAGATACTACCTGGTTTTACTCTGACGTATAACCTTAAAAGATTTTGTGATTTTTTACAGTTATAGCACTCATTTTAGCGAATTTCCCATATAGGGAATAAGCTATTGACTCATGGTAAGATCTGGACCTGGGACTGATTGACTTTTTCGTTTTGAGGTCCCTACAGGCCAAAAACACCATCCGTTCAAATATATATATATATATATATATATATATATATATATATATATGTGTGTAGTGAAATGTATAATTAAATTTAAAAGTTCAACGAGGCCAATATATAATAAATTATTTTAATCCACAAGCGCTTTCAGAAACTATGTTTCCATCGTCAGGCTGTGTTTAAACTGATACAAAAAGACCTTTTGTCTGAAAAAGACATTGTTCTGCTTACAGCAAACAGAAACATAGATCAACTAGAAGTAAACACCTATATTGCTTTCTATATGACACGGGACTACTGTATGAAAAATTACTTAGTCCTCAATGAAAGAAAGACCAAGCAAATGACTTTTGGAAATAAAAGGTCTACAGTATCTGAAATGCCCAACCTGACAGCAGCTGAAGAAATCAAACAGCTAGGTGTCATAATTGAGGAAAATTTATCCTGGGATCGTCATGTAGCTTGTCTGTGCCAAAAATTCGGGCCAGCTCGCTTTGACATAAAACGAATCAAAGAGACTAAGTTAAGGCAAAGAGGACTGCATACCATACATTGTTTGAAAGCCATGTACGCTATGGCATTACTGTCTGGGGTGGATCCACTATGGACAATCTTAACCGGGCCCTGGTTATGCAGAAAAGGCCTATCAGAATAATAGCAGGCATAAATAAAGAACAAAGCTGTAGAGATGCCTTAAAAAACCTGAAAATTCTGACGGTGTCTTCCATCTACATCCTAGATACTGTTTATTACTGTGTAACCAAAGACCCGCTTAAACAAAGACATATACATGAATACAACACCAGATATCCAGGGAACTATGTGTTGCCTGGCCACAGAACAGCAATATTTGAAAAGAAACCACTGTATGCAGGAGTGAAGATACTAAACAAGCTACCAGACCACTAGAAAATTGGAGGCCCTGTGCTGATGAAGAGGAAGCTACGGAGATGGCTGCTAGACAAAGCTTCCTACACCCTAAAGGAGTTATTTGCATGGCAAGACCACACACAACACTGAAGAAGCTTTTCCATTTCACTTTGTACCTATTATACCAATGTTATACAATTTATTTAAATTTGACGCTGTAACATTTCGTGATGAAATTGTAATAAAAGATATTGTCTATTGTCTATTGTCTATTCTCTACTCCACTTACTTGTAGTTCCGCATGTCGTCTTCGGTGATAATGCCTCCCATACTTTGTACGTCGTCAACGAACGTCTTGGTGAGAGTACCATCGTGTAACGCGTTTCCTCCCTCTTGCGCAATCACTTTGAGAGTTTCGCACAACTTTTTGGTTCGGACCAGACTCCCCGTAGTCTTATATTTTCCAGTTGGGTCCACAAACCACTCCCTGCAATCGTAATTTGAATGGTTATATTATTGTTTAAATCAAAATATTTACTGTTAAGAAGAGAAAATTGTTATTGGGCTTCACACAATTTGTTATAGACCATGAAAACAAGTGAGCAAGTGAGTAGCTCACACTGCTCTTTGAGAGTCAAAAGTCACTTTTTGATCTTGAGAAAAGTCATTAGCTTTTTGATGGTTCCAAACTGGATGAGCCCAGGGCCGTATTTCTAAATAGGCTAAGTAGGCTGCAGCCTAGAGCGGCAAAATTTAGGGGCGGCAGATTCAAAAATTAAAATAATTTTTTTTACATGCAATATTATTTTCCTTACAAATTCAAGTATACATGTCATTTAAATAAAGCTTTTAGAATATTCATACATTCTTATTTTCTATTTCGACATACGTATTATTACACAATCTAATATGTACAATCGCATTGCGCCAACACGCAGCGAGCGGCGATCTGGTGTTGGCAACACTGGAAGCTGGCGACTCTCAGGCGGGCTGCAGCTGGTGGATGTACGACCAGGAGCGGCAGCCACGACCAACTATTTAACTATTTAAACTATTTACGAACAAGCATTTCTGAAACCAGGCTGAATTCGCTTTCCCTACTATGTATAGAAGCTAATTTAACAAAAAAGCTTTCTTATGAAGATCTCATTAAAGAGTTTTCAACTAAAAAAGCTCGCAAGAAAGCCTTTTAAATACTGTATACACAATAAATTAGTTATCAGTTTTGTTAGTCGCTCAATGAAATATTTGTATTGGATTACACGAAGTTTATTTGTCGTAAATATTTCAACTAATAAACCAGTGATTCAAATAATTTCGTCAACTTAAATTTCACCTTGCAGAACTATCTAAATTTAATTTAACAATTTTCCAGCATTAAAAGATATTCAATAGCACAGAAATGTATACATTTCTTATATATAAGAATGATCTCAAATGCATTTTATTTGACGTAACATTAACCTTATAAATCCAAAAATTTATGATACATGTTATTTTGTATAGTATACAGGTGGAGTTGATTGGTATGATTGAGTGGAATGATTATATAGTAATAGTATTCGTAGGTTATATTTTATGTTTGCACGTGTATTTTCGATCGCCGACTACCGAGCGGTACTGTGCAGATCGGCAAAAATTAGTCTGTGCGCATGAATAACCAAATATTACCACGAGGTAGAGCGGGGGTAATTTTCCTATAAATATGTTTTCAGCAGTAAATATATACATATATAAGGGGCGGCATGAGGACTTGTAGCCTACAGGCGGCATAAAGGTAAATCCGGCCCTGGATGAGCCATCTTTGATCATTGTTAATTTATTACATTTCTAGGGAACTTAAATATCCAACAATGCTTTAAAATCATTTTTGATATTTTCTTTCTGTTTAAATAGTTACATAATAATTAAATCTTGCCACATAATGTTTATGACTATTTCACAATGAGAAACTAATTGATAGAAGTATCCCAGAACATGTAGTTTTAGACGCCTTGTACATTTAATCTACGTATAAGTGTCAAGACAAAAGTTTTTTTTAATCTTTTATCATATTTCTTGATTTTAGCGAATTTCTCTATAGGGAAGTAGCTATTACCGTAGGTGACATGGTAAGACCCCAGGACCAGGTCCAGGACCGATTAACTTTTTCATTTTGATGTCCCCAGGGACTAAAACGCTATTCTTTCAAATTTTTATATATAGTAACTAGCTGTTACCCACGGGCTTCAACCCGTTTGACTTCATAAGTATTATAAAAAAACTATTGATTGGTTAAGTTAAGCTGAAATAAACATAACAGAATACAGCATTACAAACAAATAATCACAATAGATTTTAATCTTACTAATATTATAAATGTGAAAGTTTGTGTGTTTGTTTGTTTGTTTGTTTGTTTGAAGTTCAATCACGCATAAACCACTGGACGGATTGGGCTAAAATTTGGCATGATCATAGCTTACATTCCCGATTAACATATAGGCATATTCTTATCTCAAAAATCCTTTCGGGCTCCGCCCCAGTGGCTCTGTAATTCCCCATGTTAACCTTATGAGTATTCATATTTAAAGGGAATTAAAGAATTTAGTCAGCTGTTTCAACTAAAAAAGTTGGTTCTATGATATGGAAAAGCATTAAAAAGTTATAAGATTTACCAACAGGGTGCAGCACTATATTTTTTTTGCATTTATGAAAACAGCTAATTTGAACTAAGCAGCAACAAAAAACTGTGATTCGCAATGAGAACTGTCAAAGTAGGATTGTTTACAGTTATGTATATGTTTTTCATTTCATGAATAATTTGTGATATTTTGCGAATTGATAATTTATTTTTCTCTATTGTTTAGGTAAAATTGTAGAACATTATGGCTATGGTAGATGTGTAATCTATATATCTAATTCCGTAAGCCCAAAATTTTACAATGAAATTGTGAGCGAACGGGAGGCCGTAGAAAGCTGGGAGAGGTCTCATTTTAAAGGTCTGGGCATGAAGTTTTGGGGAAAATTATTCATTTTTCTTAATTATGCACCAAAAAGTCGTTACGTAATAAAATAATTTTCATTTAAATAACATGGGAATCCAGGCCATGTCTGCTTTGGTTACTTAAAAACATGTGGTTTATTTAATTTAAATCATATGGTAATATGTACTGTAATATGTATACTATTATAAAGCTGAAATATAGACTTTTTCCAGGGTCTGGATTAGTTAATGGAATAAGATTAGTTGTGTTAGGTATGTCTGAAAAAAGTGTAAAGTTAGAAGTAATTACTGGAGTAGGCAAAGGGAACATATTTTCATGCCAAAAATAAAACTAACATCTAAAGATCCTAATATGCCGTTTAAGTTTAGGAATTCAATTCCTATTGCGATTAGCTTTCGATATTACTATAAATAAAGCGCAAGGCCAAACCTTCAAAAAGTTGGCATTTATTTGAAAAAAACCCGTGTTTACCCATGGTCAACTTTATGTAGCTTTTAGCCGGTTAAAGTTGCCAGATGATGTTAAAATAGTACTAGAACAAAATAAAGACCAAGGGTTCGATTAAAATGGATACTATACTCTGTTGTTTTCAGAGAGATTTTGTTATAATTAGCATTATACAATTTGGAGGATGACATTATCTCTATGTGTTTTATTTAAGTGAATTTGTCTATATTCAAAGGAATTGATAAATATTTAATTAATAGTCATGAAGATTATTATTGAAAATCTTCCTTAGATGTATATAATGACTAGCTGTACCCGCGGGCTTTGCCCCGTTTAACTTCTTAATTTTCAAGATGAGCTCGTTCGCATGGCTCAATCACGTCCTGGTTGAAGTGCTTTCGCTACGCTCACTCACCTTTAGGTTGGAGCTCGTTCGCCACACTCACTCACCTTTTGGTTGCAAATTAGCTGTTGTCATAAATTAAAAAAATAATAATAGTGCTGCACCCTGTTGGCAATCCTTGTAACTTTAAAGCTATTGAACATCATAGAACAGAACCAACTTGTTTAATTGAAACAGCTGATAAGATTCATTAATTCCTTTTAAATATGAAAAATCATAAGGTTAACATGGGAAACTCCAGAGCCACTGGGGCGGAGCCCGAGAGTCCGATCAGAATAAAAACAACTTAGTTTTCCTATTTAATGCCTAAAGAATCGGTGTACCAAATTTCAGCCTCCTAGGTAAATGGGAAGTGGCAGAATTAGTGATGAGTGAGTGAGTGAGTGAGTGAGTGTGTCAGTGAGGGCTTTGCCTTTTATATATTATTTAGATTAGAAAGTTTGTATTATAACCACACTACATGAACAGTCCTTTGGAATCTATATTTTAAACAGAACAGACATCAAAAAATTGCATTATGCAGGTATGTAATAACTTTTATACATATTATAATATACAAAAATGTTAAACGATAATTCAAGGTAGGGTAACCCATGAGACTAATAATTTGTACAAAATATTTACTAGAATATATATATAGGGGCTATTGCCCCTACAAGCCACTAGTACTATAGAATACTGTAAATTTAAAAAAGCAAATTTTTTCAAACTGTGTCCTCCACCCATTGCAATCGCAAAGCTTGAGTATAACTGCAATAAGCATTTTATACTTATATTCCAACCCCGTACGAAGGACGGGTACTCTGCTAGTAAGGTAATAAATTGAAAGAATAACATACAAATAAGAACAGCTGAGGTATTTTTAACATTAAGTATATGGAAAGTTCCCTTTGGAAAACAATTAAGACCTTAAAGGGCAATTTATGAAAAAATGGATAATTTTGCGCAAGGTTTCTCGTCATGACGAACATTTTAAGTATATGGTTTATGGGGGTATGACTTGTAGTTTTCTCAAAAGTTCATGGGTACTTTTGGCTTTATATATAGATGGTTTATGGGGGTGTGACTTGTAGTTTTCTCAAAAGTTCATGGGTACTTTTGGCTTTATCTATAGATAACTGTCAAAAGCAATGAATAAATCTATGTGAAAGTTTGTGTGTGTTTGTTTGTTGGAGGTTCAATCACACATTAACTTCTGGTCGGATTGGGCTGAAATTTGGTATGATGGTAGCTCACATTCCCGATTAACTTATAGACCTATTCTTATCTAAAAAATTCCTTCGGGCTCCACCCCAGTGCCTCTGGAGTTTTCCATGTTAACCTTATGAGTATTGATATTTCAAAGTAATTAAATAGTTTTGTCAGCTGTTCTAACTAAACAAGTTGGTTCTATGATATTCAATGGCATTAAAAAGTTATAAGGTTTACCAACAGGGTGCAATACTATTAATTTTTTTCCAATTAATACACACCCTCTAAGAAGCGCAATGCTTTTGTAAAAATTTCAGTCTGGAAATATTTTAATTTTCAATAGTTCCCGTGGCGGCCGCTAGGCAGACTAACACAAGCGTGCGGCCAAGTAAGCTGACTGAGTGAGAAGGGGGGAGACAAAGAATCTGCTTAGAAAGAGAGGGATATAGAATAGTGTGGCCGCCGCGCGAAGCACATTTCGGTGAAAAAATTCTCCATAAGCATTTTGCTACTTAAAGGGTTTGTATTCATTGTTTTTTTCATTTATGACAACAGCTTATGAACCAAGCAACAAAAATCTCTAATACACAATGAGAATTATTGTCAAAGTAGGATATTTTACAGTTATATTTATGCTTTTAACTTAATAAATAATTGTGATATTGTGCGGATGTTTGATAGTTTACTTTTGTCTACTGTTTAGGTGCAGTGGTAGGACATTGTGCAGGGTGTCCACAGAAAATTTGTCATTGATTTCCATGACTTACCATGACTATCCATCACCATTTACCATTAATTTCCATGACTCACGAACTTTACTCGAAAATTATAATATAACATTCACACACAAATAATACTGCCTAGACAAGCTATTTCGTAGAAAATACTTTACAGATAACAATGGAGTAATACATTTTGTAAAAATATGGTATTCAAAATATGGAGGGAAAAAATAAAACCCAGTTTACTCCGTCCCCATAGCTGGCCAAGTTCTCTCTCCACTTTCTTGTTTCCTTACTGTATACTTTTTATAATTAATTATTTATTGAGTTCACAGTGTTTCCAAAAATTAGCTTAACAAAAAAGACATAACTTACCTTAAGACATATCAAAACATTATAACAATATTTGTACTGTAATTTGAGTTGTAATACTTTTATACTTTCTTATGAAATGGCGACCATACAATGTAGGTATTTTAAGCCAAGTATGAAAGGAGATGAGTGTAGGATGAGTGGCGCGATCTTGTAGTCTTGTTAGTGACTAAGGCCGACATTCCTTAGACACAGCTGTTAATTAATAGCCCAAACAGCTAATGGCAACTAAGGGACCTACAGTTTATAATGGAATCCGAACCACATTTTTCCTTGGTATATACGAATTGGTCTAATTATCAGGATAGTACTGCGGATAGTCGTAGTACTCACTAGTGCGGACGTTAATCCACACCAGGGAGTATCCCATCCACAGTGCATGCCTATAAATATCCACAATCCGTGACCTCCAAGTAGCTGGATTACAGGACGACGCCACCCGTCCCAGTCTAATGATAAAGTTGAAATGAAATGAAATGAAAAATGTCTTTATTTAAGAGGCGAAGTTAGGACTAGCAAGTCCTCTCTACCACTTAACCTCTCCACCACTTGAAAGAAATAAATTGAATAAATAGAAAGTTTAATAGAAAGTTTAATAGAAAGTTGTAACATTTTAATATACTGTACACGACTGTTGCAACAATATCCTACAAATATTAAATTAAATTATAAGATAAAGTAGGTACAGATTGCATTGAACAAATTCAAAACTCTAATCAACTAATACAACTGTAATAAATTGAATTGATGTAAATTTATGAAAAATTCTGAAAAATGCTACAATAGTCGGTGTTACGGCCGACTAGAGCATTGAGTCCCGTCAAATCCATCCATCATTGAGGATTTCCATGACTTTTCCCTATTTTCATGACTTTCAATGACCAGAATTTTTTTCCATGACTTTCCAGAATATGGACGCCCTGATTGTGGCTATCGCAGATGTGTTAACTACAGCATACCGTTAATTTAAAGAAACAAATTTTCTCAAACCCATTGCAAACGTAAAGCAAGAGTATAACACTGCAATCAGAATTTCATACTTATACGCCAACCCCGTGCGAAGGACAGTATTCTGCTAGTAAATATATATTATCTTATTATGTGTCCGTTAGCGCCATAACTCGAGCGAAAATCATCCGATTTTGATGAAATTTGGTACAAACGTGTAAACCTAACCTGTAAACCAGCATGATCGGACAATGGGAACAGGGGTTTATGGGGGGTTTTATGGGGTAAAAATAGGTTTTTCCCGTTTTTGACCATAAACACTTAAAATTTAGCATTTTCTTTTCAAACCATATTGTGGAGCTTAAAAAAACAAATAATTTAGTATTTTGAAGCGTTATTATGCGCCTAATGGTTACAGAGAAAATTTAAAAAAACTGTAAATTTAAAATTTCAATGTTATTCTTATGGAGAATAAGTAAACTGTTGTAGTTTGCTTGTTTATGAACATATTCTGATCAAATTTAGAAAATGCATTCATTTCATACTAAACTATTATCATTTTACAAAAAAAAAAAACACCTTTTTACCCTCCCTGTAGCAGCAAACCTAAGTACTCGTTAAACTAATCTATCTATATATTAATAGGCAAGCATGTTTCTTTAAAACCTTTTTTCTCAGCTCGTGTGCATCGTAGGGAAAATCTACGCATACCGTTAGAAAGCTATTTTCCTGTAGGTGTGCAGAATCCCTTTAGAAATTTAAATAGGCTCAAAGATAAGCACAAAAAATTAGTTTAAAGATTTGAAAAAATTAACATGGATCTTATGCGTTGCCATGCTGGTGACGAAATAACAACGAAATATAAACAGGAAATCAAAACAAATGGAAGAAACTCCAATCACATGTTTTATTTACAGTGTGGGGTGAAAATAGAGAAGTGAGTACATTACATTATTTTGGTCGAGTTTCGACCACTGGACGACCTCTCGTGTTATTTAAATAGGAAATAAATGTGATATTTTTAAGGAGACATTTTAGTGTAAATCCAATCAGGCAAATGGAAATTCGCTTAGTCTGCAGGTTTGCTGCGGCGGGGGAATTTTTTTAATTTTTGACCATAAAAACTAAACAAATTTTGCAATTTATTTGCAGCAGGCCCGTTTTTGGCCCTATCAGCACCCTAGGCACTACTAATAGCAGCAACCCTTTCCAATACATACAGTGTGATAGAAAAGTCCCGGAACGGTTAAATATTTTAAAAAATAATGCAGATAGAGCTAAAAAAATACTTGGTACAAAGTTACAGGGCATAAAACTCTATTTTAACACATATTCAGTGATCCAATAATTCTTCAGGGGGATGGCCCACAAGGAGTCGGAAGAAAATCTTAAATGGAAGCATAGGTCAATATGCACATCAAATTAAAGGTCTTTTTTAATAGAATACAATGCCGCAAACCGCACTTCAAAAGGTTGATCCTGCGCAAAATGGCAGATGTTTTGTTGACCAGATGTGTATTGTTACCTAGAACTTATAGTGATAGAGAATTAGCGGAATAGATCACGAATTATGATTCAAATTGTAGGAATACCTAGGAAAATTACACTACCTCAAGTTAGGATCGGAAATGGAAAATTTAAACCGGAATGGAAGGCAGCCACTTGTATAATCACTCATGCGGAAACCCTCTTCGCACATCTTTAGCGTAGGTTCTAATACTTCGGCCCAGGAGAGACGGCCGAACTTCTGGTGTGCCTCCCAGTATCCTCGCAGCTCTCCGGGAACCCCTGCCGCGAGCGCTCCTGTAACCAACCTTAGCTCAAATCAAACATCATTTATTCCATGAATAAAGTATACAAACAGTAATTCCAAACAAACCAACAGAGTAACTTAGGGGGGGTTCACGAGCTCGGGACTTCATAGTCCGCGACCAGACGTTGGTCCCAGATTATATAAGCGCCGACCAAAAAACGGGTTCACGAGTCAGAGCATAATGATGTGAAAGCATTGTAGGTCGAGACCAAATCCGTAGCGGAGCCTAATGGCAGGGATTCGCAGGGAATTTCTGTTGAGACGTTGGTAACAACCAGTAACAAAAGTCTGGAAACACATGTGAAGCCACTGCTGCTGACATACGCACTTCCATACAATAGGATTATCGTGAAAAAAGGCTGAACCAAAGCGTCCAAAACGATTATTTTTCTCGTATTTCATTGTCCCAATGCTCGCCTATGATAATCTATCTAAGTTAACTGATTTATAAACACAAAAATCCACGTTTGTATGAAATCAGACAATGGAAGTCTTTAGTAAAATATACATTTTGTGTTGATACGATGTTAAAAGTCTGTTTCATTACAATGCGTTTATATTTAGGGAAACATAGTTTTTTTTTTTGTTGGGCATCGTTTCGAACTGAAAATTTGATTTATTTTGCTTTCATTACCAAACAAATAGCTACCATCCAAGCTTTACCAACATCCAATAAATCACCAGTTTCTCGATGAAAAGTGTCATCAGCCAAAAATATTAGTGCAACTAACATTTTTTTTCAATTTAGAATACTGTAAAGGATTTTTTGTAGGGAAATCCGTGCCTTGGAGTGAACGCCTCAAATGACTCATTGATGGCATCTTTGGAACATTTAAATCTATCTTTAAATTCATCAAGTCATAAAAGGGTTTTAGTCATGATAACGAGCTGGTCCTATGCGAGGTAGTGGAGTGATGGTACATAATTGTTAACATTATACAGTGTAGATATTTCATACTGTAGTCATATTCAATACACACGGCGACCAGTGAGTACAACACAAGACGGTGATGTGATATCACCGCGAACCGTACTCAACGACTGACGGTTTGCTTGATGTTTCCCACGGCAAAAAACTATTTTTGATAATTATGTTATATAACGATGGTTTAACTGTGGCTGATTAGTTATATTTATATTCTACGCATAATTTTGTTGTTAAAATTGTAATAACATACATGGGGTTTATCAGTAAAAATATCTTTGTTATGATACTACTTTGTTACGTGCATAATTTATCTGTCGTTTTAAGTTGTTTGATGATTTTTTTCATGTTTTATGAGCCATTTTACCATTTTTACATAATCCGAAATCCGAAATTGTTCGGAATTTAATGAGGAACCATATTTAAACATAAGTTTTTAACAAATAATAAAAATAAAGGAGTTAATTAGATAAAACCGGCATCATGTCACCTTAAACCTGCCTCCTACCAGGTCTGAGTTGGAGACCAAACACCATCGTTCTTTTGGGCCCGAACCATCTCATCTGGGCTCGGACTTGACTCGTGAACCCACCGGGACTAATGATCAGAAGCCTGGACTATCTGCAATTGGACTCGTGAACCCAACTTTTAAAACCGGGTTTTATCCCTGCACTAATTGTGTGCCGCCTATCAGTTTGGTCCGCGGCTTAGATAGTCTCGAGCTCGTGAATCCGATTTTTTAAGTTGCGGCCCAAATACCGGTTATTTCCAGATTCTGGGCTCAGACTACGATTGTCCCGAGCTCGTGAACCTCCCCTTAGTCTACTACTCAAGTGGGTTACCGGTTCAATCCTAAAAAAAAGTCAGAAACATTTTTCCTATTCTGTGGCTTGTTTATACAAGAAACTTTTTTGTCTATAGGTGTAGTTCAGACAGTCAGTAACACAAAAATCCCTGTTTTTAACGAATATACAGGGTGATTCACCTTAAGTGTTACAATAGCTTTTTTGAAACATTTTACAAATGCTATTTTTTTTTTAAGTTTTGCCGCTCATTTTTTTTATGACAATCCCTAAAAATGTTTAGACAATTTTACTCTTGGAATTTTGTTGATAGTCCTAACCGTTTTGGAGATACAGCCATAATAAGCCACGATAACCATGGATATTGTATTACTGTTTACAACAACATATCAGTTAAGCTTTCATATAAAATAAGAAAATAAATAGCAAGATCCCCAGACCTGACTCCTTTAGACTTTTGCCCATGGGAAGCAGTAAAGGAGAGAGTGTTTAGCACCCTGCCAACCACGCCAGAAGACGACATGCAGGACTGCTTCTCGCTCAACGATCTCTACGACGAAGACTAAGAATATGCAATGACCACTAAGGTTGACACTTTAAACATTTGTTATGAAAACACGTTGTATCAGTATGAATTGAGAGTATGTGGTGTCAACCTAACCACAGCTGTGATGCCTTTGATCTTCACTTTATTTTAATATTTATTATGTAACAGCTGTTGCTAGATTGTTAAAATGTTAAGTTTTAACTATGTCATGTTTTTTAGCACACTTCTTCATTCGTTTGTAAATAAAACATTATCAAAATAATCGTTCATATAGTGGTGCAATTATTTCATACAGATTAAACATTGCTATATATTGGTGATCCTGAAGAACAGCAAAAAGAAGTACGACATACCTTCCTCAATTTTACCAATGTCTCAAGAAGAAATCGAAGCTCAATTGGCGAATCTGCAAGAGCAACAAAATGAGCTCTCTACCAACATTAAGCAATGCGACGACCCTGGTAATGTATCAGTTCATGAAGTTGCAGTAAAGCTTCCACCATTCTGGGCCTATTGACCTAGTCTATGGTTTGCTCAGGTAGGTTCCCAGTTCACCATCTCAGGCATCACGAGCGATGACACTCGGTTCCACTACGTCGTTTCACAGCTTGAAACACATTACATAGTGGAAGTAGAGGACATCATCACAAATCCGCCTGCAATGGTTCGTTTCACGGTACTTCGTTCGAAAGCTATTTGAAAGGCTAGGTCTACTAGTGAAGACCAGTGCGTTCGCCAGTTGATCAGCAACGAAGACATCACAGTTTTTACGCCACCAACGTAGTCTGATCTATACATTACATTACAATACATTTAAGAATAAATTCTCAAGTGGGTATGATGATATCCCTATTATTTTGCTAAAATCAGTAAAATTTGAACTTGGTTAAGTTTTATGCCAGTTAGTTAATTCTTCTTTTATCTCAGGAAATTTTCCAACCCTGTTAAAAATAGCTAAAATTATTCCCATACATAAAAAGAATGACATAAAAAATCCATCAAATTATCGGCCGCTGTCTCTATTGCCAACTTTATCTAAAATCTATGAAAAGGCAGTTTACATACAACTACAGTAACACATTTTCTTGAAGAACACCATCTCGTGGATAGCTCCCAACATGGGTTTTGTAGCGGAAAATCAGTGACAACTGCTAGTGTTTCTTTTATAGAATCAGTGATAGACTCAATATAGATGCTGGTGAACCAAGCGTTGGAATCTTTATGGACCTGTCAAAGGCTTTTGCCACTGTGGATCATAAAATTCTTCTTGCCAAATTAAAATTACTCGGCTTGGATCCTCATTCCTTGAATTGGTTTAGTTCATACCTAAATAATAGATATCAGTTTTTTCAGATTACTCACTTGGCCAAAAACAATAGAATTATAAATCATAAATCAGAGTTGAAACCAGTAAAATTTGGTGTGCCTCAGGGATCTATGCTGGGACCACTCTTGTTTATATGTTATTTGAAAGATATTTTTAAATCATTATCAAAATCAGATAACACAAAACAATGCTGATGATTCAAATCTTAAAGTATCGGGTAATAATTTAGAACAAGTAGAAATTTTATCATTCACTGAAATAGGAAATATGGTTACTTTTTTTTTGAAAATCACAACCTCCACTTAAATATTGAGAAAACTAACTACATTTCCTTTAAAACAGCCCAATCAAGGATAAAAAAAGAACCCTTGATTTTGGTGAATTCTGAGCCTATTGAGCTTGTCAAAAGTACAAAATTTCTTGGTCTAACAATAGATACAACCAACCAACCGTTTGGAAAATGGCGCGAAATTTTAAATAAATTATAGCTTGTCGTAAAGTGTTACAAAAAAATAAGGGAAGTTTTTCATTTAAAATTCTCTGTAAAATAAACGCCTAACAAGTTAGCTATTGTAACACAGTTGAATCACTTTGTATATACTGGATGAATGAATATATACACTCATTCTCCACTCATATTTGGGTTGAAATACACACCTATAAGGTGTCTCAACTCCATTGATAGTTGATAATGTCAACCAATATGTTTAATAGCAACAATGTATTTATCCACCCACCAGAACAATATCAAAAGCGCCACTTGGATTTGAAGTTAAAGCTTGCAAAACTATTCTTTTGTAGCAGTTTACAGTGATATCCTATAATAAACTATAACAGTTCTTCATCCTTGTGTCCCTCACACAATACTGAGTACAACATTGTCTAGATATCAGTGATTATAGTGGTTGCCTTGAAATCTGAAGTTCTTGGTTTGATTCCAAGTGAGATGGTTCTAAGCCCAGATGCAATTTGTATCATTGGGATGTCAATTAATGATGGAATGAAACAAAAGGTCAAGGTTAGGTAGTAACAGGACCAGGGTTAAGATTGTTCCTTTAGAAATCAAAAGTACCAAAAATTTTGTGAAGTACACAAAATGCTCTAAATTATGCTAGTTCAGGTGAATGTTAGCCTAACTTGTACCAACCACATTTCAGTGGTAAACCCTAAGTAAGTATCAACCTAAATTATAAGAAAAAAATTCAAAATTCTGAAACAACTAAAACCCATAGTTTTAAACCACATGGAATCACTCTCTACATTTTCAAAAATATGTGACAGAATTAAAAAAAAAAAAAAAAATTACATTCAAAAACCTACCATCTTCTGACAAAAGGCGCTTGCGGGCGAACATATCCTTCGTAGCAAAACCTGGTGCAGTTTCTCTGGCAACCAGAGCGTGAGCGGTCTTGGTCTCGCGTTTGTACACTGTCATCATGAACCCTCCGCCCAGTCCCATACTCTGCATGTTGAACACCCCGTTGCAGAATAGTGCCGCCACCGCAGCATCCACTGCTGAACCTTCCTTTTTCAAGATGTCTCTGGTAAACACAAAGTAATACTTTTCAAAACGGTTCACTTCCAGGTTAAAGTTAAGGCCTAGTTGTTATCAGGTCGTTTGGCCTCATATAGGCTGCATTTTTACTTCCCACAGTAACTAATATAGCTGATAACTTAAATTATGACAAAATATAGTTCATCTCACGGGCAAAAGTGTCTTCCAGCCTTGCTCTTTTTTCGACCTAGGCTTCACCTCGGTCGTTAAACTTGAGCTCAAGTCGAAAAGAGTCACTTTATGCCCTGGTGATAAAATATACTTTCTCTCAAATAATAAAATCCACTTCCAACTTTCAAACAAAAAACTAGTTGTTTCCAGTTAATAATATTAACTACATTTCTGTTTAGTCAATAAGAGATATTAATTAGTAATATTTTTAGTTATAAGAATTTCTACCAACAAATCAATATTTTGAGTTGTAATATTTTCGTAATGTAATCTAGTTTTATCTGAGTGAGGCAGACAGAGATAGACGAAGCCCAGTCTGAGTCACTTCCGCCAGCAACGGAATTTCCCAGCGCTTTTGTAGCGTACCTGTATCCACAGGAAAAGTTCAGTTCAGCTCAGTGCTTGTGCTTGTTCGGCTCAGTTCTTGTTCTCGTGCACAGCGTACTGCTGTGTTCTCTTTTGTCCACGCTTCTCTTATGGGCGTTTGGATTAATCATCTCTTTGTAACTCTATCTTATGTATCATTGCTCAGTATTAAAGTAAAATCCTCTTATTACTCTAAATCAAAGTCAGTGTTTTATAGTCCCTTGTGTTGTTCTAAATTACTCTCCCCCTCTGTGCTCTACTCTTCTAGAACTTCTTTGTGCGCGTTCGTGAGCAGATTCTCAGGACATTTCTACGTGGACGTATCGTTAACGGTCTACCGCGACAGAAGATCATTATCTGAAAGACATTCGTTTTGGCGTGAACGCTCTACTAAATCAAGATCAAGATTCCTCCATGCCTAGTGACTTCCCTCTGTGCAACACACTAGCTTGGACACGAGGCCTTCCCTTAGCCTAGTAGAACACTGGAAATTGGTGAGTGACTCTTTTCAACTCATTCATTTAATTAAGGTGTTTTCAAGCTCTATGGTTCCAGACCTAATCGGGTGGTCCTTCGAATTTTACTTATTTCTCACTCTCTAATTTGTAATTATCTCATATTTTACTCCCCCAAACAATCAATCGAACAATTTCCATTTCAATAATTTAAATACAATTTTATCTTGTCACTACATAATAAATCAAAAGTCAACACTCAATAGGCTACTGTTTTAATAAAGGTTTTAACACGTTCATGCGACGCCGCGGTCAATACCACAGACCGAGGTATACATTTGAATCTTACACACAGACCGGCTGTCACTTGGATAACAGTACACACAGACCACGGGCAAAAACCTGTAAAACAGTGATCATTTACATTGAAATACGCTACAATCGTGTTTGTAAATAATGTATTCTTCTTTTTTTTTGTATTATTAATAACCTTTTGTAATGTTGCATATTTGCGACGCCCGGTCTACAGCGAAGACAATAGTGAAAATTATCATAGTTTTCTTGAAATAGACCAAACGTTGCATACACGCGACAGTTCATTTTTTGTGTTTTGAGGTGAAAGTAAGTAAAATAAAAAACAGATTGATCAAAAACAGCTTATAACTGAACAAATATAAAATAATAATGCAGCATGCATACTGCATACATACATACAGTGATGCAGAAAAGTAAAGACCAGTTTTTCCAACTATCATATGACGTCACCAATCATCATATCCACAGACCAAGCGATGCAGTTGTGCGTCAGACATCTCTGTAGACCACTGCAGGGAATTCAGTGCCTTCAAATAGACCGTTACAAAGATATAAGCATTTTAATAACATTAAAACCCCGACGCAAATATACAATGGCAGTCTATTTTAATGTGACTAGCCGACGCATATATGTGACGGCAGTCTATGGGTGGAACCCGGCCGACGCATATGTGTGTCACTGGTCCACGTGAATGAAAAATTTCGTACTATTGCAGTAGCGAACGTGTTAACAGAGTACACAATACTGCCTGACAGAACAGTTAACATTTACATCTTACTTTTGACATGTTAAAGGTGAAACTCTTTCCATACAATTTTTTTTTGCAAACACTCTAATAACGACTTTAACCAGAAGACCTTGGTTTCGTTGTTTTTTCACCATTATGTTTAGTTAATCAAAAGCGCGGTACCCCCATGCTGAAAGCAGGGCTATGGCAGATAAGACAAACTTTTCAAGTGTCTGTCCTTGAATTTTTGTGATGGTCATGGCAAAAGCAATTTGGCATTGGAACTGCAGATGTTTGAATTTTTAGTAGAAAATTTCCCTCTGACGATTCTAAACTTAATTGGAATAATAATACTGTACTCGTTTTCCAGCCGAACTTGCAGTAATCATTTTCATATTTAAGACTTTGTCATTAATCTCTTTCACCATTACTGTATTCTGGTTCTATTAACCAGTCCTTTTTCTGGATTTAAATTTCTTAGTAAAATTACAATTTCACCTTTTTATAAACATAACTTGTGAGACATAATCATTTGGTGCTTAAGTGTGGAGAAATTCATCAGGGACATATAACCGGTCTTCCTCGTCTTGAATCAAAGTGTATAGTATACAACAAGAGTATAGAGTACCACTGAGTAGTAAATTCTACTTGTCATTATTTAGTTGCTTAGCTATTTTATTATTAACTAGTGGCCTGTAGGGGCCATAGCCCCTATTTTCCATATGAAGGCAACTCCCCATTTCGCGGTAGTAAGTCAGAAATATATCCATGAATTTGTCCCTGAATTTTAAATCAGTAGGCCTACGGCCCATTTCCCGGAATCTCTTTTTGTATAGCGGAAAGCGAAGCAAAAGCCATTGCACTGTTGTATTGCCTTATGTTTTTTATGAAGTTAGAATCATGTAAAAACATTACTTTTAGTTCGTCTTTTAAATGTGGTTGTGGCATGTAAAATGAGTCCATTTGTGGCCTCTGCGAAGTGAAATGCGCCACAACACAAGCAAGGGCTGTTAAGAGGATCTAGCCTAGATTGTGAGAAACAACACACAACTCATTTTCCAGCGTTCTTCTGAAGGCTTGTAAACCAACGTGTGGATTTCTTTTATATTTAGGTCTTACATGACGTTCTCCTTCAGCATTTCTTGTGTTAGTTGAATTCCTGGATACTCTTCCACGTCTTGCAAGTCTTCCCTACCCTGTCTAGTTACTTCACTCATTATAAAAACGGAAACCCAAAAAAATAAACGAATACGTTTCATTTTGAAACATGATTAAACAGCATTTACTCTCGGAATAAATGTAAACATTACAAATAAATAAGCAACAGCTGATTAGAATGCAGACGCTTTTCAGTCCCCATGCATTTCTTATGGTGGATATTTTACATTATATCTCGTTTTCTGGTAACTTTATGGGTATTCTGCAATTTTTCCGAGTCCCTGGGGTTAAGACCTCTAATTTGAGACCACTCCCACCTTTCTGCGACTCGCCAGACGTCCACAATTTTCTGGTAAATATTTTTTCTTACAAAATTATATATAAGGATTTGGTCACCATGTTCATTCTTTGGTTAAATTATTGCATGATTTTTGTCTTTTTTAAGCATTTTCAGAGAATCCTTCACTGAAGATTTCGTCAATGATATTTTTATTTGCAATATATTGTGGTGGAAGACTTATCAATGTCTCACAAAGACCATAAAGGAAGCTCTCTTGGCCATTCCTTATCCGTAAAAGATATTCATCAAATATTGATTCCCTTGGATTTGCTCTCATGTTTTTAGCAAGTGAAATGTTTTTAAACATTTTTATTGTTTTCCATATTCAAATTGTATTATTACTTATTATATTAAAGTTCATTTAAATAATTGACCATAAAGGTGATATAGTTATTGAATTTTCTACCATTTCACAGCGACTCACACCAGAGACTATGGTAGCTCATTGCCAGAAATTACCTCCTAAAACCTTTCCACCAAAAGGCTTTGCTTCGCCTTCTCTTCTGGTGATATCTCGCAGTAATCATTCTACAGATGATAAAGCATACTTATTGGACATAGAAGCTTCATCCTATAATATTATTTTACAAATATTTAGCTTCGTTACGATTGGATTTTATTCCGGAGACTGAGACTGACTCATTTAATTTTATTGGCAATTTAAATCTGTTTTGTACTGTACGTACGCTAAGATCTCTTAAGTCAAAATAGTCTGTTTTGTGACAGCATCTGTCCGTGCAATATTAAAAAAACTTCAAAACCCAGCATAGGTAACTTTTCAAAATTTATTATCATACCATCGTTAATATGTCGCCGAATCGCAAACACAGAATTGTTTCTTCTAGGTAGAATTTTATGATAATCAAACAAAATTAAAATTTGGAAAACACAACACATAAAAATATCTATGAAAACGTTAAACACACCATTATCTGAAAATAAAATACAATCACATAATGAAATAGACTGGTTTTTACTTTCTATGAATGAAACTGCATAAATCAACTATACCATCTCATAAGTTATCATTGTATTTTAAAGTAAACTGATAGGTAAAAAGAAAAGTAAATATATTAAAATAGAAGGGAAACAGGCTATTTTTATGAAGACAGATGTTTACTTTAAAGTAGGGATGGTCAAGTCTCGAAATTTCGGGAAATTTTCGGGAAATTTTAAATCTCGTTACACGAGACGAGATTTCTTTTTGGCCGAGATTTTTACCGAGACGGGAATTAAAAAAAAAAAAAAAAAAAAAAAAAAATTAAAAACGCCTGCAGAAAGTCAATGCAATACCCGCAATACAGGAGCGTGTTGTAGTTGCGTTTCCTTTGTGAAGGCGTTCTTATTTAATTAATTCTTTAAATGTAAATATTACTTTAATTATTTTAATAATATTACTTTAAAAACATTTGAGAAGTTTTGTAAAGTGTAAGCAGTGTGAATGTTTTATTACTATAAAAAGTCAAAACAAGTAACTATAAAAAAAAAATTAATATTGCTTTTATTTTATGATTTATTTTGTTTTAGGATAAGTTGAACTCTATCCTAACTGATATCACTATGTTTCCTAATCGTAGGCATTTTTAATAAGATAGGCGTGATTAATAAAAAAATGTTATGCTGATGTTTTTTTAATAAAAGATTGTAAATATTCTTGACTATTATCATTATTTTTGTATTTAAACAGTCATCTAACAATGTTACAAAATCAGGTAAAAATTTTGAACGTGCATTTCCCGTTGTGTATGAGAAGGGAAATCCCGTCTCGATCTCGTCTCGAAATTTTATGAGAAATAAAAAATCTCGTCTCGTCTCGTCTCGAATTAAAAATCCAATCTCGTCCATCCCTACTTTAAAGAAATGAATCATATGTTAGGTAATCTTAAAAATCTTAAAATCTTAACAAATGTTGACTTGTATATTTAAAATACATGAAAACTTTAAAGTCCAATGGAGCAAAGCACATTGAACTGAGCGTGACAAAAGTTATTCCATGACTTCTACAGAGAATTCCCTTTAATTTGACACCTTAATCATCAAAATCGGTTAATAAATAAAAGAGTTTTGCTGTGCACATGAAATTCCTTACGGAATTAGAATAATAGAAGATAGGTGTTGAAATCAATATCAATAAAAAAAAAACTAACCAATATAAGAATAAATATAAGAACTCTTGAGAACTTTGGTACAGTACAAGGAAGTGACCAATATTAGATTTTGAAGTGTTCATTGATATCCTCTGTAACCACTGATTATATCTACATGATCGTTTATATGATGCAGTTACGCTACCTGCCGATGATTGAGCACGGGTTGCCATCAGTGCAGACGGCTGCCTTGCGGAAGCTGTGCTCTAAACTCGGGGAGGGTGGCAGTTGTTTTTCGGGGTCTGGAAGCTCCCCTGTCTCCACCCAAGCCCCCTTGTTGAAGAAGCGAGGAGCGAGACGACCGAAGACTTTCTGCCAGTTAAGGCGGGTAGAGGAGGCGATCAAAATAACAACAACGCAAACTGCTACGTAGCGCCCCTGTACACTGTACCTGAAATTAAAATATGTTGATAAAATGTTGGATGAAATGGAAAGCGAATTTGTGATTTGGGGAAGATTGTTTTGTGTCCAGAGTTAATCTCCGCTTTCATACGTTGATGGTTTGCTTAATCTGAGGTTTGACATCACTTTCAAAAACCAATTTTTTATATCCACTCAAAACTTAAACTCGAAAACAATACTTTTTCTATACTATGGTTTAAGAGGAGAAGTAAAAATAATAATAATAATAATAACGAGCTGTTGGCCCGTCCTACGGGAATCAAGTAGTCCATTAAAACTGTATACAGGGTGTTCATTTGAACACTGTCCATTTCTGTTCTATGCAAAGGTAAGGCTTTTAACACTTTGTTTGTTCACATTTCCCCCTAATTTGGACATGCCAAATCCAATCAAATTTTCAAATTTGAAAAATGCCCCAAAAGGGCCCAATTTGGGGGGTAGAGGTGCTTTTTGAGAAATTTTAAAATGTAAACATGGGTTGTTTGATACATCAATTTAAATGTCAAATCACCCCGATCATTTTGATGCAGAAAAAATGTAATTATCTTTAACCGTATTAACAGGGTGGGTCAAAACGTAAAAAAAAAAGACTTTGAAGTTAAGTTCCGTATTACCCTAACTACTGAACGGAACAGCGCGAAATATCTTTCCAAGCTTATTCTTGAGCTACTCTTTAAGATAACTTGTAGTAAGGGCATTTTCCATGCTATTTTCTAATTTTAAAAAATCGCAAATTCGAAGAATAAAAGAAAGCTGAAAACTCAAAATTCTTAAATAACAAGGTATAACAAATTTCATATCATGTGAAAGGTCCTTTTTTAACAAACATTTTATGTATTTAAGTTTTCTTTCTATCTCTTACTGTTTAAAAATTTCAGTAAAAAAACAGAATTTTCTATGGTAACATTGTAACTAGTTTTCTAATTTCTAATTTGAAAATAGAACTTGCACATGAGCAATCATTAGCTTTTCAACCTTTCTAAAGTTGATAAAAGTTCTTTTTCATTCATTCTTACTCTCATTACAATTTTCATCCAAATGCTGAGCTGAATGTTTACTCATTGTTACGTTAAGCAAATGGTGTTATACCAAAAAATAGAGTAGAATGTTAGCATCGGCTGCTAGACTTTTTAAAATTTTAAACTTAATTTCTAATAAAATGAAAACCTAAACTAAAATTATGGCTTTGACATTCCCTAGTTTTCAAAATTATCTTTCTGTCAACACAAAAATCACGAAAATCCGTCAAGTGGTTGATTCAGAATCTTGAAATAAAAAACCCTGTCACGTTTTAACATATATGATAATTAGAATAAAAATGAACCTTTTTTTATGAAATTTGGTACAATTATTTACCCAAGTTTATTCAAATGAGTTCACTATCGAGCGTGATCAGACTTTGGGGATTTTATTAGGTAAATATTTGTGTTTCCAATTTTGACCCCAACACATAAAATATTGCAGTTTCTTTCTAACTACGGTATTTTGTAGACAATCCTTATATATAATTCTGTAAGACAAAATCTTTACCAGAAAATTTTGGATGTCTGGTAAGTCGCAGAAAAGTGGGAGGGGTCTTAAATTAAAGGTCTTGACCCCAGGGACTCGGGAAAAATAGCAGAATTTCCATAAAGTTACCAGAAAACGAGATATAACGTAAAATGTTCTCCATAAGAATAGCATTAGAAACCATTTTCTGCTAATTTTTGTTTACATCATACAGCTGATCGCGATTTATCATCAAGCCAGTACGCAATGATAACATTTGCATTATACTTATTTGCCAGTAAGTTCAGCAATGTACTATATAAAACCAGGGATAACGTTACCTATAATAATTAAGACTTTTTAGTTACGTTATATAGAATATGGGAATATATTATTTTACTGTGAAACTTTTCAAACTTGTGTTTAACAAGAAATAACCACATTGAATAAATTATTAACGAGCTACCTTAATAAACCAGTATTTTTTCACAACCAATTATATGTTTGCTGCCTTTATAGTGTAGCCTTGCTTTAGCAGAGTTAAATCTATGTAGTGATTCGAATGATTTATTGAAAATAACATCAACAAAGACAAACAACAAACTGTTTTTTACACAAAAGATATGGCATATATACAGGGATATCTATTCTGACACATAGATAATATATTTCTTTGTTTGTTTAAATATTAGAATAATTTGTTTTATATTATTGAGCATTTTAGGGACTTATGTCCCTACAAGCCACTAGTAAAACAATAATCTTATTCATAAAAAAAAATTGAGTTTTCTTTTCCGAGTTCGATTAACTCTTCTACCCGACCGATTTTCATGATTGAGGTCTCAAATTGAAGGTATGCAGTCACAGATTTGCCATCAAGCATCGGCATATAGTTATCTATAGTATCACTCGGTTATAGGTAAACGAAATTTGCTCCCCATGTATTTCTTATAAGAGTTAAATTAGGTTTCTCTTTGCCGAGTTCGTTTGGCTTTTCTACCCGACCGATTTCCATGATTGAGGTCTCAAACTGAAGGTATGCACCCACAGATTAGCCATCAAGCATCGGCATATATTTATCTATAATCCCACTCGGCTTATATGTAAACGAATTTTGCTCCCCATGTATTTCTTATGGGAGTTAAATTTGGTATATATTTTCCGAGTTCTTTTGGCTCTTCTACCCGACCGGTTGTCGTGATTGAGGTCTCAAATTGAACGTATGCACACAGAGATTTGCCATCAAGCATTGGCATATATTTATCTATAATCTTACTCGGTTTATAAGTAAACTAAATTTGCTCCCCATGTATTTCTTATGGGTGTTAAATTTGGTTTTCTTTTCTGAGTTTGTTTGGATCTTCTACCCGACTGATTTTCATGATTGAGGTCTCAAATTGAAGGTATGCACAAACAGATTTGCCATCAAGCATTGGCATATATTTACCTACTGTATTACTCGACTAAAAAACATAATTTGATTCATTTTTGAATTCTTACTTCAATTTAAGATGTATTTCACCAGTTATTATTATATTATCCTATATATTTTGGCCTAAGAACCAACAATGAAATACCGGCTTTCATTTAAGCTATTAGTTATTCAAATCGACGAGTTTCAAGCAAACGCAAGGTGTACAACGATCATTAAAAATTATTTTTCATAAGATTTTTCTGTGATTAAAAACCAATCTCTCCAGTATTGTTAATGTTTTTTATATGTTTTAGACTCAAAATAATCAGTAAATTATAGGCTTTAATTTGAGCTATTGAACGTTTGAATCAGTTAAGCTCAAGATACTGGATTAATCAATCAAAAATCATAAATTTAATTATTTCTTGGATATTATAATTATTCTAACGCTGCGGAGCAGTATGGGTCCTCTAGAATTTTGTTACCAGCATCACACCACAATCATTCGACTCCGATAAACTCAAAATACTTATAAACTTTATTACTCCGGAAATCGACGAGTACATAATCGTAAGCGGTACGTATAACGATTCTATATCTGTGCTAAGAAGTATCTATGTAAAACCTGTAAATTAAATATATTCCAGACATAAACTACCTGCACGTCAGCAGCAACCTGAGGAGACTATTGACCAATATCTCCAGGCTTTAAAATTATTAAGTAAAGACTGTCAGTTTAAAGCTGTCACAGCTGAAAAGGATAGGGAAAATTATATCCGTGACACATTTATTGCTGGAATAAAATCTTCTGCAATTCGCCAGCGCTTATTACTAGAAAATGTTTTGTTGACACTAGATCAGGCATATAGTCAAGCCAGATCCCTAGAACTTGCACATGAGAAATCGTTAGCTTTTCAACCATTCTAAATGTGATAAAAGTTATTTTTTATTCATTCTTACTCTCATTACAATTTTATTTTTTTTATCAGATTTATTATTGAAATTACGTTTTGAGATGAGTAATTAGGATTTCTGCTACAGCAGGGGTTTAAAGTATGTGTTTCTTTAATGTAAATAGCTTGTTATAAAGTAAAAAATCCATATTTTATAAAAATATTTTCTTAACAAACAGGTTTCGAGACTTTTTATATATTCTCCCCAAGAACAACAAAAACATTTATGATATATGTAGTTTTTTGGAATTTCTTTTGTGACCATTAGGAAAAAACCACACAATGGTCACAAAATAAATTCCAAAAAACGATATATATCATAAATATTTTTGTTGTTCTTGGGGAGAATATATAAAGTCTCGAAACCTGTTTGTTAAGAAAATATTTTTAGTTTACCAACAACTGAAATGCCTAACTCACAATAGTTTACCTAGAACTATTTACAATTAGAAAACTCACATTTTACAGTTCCGGCGACAATTCAATGTGACAGAACACGGCCAACAGCAATGATCGTGGTCACACTGAAGTTTAGTGGATGTGTTGTTGCACTAGAGCACTTCTACACTTGTGAGATGAGTGACATACCCATTAATCATGTAGCTTATAATCATTAATCATTAAGTTAAACGTTTTCAAACTCATACAAAGTATTAGTAACTACTAGGTGAAACCCGTCGAAATCGACGGTTACTCTCAAGTCCTTTGTCATATCGGTCATCTTAGCATTTTACTGTGCCAATGAATAACCCTCTAGCATAGTTTTGAGAAATTGGTCGTGGGGTTACTGTCAAAGCTGGAATTCCTAGACATTCGGATGTCAGTTGTCTCAGCCTTATCAATTACATAAAGTTGTCAATATAATCTCTCTTTGGAATGTTAGGTGTAGTGGAATTTACTTGTAGGGAAGCTGGCTTTTATTCTAGCCTCGTTCATATGGTTGTGTGGCTTCATTGCTAACAAATAATGTAAATGACAAAGCAATGATGCTTTTCAAAAAAACGAATACTGTAAATAGGCTGATAAGTAAATATTGACATTTACATGCATTGTTGTTAGTAAACGTATCTTATAAAGGATACGTTTATTTATAAGAATTCAAAATTCAGTATTGATTCTTCAAATATCAATAAAGGGTAAAATAATAAAGGGCAAGAAAATTAAAGTTAGAAACTTGAGTTTATAAATTACAAAAAAATATTTACTTTGTGAATAAAACCCATACTTTCATGTTAGTTTACTAGGCCTACCATAGTTTATATTTAATACACAATAAAAGTTCTAAATTATGTCTTTATTCTGACCTAAACCAATAAAAGTAGTATTTGTAGACAATTATACAACAAACATGAATAAAGGAAGTGGTAGTATTAAGGAAAAGGTCCTAGCAGCCCAATTTAATGCTGCTAGCCAGCTAGCCAGTTATTTAGGGGAATAAATTTCTCTACGGACGTCAACGAGCTAATAATAATGTATTCCAATGAAATATTTTTCAAGCTGTAAAATATAGACGAACCGAAAATTTCAGGGTTAAACGTAATTGATAACACCTGTTTCTACCACTGTTACCAATCAATCAGCCAGTTGAGGCCCAATACGGGTTGTCATCAGGGTTACCAACCTTGAATGTTGACTCATAAAATGCATTGTAGTTCAGTTATAGTTTGCGGTAAAACGTCATACGTAATATATAGATTTAGATTTAAAATTCTCCTATTTTGGGTAGAATTCTCTTATAATTCTAATTACAAATTATGTTCACCTATTTTCTATTTATATGCAATTTAATAGTATGTAATGTGTAATTAGGGCCTAAATAAATATTTCCACCAATAGGTATAGCTAGTTGCTCTGCCCGTGCTTCGCTACGGAGTGAGAATGCAGAAAAGAATAATTCGTTTTATTTAATCTACTATAAGAAACAGCTACAATGCACGTACCAGAAAACATAAAATAGGCAAAGCTCAATCATACTTATTGATTATTTAAATGCAGATTTCTTTATGTATTATCATCACTTTATATAGTGTATTGCATTTAAAATATATGCAAAAGTCTAAATCGTTGACCACGTGTTACCATAAGAAACAAATCAAACAAATTTAATTAAATAGCAGAACGAAGCATAACAGCTGGGTTAGTAAATTTTATTCATCTTACTAATATTATAAATCTGAAAGTTTGTGAGTTTGTGTGTATGTTTGTGTTGCTCAATCACGCATAAACTACTGGATGGATTTGGCTGAAATTTTGCATGATGATAGCTCACATTCCCTATTAACATTTAGGCATATTCTTATCTCAAAAATGCTTTCGGGTTCCGCCCCAGTGGCTCTGTAGTTCCCCATGTTAACCTTATAGTCCAGTCAATCCGTTGTAAAAATCAACCATACGTGGACAAAATTGGCGTCTGAGAAATTTTGTCTGAAATTTATGTTTTTTGGGGCGCTGAATCCGAATCTGAAGTTGTCCAACAAATATTTCTTGAGCGTCACGAGATCTGGTCAGTCCCCCCGCTGGTGAATTTCGTGGTAACTCGATGAGCACAACCTGGAAGTAGATGACATAGAAGAATCGCCAGAGCCACAGGAGCCACAGTCAGGACCATCTTGCGCAGGGCCTAAATGCCCCCGCCTGAGCACTTGATTATACGTGTACATTTTTAAAATAATGTTAGTTATGTAGATATAGTGAATATGAACTATGAATAAATTGTAATCATTAACATAGAAACCTACCTCTCTAACATTATTTACCACATTCCGTTCAAGATAAGTAAAATGATAGGTTTGGGTTTGGGAAGAGCATGAGGTATGGTAGGGTATTTTATGCTGAGGGGGGGAGGTTTGATGAGATAGAAGGGGTTGTGATAGTTATGGGATGGAAGGGGGTGGGTGTTTGCTGAGTAATATTAAAAACCAGACCAAAAGCTTGAATTTTTTTAAAGTTAGAAAAATAATTAATTTTCAATGCGCTCTAGCGGAGGTTATTTATAATCGATATTCAAGTGTGAATAGTGCATTTTGAAGGAAATTTTGCCCACTTTCATTTTGTAAGGAGTAAAAGTCGCTAGAATTCATAGTTTTCGACTTAATATAAAAACTGAAAAAAGTGCTAAAATTTTGATGTTTTTTTTGCGAATATCTCGGAACGCTCAAGAAATATTTGTTGGACAACTTCAGATTCGGATTCAACGCCCCAAAAAACATAAATTTCAGACAAAATTTCTCAGACGCCAATTTTGTCCACGTTGGATACGGATTGACTGTACTATTATGAGTATTCATATTTAAAGGGAATTAAAGAATTTAGTCGGCTGTTTCAACTTTAAAAGTTGGTTCTATAATATGCAATAGCATTAAAAAGTTATAAGGTTTCCAAACAGGGTGCAGCACTATTATTATTTTGTTTTTGCATATGACAACAGCTAATTTGAACAAAGCAGCAACAAAAGGCTGTGATACACAATGAGAACTGTCAAAGTAGGGTTGTTTAATTACAGTTAGGTTTGAGTTTTTAATTTAATAAATAATTTGAAATATTGTGCAAATGTTTGATAATTTATTTTTTTCTATTGTTTAGGTGCAGTGGTAGAACATTATGACAATGGTAGATGTGTTATATTATATCATACCATAAATTTATGAACCAAATTTTATCAAACTGTATCCTCCCCCCCTTGCAAACGTAAAGCTTGAGCATAACTGCAATAAGCATTTTATGCTTATATGCCAACCCCGTACGAAGGACGGGTGCTCTGCTAGTAAGAAATACATTGGGATTTTGATGGCCTGTGGGACAACGCCTGAGGACTTGTATTACAGAAATTGGTGAAAGGGAGTGTCTACTAAAAAAAAAAATAATTTTGAAACATTGCTTGTAAAAATCCGTCCATTATTAACGGAGGAGTAGTGTTTCGTATAATTCGCCTTCACGTAGGAAGGATACTAAGTAAAATACTCCATAGCACAATTTGTATGATCCCGCACTGGCAGGGTTGTAAGTTACAAAAAATAAAAAATCTCTTTCTTCTTTGTAGGCCTACGTCCACGGTTGGTGCTTATGTGCCATCTTCACATCCGCTATACTACTTACTTGATACTTGGATATATTACTTCTCTTGTCTGTACCTAGAGGTTCACGGCATTATCACTTGAACATATATTAGTGATTGGCAGGATTTGAACCTGGGACTCGCCGACCAAAGTCTCACGCTCTATCAGTAGACCAGCCAACTCCTAAGCTCCATCGATGGTTGGTTAACCCATAGATTAAGCACCGATTTGTTTTTCTTTTGGATCAGTTGAAGACAATAATTCTAAGGTATATTTCATTCGGTCCCAGTAATTATGTTTTGTTGTTTACTATTTATTTTATAATTTTGAACTACTTTAAAACGTGTACTTAACCAAAAAAAAAAGAATAATTTTTATAAAGTTTTGCTTGTTCTATAATTGTGCGGTTGGTTATAATCACTTTGTTACTTAAGGAGTTAAGAAAACATTGAACAATACCATGAAATTAGAGGGAAAGTATTCAGTCGACATTAGTGATGTGTCAAAACCGAATCTCAAATCTCAAAACCATCAAAATTTAAGAAAAGTTTCGGTTTCGAGATTCGATCACCAAGTTTCGAGATTCAAAAGTTTCGCAATTGAAGATTTTGGCAGTTTTATTTTTGAAACTGCAGAAATTTTTTATGCTTTTGTTATTGTTTTTAACACTGCTTCCAAACAAGCTGGTAGCAACTGAGCAAACATCACCATTAACAGTAATGAAACAAGTAAATTTTATTCTGAACTTCAAAAGGTATCATAAATACTATAACTGGCACAATTCAGTTTCACATCAATATTTACTAAACACAAAGAAATATTGACGACTAAATGTTCTACTTAATCTAATATTCATGTTTATGTTGGTTTATAGAAGTTTAATTTATTTTTTGTTGGTTGTTTATGAAAAATTATGTTGTATAGGGTTTTAAGATTATCAGTCACATTCACATATTTATTTTATGTCACGGTCAGGAGTCGATCTCTTTCAGTTTTAATTGCATACCTAACATTTTATGATTATTTGTATTTTTTGTAACCTTGACCTTTGTAACCAGCTAAGTAAAAAAGTTACGCGTTTAGGTTTAGAGATTTGAGATTCGATTTTTTAAAGTTTCGGTTTCGGTTTTGAGATTCAAAATTTCTGGTTTTGACAATCACTAGTCGACATCACAATCGAACATTGTACAAGAAATTTGTGTTAAAACGGGGATCATATATTTTGACACAGAATAACAGATTTTTTTGCATTATCTCAAGTCAATGATTCGACCTATGGAGTTTGTGTGCATTTAGTTTTGTTGACTTGGTGTATTCAATTTATATAAAGTAGAACCTCTTTAATCCGAACTAATTGGGACCGGGGGTACAGTAGTTCGGACTATTGAATAGTTTAGGTTTCAGAATATATTGTTGTATAGTGTTTCGGATTTAAAGAGGTTCTACTGTATTTGAAATTGTTAAATTATTAAAATATTTGTTTTGTAGTACTGTGATGTTTGTCGTTTTGGCATGATTAGTTGTAGCGATCAGGTAATATTTTACTTTTGATGGACGAGATCAGGTGTGTCAATACAGAAACAACTGTGCAGTCCTACCAACCACACCTAGTTTAAAACTGTAAAATGAACCGCATCTACACTCTATGAAAAACAATAAACCACAGATTGTCATCTCTTGTTTTGTTATTAGAAAACTGTACAGGGTAAAAAGTATCAACCCATTGGAGACTTTGCACGAGACTGTTTCGTGATGGGTTATAGTGACCTAAAAGTCTCAACGCAAGACTATCTCGTGGTGACATGTTATTTTTTTATTTAATTGAAATAATCTTTAGTTTAATACTTAAAATAAATATGTCTAAGTATAAATAAATAAATGGTATGCATAAATAGCTTCTGAAAATAGATCTTAATAAAAAAATAGCGCAATAAATATTTTTTAAGGGAGTATGAAGCTAATTTTTTTATCGTTTTGTTGTACAAGTTAGTGCTCAGTCATCTTTACGAAAACTTGATATATTTACCTATGGTAACTTACTCTTTGATAAATTCTAAGCTGTTTTTCAATATTGTTATTCATGTTTTGTAGTGTTGGTAGTGCTGTACAAATAGAGAACACCTGATGTTTGTTATTAATGGCCAATTTGCCAACATTTGTAACAGTTTAGAAAAAAATACAGTAGAATCTCAATAACAAGACTCTCATGGGGATAATGAAATAGGACTTTTTATCAAGGCTGGCTTCTTCTTGAGGTTTGCAATAACATTTGATCATGGGTAAAATGAATTCAAGGCGATTTGAAAATTACACTTGTTATCAAGGGTGACTTGTCATTGAGGGTCTTCTTATCGAGGTTCCACTGTATAATAAAGTTATACTAAATGCACATTTCCACGTGAGGAAATATATTATCTACACTTCTCTGGCAGTTATAAAACCCTTCTCTATAAAACTTAACTTTAAAACTTTTTTGGCTTGGTTTAAAAAAAATTACTGTACTATTTTTATGGTTTTTTATTTTTACAACGAACTGACAACTTATATCATATGAAATGTAAATATAATAAATCCAGTTTAAATTAACACAAAATGTATGTTTTTAATTTAAGTAGAAAAAACAATTTTTAATCAATGTTTTAGTAAAACCCTAGTAAAACACTATTTTTTTAGGGTTTTGGCCCTGCAATGTAAAACAATATATTTTTTAAATGTGTTAAAATTATTAAAAAAGATAAGAAAAATAGAAAAATACTTTCAATTAGAGCCAAGAAGGGGTTTCCAATCGATCAGGTCATTGAATGACAATAAGCTTAAGTTGAGTGGAAAGTTTCCATGATGGAATCATAAACACACACTGATAGAAGAAGTAATTATTTTATTTATTATTATAACTTTATTATTATTATAACCCCATGAAGAAGAGTTTTCTTTAATTTAAATACATAACAAAAGCAAAATAAATTTAAGTTAAATTTAATGTACATTCAAATTTCCCGCCTACTCCCCACTACTCAAGACTACACTAACCAAGATGATGAAGCCGCCATCTTGTGACCTTCACTTCAATGTAATTTTTCGAGGTTAGTGCATCGCCAAAATTTGTCCCTTCTTTTTAACAACGCATTTTACATTTTCTAACTTTTATTTTTTTCGCTTTACGCAACACACACACTCTTATATTGTTTTTTCCAATAGATTTTGGGAGAAATGTATTATGTAAAGAAACCTAAGAAAATTTAATTTATGTGTAAATAATTTAGTTATTTTGGTCATCTTCACAGTTGATATTTGCAAATAATTAAAGACTACCTTGAATACATTGATAAAAACATGAATTTTCAATGTTAGTTCAATGATTCCTGAGCAAAATATGAATCTTTCATATTTTTGTTCTTTAAAAAGCCTAACAAGAACTAAAAAATTTTAACTTTGTTATACACATATAAATTGTTCAAGCCTTTGATTGGCTGCTGACGACACACAAGTGTACAAGTGCGTCATTGGCATATTTCATGTAATTTGCTAACGATGCGTATGTTGTTGTGTTAGCTAAAAATGTTCCAAAATGATATAAATTACACAATTTAAAGTTTTGGCTATAAACAAAAACAAATATATTATACAATTTATTTAATATAAAACAGCCACAGGATGGCTGAAAAGTAACGTGCACCCATCTTAACTTTCAACCATTTGAGATATTTGAAATCGGTTTGCTGCAACTTTAGCCTTGACTACTTCCCAGCGACGAATGTCACGACCCATTTTCTGTTTCTGTGTTCAAGTTTTCGTATAGTATGTGTTTTCCCATGTTACTGTTTCGACATCCCCAGTGACTCCTGTTTGTCACACGGTTTTAAGGGGTCCAATGTCGGACTTTAATTTGGAACTACAAAGTTTACAAATAAATATAATTTGAAATCAGATGTTTACTTTTCACCAACTGTTTTGTAGGTTTGAATAATCACAGCATTCTGTATTAGTCATGATTTGGAATAGTGCCACAATGTTTCCACAGAATGCAGCACAGAAAACTATTTTACTTTTGGATTAGTCCGAAATATATTGAACCCCAATCGTAGCATACCTGTGCACTCAACAACTTTTAAATTCTCCACTACTGTATTCAATATTTAAACATAAAAAGTAAAAACTTTTATCAATTGTATTATAATCAATAAAAGGGATGGCAATGGATTAATATTTTTATCTTTTGTTGTATACCCACACAATCTAACATAAATTATTAAGTGAATAATAATTGTAAGTGCTATCTCAGGTATTCAAATGCCTCCCAATTTGTCATCAACTGTCATTAAAAGTAGGAACTCCAATAATACTAATGTGAAACTTAAATCGACCCAAGTTGTGCAATGGAACCAAACTGATGATAAAAAAAATTACAGCAAACTTGATCGAAGCAACAAACAGTGATAAGTTTGGAGAAATTAGTGATGGTCAAAACCAGAAATTTAGAATTTCAAAACCGAAAACAAAACTTAAAAAATCAAATTCCAAATCTCAAAACCTAAACGTGAAACTTTTTTTAGTTACGTGGTCAAGGTTGCTAAAAATACAGGTAATAATAACATTTTCACTATGTGATCAAAACTGAAAGAGATTGAAATGAATGACACAAAAAATGTCAGAAGTTTTAAAAATAAAAGTTCCAACATTTTTATTTTCGAAACTTTTGAATCTCAAAACTTGCCGATCGAATCTGGACACCAAAATTTTCCCAAAGTTTTGATGGGGTTGAGATTTGAGATTCGGTTTTGACACATCACTAGGAGAAATAGTCTAAATCCCAAGAATACTGATGATTTTATACGAATTACCCTTTGAATTCAAACAACTACAATTTCCTTTGCGTCTTGCTTTCACAATCACCACTATAAGACACAATCCCTGACTATCGCCGGTTTTAATGTAGAAAATGCATGCTTTCACACGGACAGCAGTATGTTGCGTGCTCACGTGGTGGTATGTACGCCTAAAAACTTATATTATATTTATACACCTAATGAAAAAACATAAAACCTTGTTTATCCACTGGCAATAAAGTAAAATAAATATTCTATTTTTGTATTTGGTACACTTTTTTATTATTTATCGTAAAGAACTAAAATAATAGTTGTTAGCGCATCAACGCGCGCCGTGCAACTGCTAGTAATTAATTATTTGTTGTAAAATGAATGCAATTCGGCGCATTCATTGAGTAGGTATTTAAATCTGATGTAACTTGTTGGTTATAACAATTTTAATCATCCTTGCAGTTGTTTTAGTTATTGTTGTCGTATTTAATCCCATGTATAATTTGTATTGTCCTCGTAACAGCACACCTGCAATCTCATGCATTTTTGTTGTGATCAATTTATAATTTGAACGGATTTAGCTATTTTGTTTATTTTAAGGCAATCTATTATTTTAACAATAAACCCGAGACAGTGAATTATTTTAACAGCTTGGTGCAAAACCAAAATTCTGGCATACATTTTGGATGTACTGTAGCAATCCATATTTGGGTCAAGCAACAATTCAACAGTTTTTCGGGTTTAAAAAGAATTTGGTTTGAGAACTTGCTCTGAAGATGTATTGCATCACAACTGAAATGGTCAGTAATTTTTGTTGTATCAACACATAAATAATTCATATGTGTAGATTTTATGTTAGTTTACCCACCTCTGAAAGTGATTTAGCTGAGTTTAGGTGGCTTGAATTTAATTCAGGATTCAATTCAATTCATTTATTTACAGCCAAAACCATTACACATCAAGTACCATGCACAAAGAAACAAAGTTATACAAACAGTAATAGTTCATGCTCACAGAAGAATCAATATACGTTTAAAACATAATTAAGAGTAAGACGTAATAATAAATAGTGCATGCATAATAAATAACAAATAAACTCAAACTGGCAATTATTAAGGAGAGATTGGTGGTTTTGAATTGGAGCAAACGTAAACATTTGAGAGAAAAAACAAGCAATACTAAATACAATAAGTGAACAAAGATAAGTATTTAACGTGCAAAAGTTATACAACTGATCTAAGACAACAAGATGCATACAAATCATAATAATAATACTTCTAGATAGTGCATAGAATAGTAAGTAACAAGTAGACTCTGAAGAAAAACAAGAAGCAAGCGTTACGAGAAGATATACAAGAGGATATATCAGTAAATAATGTGCTAATGATATACAAATGATATAAACACAAGATGCAAAAGAATCATAATAATCAAGACATAATAATAATACTTCTAGATAGTGCATACAATAATAAGTAATAGGTAGACTCTGAAGAAAAACAAAAGGCTAGCATTACAAGTACCTACAGGATCAACAGGACAAAAAGATTCAAATCTTCCATCGATTTAAATTTGCCATTTTAAATTTATATCGAGGCTCTTTAAATTTAGTGTATTGAACAAACCTAAGATCACAGTCACATTTGAAAGCTTTGCGTATTGTGTACATTAACTTGATTAAAAAGAGGCCAAAATGAGATTTGAAATTTAAATTGTTATCATGAAAATGAGTTACAAACTTATAAACTTATGATGGAAAAATATGAAACGTAAAGAAATAAAAAAAATTGAGGTAAACTATACTACCGGTAATAATTCATTTTTTATTACAAAACAATTTCAAAAAACACTTCTGATATGTAAACTGTTAAAATAGTTTTCACTCATTTTAGGGAAATCACGGGAAGTCCATTTAAAAATACTAACACTGCTGTTAAACCGAATGGATTTTAATCCAATAAAAATTGTTTCTATTAATAAGTGGTGTTTCTAAACTTGTCAAATAGCCAGGCGCAAAATGTATTTTCTAAACTGAGGATAATAATAATCACTATTTCATGAATTATTGAAAAACAGCAAATTTGGGTTTTTTTATGCTTAAAAACTAGAATAGGCTATATGCAGTTCTGAAAATAAAAGTAAAAGAATATGGTTTATAAAATTTAAAAGAAAAGGAAAACATACGGTTGTGATATAGAAAAAATGAGACTATTACTATAAAAACCTAACAAAAAAAATTAAAAAATTAGGGCCAGATTCAAACGATTAAAATCTTCTTCAGTCTATTCCGCAAACATTACTACTGTCTTTACGAAAATCTGCGTTGGCGTAAATGCGGTCGTCTTTTTTGGCGATAGCACAAACAATGGAGCCTCTGGCTCCAAATCTGTACATTTTGTGACCAAGTTTTTCTAGGCTCTTGACTAATGGCTGAAAAATTCAAATTATTTTATTAATAAACCCTATTAATCTACTAGTGCAGTAAAGATACTTTAAGCCCGAGTCATTCATAAAATTTGTGTATAGTTAACATAAAACATAAGAAAGAACTTTCTTACTTACTTAGGAACTTACAGATTTAGGTTTTTAGCTCTGTTACTTACAGATAAAAAAGAAAACAGATTACATCAGTACTAACGTTTTACCTAACCCGCCATGTTAAACTTCCCTATTCCAAGCGTGATGTATACAACTTCTTTACTTCTCTAGTGAAAAAACTCATTCGGTGAGGTAATGAAACACATTTAAATAACATTGAGTGCATAACTTAAAAAATACACCTCTATGGAGCCAACGACATTCAACGCTAGAAATCAGCTGTGTGCTTGAATTTTATTGTTATGTTTTGAAGAATTTTCCTAACCTAGCTTTTGTTTGTAAATGAACGTTTCTGTTAGAAGATGAGTAAAATGGATAGTAAAAAATATTGTTCGTAACCTCCTGTATATTGTCAGGTCAGGTAAAATCTTGTACGTTACACGTTACGCAAGAGCGTGTTTACACCACTTAGGTAAATTATGCCTGTGTGATGTAAAAACGCTCTTACTACTTTTGTAAGGTAAATAGCTACCTATTATTTAGTAAAGCATTGACGCCTACTTGTTTTCTTGTCCATACAATATTGCATATTCAAGGGTGGGAAAGTAAAAACGAATGCAGCAAACTAGAAACTATTGTAGAAAAGGAAATTGAGTGAATTAAAGTAAAACTAGAGTCACACCACTAAAGATGTAGATAAAGCAAAACCTAGGGTCGCAAATTGAAAACTAATGTCGCAAAATAAAAAAACCTAGTGCAGGAAGGTACTAAAAAAGTAAAACTAACTAAGACGAGTGCTGCAAAATGAAAGAGCGTACGATTCAGCTCTTTTACTTCTTCTAATCAGTGCCGCTATTTTACAGGTGGCTCTTTTGTAGGCAACGTATTGTTTAAGTGTAGGGAAATATTGTTTTTACTCATAACAACCAAGCAAAACAAGGTTACTTACAGAAGTGACTCCATATCCGTAGTCAAGCTCCATTGGATACAGCTGATGATGGAATCTTCTTGCATCCACTGCTTCTTTGATTGACTTTCCCAACCATAAATATTGTATTATGACCTGAAAAACAAATTAGCATTTTATCATCCTGTATAGGCTGGAATAATTACACTTTATCAAGCTCAGGTTGGCTGGTGGAATCACTAATCCCTCGCTGTGTCTCGCCCTCAGCCAACCTGAGCTTGATAAAGGGAAGTTGCTTTTAGTCATCACAACTCAAGACATTTTGTGTCCATATACAGTTAGATCTCCAAATCTCCGAATAAACTGGGACTGGGCCCCATCCGGATAGTCAACAATCCGAATAATAAAATTTTTCAAGGATTATCGCTCGCTGATCGATACAACAATAGACTTGTCATATAATGCACACGATTGGCACATATCTTAATATATTTAAAAAAACTTTTGCAAAACTTATGACAGCTAGCCTGACCATACTACTGGATCAAATTACACACGGGTTGTACCAACCCTGTCGACACTGTCTATCCTTTGCGTCAAAAAATGTAGTTTTATAGACAAATTTATATTTAGATTTAGTTACTGACAATGTATAATGCATCTTTGCATACTTTATGACGGATAAAAGTTTTGAAATATAGAAAGTAACAAAACCAGGGTTTGGATCACTCTATTACAATAAAACATGTAAAAATGCCACAGAGATATTAAAAATAACGAATGTAAGAATTTTCTTGCAAATAGTTGTCAAACTCCGCTTCCCTTACTCACCCATGACACTGCGGTGGTGATATGGGTGCTCCCTGCGGCCCCGACGACCATCCGCACGTCTCCATTGCTGTCTACTATGATCGTGGGGCACGTGGAGCTCATTGGCCGCTTGCCTGGTTCTATAAAGTTGGCGGGAGCCGGATGAACTCCATTGAAATGTGTCTCGTCGGGTATCGAGAAGTCATCCATCCCACTGTTCAGTAAGATTCCCGTTCTCTTTGATGTGATTCCTGCGCCAAAACTGTCAACAGATTGGTTTCAGAATAAATTTTCTGCTAATATACATTTCTTTCATATTTGCATTTTAAAATCAGAATATACATTTCCTTTGTCAGAGGTACAATATATTTTTGTGGAAATTTTTATAACATTCCTCCATTCAAAATATCAAATGGGGTACCCCAAACCAGTAATGTCTCATTTTTCAGCAACATGTTTGTTAGGCCTACCATTGAACTACTATATATGCAAAATGTAAGTGACCTGAAATAAAATACTGTATGTTTATTCGGCAAATTTTGTATGTAAAAAATTTCATACAGTCTTTTTTTAGGGAATTTTGTCTGCTATAACTTTTGTATTTAACACTTTTCAATATGACTTACAGATTCCGAAATAAAAGCGAAAGAGCCACATACATTAAGAGCCCTTCCCTTAGTCAAGCTCGACCCCACCCATCAGGACTTTTTATTTTCTTCAATCTAATGAACAAAAGGAACGTTTAAACAAATTTCCATTTCTCCGGGAATTGTTTCACCCTAATGGCAATTTTTTGTTTTATTTGACTGGGCTAATAATTACAACTGTGCAACTAAGTGGTCTAATTACCTGCTACTAAAATATTAACAGCAATTAAATTATTTAGTAGTATATCATATTGTAAACAAATATGTTCTTCAAGAGGATAACATGGGAACTTTAAAAGCTATACTACTGGGGAAAGCTATTTAAAAAAAGCCTTATTGTTTACAAAGTTTCATGTATCCTATTATCAATTAATCAATCAATTATTTAAGATGGGACGCCACTATGTGCGTATTTTAACCCAAATATGAGTGAAGGATGAGTGGCGTGATCTTGTAGTCTTGTTAGTGACTAAGGCTGACATGTACCTTAGACACAGCTGTTAATTAATAGCCTATACAGCTAATGGCAACTAAGGGACCTACAGTTTATTGTGGAATCCGAACCACATTTTTTCCTCGTAATTAACGAATTGGTCTAATTATTAGGATAGTACTGCGGATAGTCGTAGTACTCACTAGTGCGGACGTTAATTCACACCAGGGAGCATCGCATCCACAGTGCATCCCTATAGATATCCACAATTTGTGACCTCCTAGTAGCTGGATTACAGGACGACGCCATCCGTCCCAGTCAAACATTGACTATACACTATTCTGTGTATAGTCAATGGTATTGGTATTAATAATATATATACAGTCCACTCTTGGTAATTCAAACACTTGATAATTCAAAACTTTCGATAATTCAAAATGAAGGCTCAGTCCCTAGAGAATCTCTCAATATTTCAAATTTTTACCATGCATTTTGATACACTCGGTATTTCAAAGTCCAAATAGAGGGCAGGTCAAATTGTAACACACAGTAATTCGAAGTTTCGTCGGAAAAACACTCTATAATTCGAAGTAACTCAGTAATTCGAAGTTTCGTCGGTTAGCACCCTTATAATTCGAAGTCATGCTGTAATTCAAAGTTTCGTCGAAAAAACACTCTATAAATCAAAGTCACGCAGTAATTCGAAGTTTAGTCGGCAAAACACTCTATAATTCAAAGTGATCTCTTCCTGTTATAACAGGAAACTATACAGTACAGTACATCCTGTTCCTATGGTAGGCTAGTGTTAGACGTTTTGATGTTTGTTTAGTTAGAGCAGTAGTCTGAGTTAGTTCACTGACTTGTTTTTCTAAGTTGGCAATCCGATCTCTAGATTGCGCGACATCTCCTTGTGCACAAACGTAGTTGTCGACAGCTGATAGTTCAGCTATTGGCGAAATATATAGCACTAAATAACAGACTTCTTTGCAACTAAAGTAACTGAAAAATAATTAAGGAAATTGACAGGAAAGCAGGCTTACCTTTAAATAAGTCCATAGAGACACATAAAACATCACAAAATTAAAAGTAGAATTCTACTTTTAATTTTGTGATGTTTTATGTGTCTCTATGGACTTATTTAAAGGTAAGCCTGCTTTCCTGTCAATTTCCTTAATAATTCCTGGCAAATACCCTATCTTTTTATAAGATAACTGAAAAATAAGCCGTTGATTGTTTAAAAGTGTACTAAAATACGGTACAGTATGATGTTTTATTGTAACGTGCTGTACCTTTGTATGTATTAAAAAATGAACTCTCTGTAATTCGAATGGTTTATTTTTCTCCCGATAAATCGAACTCTTGGTAATTCAAAACTCTTGATAATTCAAATTTATATGCTTGGCCCACCAATTTCGAATTATCAAGAGTCTACTGTATGTGTATGTAAATTGTATAGCAGAAGTGTAAGGGTTTTTCCCCTTACAGTTAATCTACAGTGTGTAAATTAAGTCTGGCACACATTTTTTATCTTTTTTTCTATAGTAGATAGAAGAAATCAATTTGCGGGACTGATTAATAACAAATGTTAGGCACTTTTTACCAATTTTGAAAATAAAAATTCCTTTAAGGGCAAGGGGTGGTGGGGGGTAACTAAAAATTTTCAAATGACAACCCCCATCTTGTGACCCCTCATTTTAAAGGTCATTGGAAGACAAATCCAAAGATGTGTCTGAAAAAAATTTTTTTGCACCCTATCCAAGATGGCGGTTTAAAATGTACTTAGGGTTGAACGGGTAAATTAGGTATGGCACACATTTCTTATCTTTTTTACGCTTTGTAGATAGAAGGAATTAATTTGCGGGACTGAGTAAGAACAAATGTTTGGCACATTTCATAATTTTGAAACAAATTCCTCCATAGGGTAAGGTGGGGGGGGGGGGTAACTAAAAATTTTCTAATGACAACCCCCATCTTGTGACCCCTCATTTTAAAGGTATTTGGAAGACAAATTTAACTATGTTTCTTAAAAAATTTTTTTTTGCATCCTGTCTAATATGGCGGTTTAAAATGTGCTTAGGGTTGAACAGGTGAATTAAGTCTGAAATACATTAAAATTTTTTCAGACACATCGTTAAATTTGTCTTCCAAATACCTTTAAAATGAGGGGTCACAAGATAGGGGGTTGTCATTAGAAAATTTTTAGTTAACCCCTACCCCCACCTTACTCTATGGGGGATTTTTTTTCAAAATTATGCCAAAAAGTGTGAAACATTTGTTCTTACTCAGTCCCGCAAATTAATTCTTTCTAATCTACAAAGCGTAAAAAAGATAAGAAATGTGTGCCATACCTAATTTACTCGTTCAACCCTAAGTACATTTTAAACCGCCATCTTGGATAGGGTGCAAACAATTTTTTTTCAGACACATCTTTGGATTTGTCTTCCAATGACCTTTAAAATGAGGGGTCACAAGATGGGGGTTGTCATTTGAAAATTTTTAGTTACCCCCCACCACCCCTTGCCCTTAAAGGAATTTTTATTTTCAAAATTGGTAAAAAGTGCCTAACATTTGTTATTAATCAGTCCCGCAAATTGATTTCTTCTATCTACTATAGAAAAAAAGATAAAAAATGTGTGCCAGACTTAATTTACACACTGTATATCTATATATTAATAGGCAAGCATGTTTCTTTAAAACCTTTTTTCTCAGCTCATGTGTGTCGTAGGGAAAATCTACTCATACTGTTAGAAAGATATTTTCCTGTAGATGTGCAGAAACCCTTTAAAAATTAAAATAGGCTCAAAAATAAGCACAAAAAATGAATTTTAAATTTAAAAAAAATTAACATGGGCTTTATGGGTTGCATATGTTAATTGTACACAGTCAATAAGTTTGTTTGCTAATTTAACGGTTTGCTACAAACATTTACTGACTTGGTTGAAATGAAATTACTATTTGAATTTGGGTTGGCGTAAATATTACATTGGAAAAAAGCAAGAGAGCCTAGATAATTTGATATACCAAAAAGAAAACTGAATTAACACTGTGCTGCATTTCTTAGTAATCATTGAAAGAGCCGATTTGCAAACTATGGAAAAAAGATAGTCATAGAACACCACCAAGGAGAAGAAAAAGAAACAATGTTTTTTTTTATTTATAATCGTTATGGTGGACAACCTAATGAGGCTATGAGTAAGGCTATTTGTAGAAAACACAAAAAAACAAGATCAGCTTTTGAAAAATTATAAGATATTTACATGAAATGTTGATTATATCGATCTGCTTTGTACATCTTGAGTATTTCCATAATCTTTAAGTCGAATATTTTAAAGTCATCAGAAATTAAACTGTTATTCGTTTTAAAATAACGCCTGTAATACTTAGCAATTGCTCGAATTCGGGACACTAGTTTTGTTTATAAGAAGAGATATTTATTTTTGTAAAGAAGCTAGTTATTATTTTTTTAATGGAATAAATGTTTTATTTTGTTTCTTGTCTTTAATTATTCCTAAGGCCATAAACCCAATTGTTTAGTTAGAAATAGGATTATTATTTAGGTATTCAAATTATTCTGGTATTATTGATACATAACAATGGAAGTTTAGTTGAAAAGTTTGAATGACAATAGTGTCAGGCTTAGAGAGAGAGAGAGAAATATAGAGCTAGAAGTTAGCATTGAGGTAGCGGCCGAGCTTATCAGCTGTTAGGGCAAAGGTGGTGGGGCAAGACAACTGGACTGCCGAGCCTACCTCCCCTACCTCACCCCTACACCCCCTGCCACTGGAAGGTCCTATGTAAGCAGGTGCATTAGGGGCACTAGTCTCAATCAATATTGGACGTCGGACAGTTCAAAAGGTAGATACTGTCATGGTCGAATGTACCTCTACTATAACCATAAGTCACTTATAGTAGTCTTAGGCCCAAGGTGGATAGTGTCGGTAAGTAGAAGCTCAGGGTTGTTAGGCATACTAACTAAGCAACCCCATATCAGTATAGTTAGTTCTACCCAAGCGTTATAACTTAAGCAGAACATTCAACGGGTCGGCTTAGGAGGTAGGTACCGTGAGGGAATACCTTGCGGCGGAGTTAAGCTGGTTGGAGGGGTTATACCCTGCCACAGCGAATTGTGTTCAACCGGATTTGGACTACGAAATAAGGTAAGTGCCAGCTCGTGACCGAATAAGTCGCGACACTCAAGTTAGGGTAACGGATAGTTACCTTAACCTACAAATCAGTCAGTAGGGTCACGGGAAACATTAGTTACCGCGAAAATTTGATATCAAAGACCATATGGTCAAAGTCCAAATTCGATATCTCGAGGTGGGCGATGATGAGTCCATTGCAGGCGTACTTGGTTGCCGCGGACTGAGCTTAAACCTCGAGATATATAGGGAAATCAAGATTTAGGCTAACTTTAGACCCCTGGATGGTTGGTTAGACACCCATGCCCTGGACTATCTGTGAAATTTGTAGAAATCAAAATTCATCGTTAAGGGTAAAAATCCCTCATAGAAGTTTTCCAATATGCCCGAAGAGTACATTTTAAGTTATCGCCAATTAATGTTAATAAATGCGTAAAATATAATAGGCCTACGGTATGTCTAATTAGATTTTATACCAGTGGGGACTTATATAACTTTATCTAAGTATTATTTTTGCAAAGACATAAAAGTTAAAAGGTCAACAAGTGTTCAAAAAGCTTTTATACTAAACTACTACGACAATATTCAAGTGCCGCAAGCATGCAGATTGGGGAACGCAACACCCATCACTGTTGGAGCGAACGATCGTGGAGTGAACTTCAAGGTTATTCAAGGTTATTGTTCAAGGTTATTACATATTTAAATAATACTGATCGTTCATTCCAATGTGTATTCGATCCACTGTACAGTAAAATTCAAAATGAATATTTTCTACTGGTTAGTCTACTTCAAGAGCTGACTGTACCCGGTGGATCAAATGAACAGTGGAGCGAACAAACAGGCAAATAATTTGTAAAATTACTTTTTGGAGTGAACGATCGTGGAGTGAATAAAACATATCGGTTCGTTTAACTCTTCTACCCGACCAATTTTCATGATTGAGGTCTCAAATTGAAAATACGGCCACACAGATTTGCCATCAAGCATCGGCATATATTTATCTATAATCCCACTCGGTTTGTATGTAAACATAAGTTGCCCCCCATGTATTTCTTATGGGAGTTAAATTTGGTTTCTATTTTCCGAGTTTGTTTGGCTCTTCTACCCAACCGATTTTCATGATTGAGGTCTCAAATTGAAGGTATGCACGCACAGATTTGCCATCAAGCATCGGCTTTAGTGATGGGTCGGTACCGGTTCCTAGCTAAAATCGATTCTCTGTTCTCAGTTTTGGTACCATCAGTACCTTATTTTAAATTTTTAGGATAGGCTACTTTTATAATTAACAAAATGACCATATTTCAATTTTTCAGTATTTTGCATTAGTATAGGTCGGTCATACAAAACTTAAGGGATTAATAAAATAAAACTTATTTAAATAACCGAACACATTCAGATCACAATAATAACTTATATAGTGAGAAGTGTTAAAAATATTTAATTGGTGATGGGTTGATAACAAAATTTATTGATTCTCAAACTAACGCAAGGTGAACAACCATCATAAAAATTATTTTTTCATAAGGTTTTTCTATGATTAAAAATCAATAGTTCCAGTATTGTTCATGTTTTTTATACATTATAGACTCAAAATAATCAGTAAATTATAGGCTTTATTTTAAGCTATTGATAGTTTGAATCGGTTAAGCTCAAGATACTGTATATTTAAAAATCATAATTTTGATTATTTATCAAATATGATATGTATTTTAACAGCGTCCTCTGGTTGTATATTTAAAAAAGAGAACATAAAAATTTAAGTCCACTCACTATTTATTAACAGTGCTAGTGACCGCCACAGCGTCTCCGTCCGGCGCAAGGATACTGATGTGTGACGTGCCATGGTCGTCAGGGTTGTAGTACACGGCGCCATAGTGGGTGGCCTTCTCAAACGTTTGATCGTCCTTGATCTGTGATCGTATATTGTTAATGTAGTCCTCAGACATCAGGTCGGCTAGTTGCTAGAGAAAATAGACCATCATTAATCTGTTGTTTAAATATTATTGAAGGATGTGAACAGGTTATTAAAATATACCTACAAGGTTTTTTTGTTGTTGCAGATCTTTCTTAGGATGTTCCTTTAAGCGAGTTGACAAAGCTTTACAAATAAGTGCTATATAAAAAAAATCACTTGAAGCAATTACTTTTGTTCAGAATTTATTAATTTTCATTATTTAAATCTTATTTTAATTATTCTAAACAAGTCAATCAAAATTAATTAACCAATGTTTATATTTATTATTATTAAGTTTAAATTACAATTAATTTCAATATTAAAAATTATCATATGTTATGAAATCAAATTCTATTATATCACATTGTATCTCAAAGAATACTAGCTGTTACCCATGAGCTTCACCCCATTTGAATTCATAAATAATAAATATTAATAAAACTATTGATTTGTTAGGTTAAGCGGTTTTAAGCTGAAATAAACAAAACAAAATACAGTAATAAAAAATAAAAACTAGTGGCAATAGCTCCTATATACAGTGTGGATGAAAAGTCTTGGAACTGTTAAATATATTTGTTACCAATATAGATAAAGTAATGATACTTGGTATATGAATAATAGCTATAAATGTCTACTGTGTGACGGCCCCAAAAATTCCCAGACCCATTACATATCAGCTGGGGAGGTTTTTGCTACACCCTCAAGAAACCTTGTCAATACCGTCACAAAAGCATTGCTTTATTTCAAATATAAAAGAAGGGTGTGTAATATTGGACTGTGTTAACCTCCCAACTTTTGCGTCAGCCAGTTGCCTCATCATGGAATATTCTGTCAGCCGTTGCTCAGCGCTAAGCCAGGCCAATGTTCTCGGAAGTGTAACGCGAGTGGCTGGAATTTGCTGAGGCAGCTCAGCAAAGCAAGTCACTCGATGAAATCTTTGTGCAACTGCAGTTTGCCTAACGCCCCGATTGATCGTTAGGCAGCAGCGTTTGCACTGACGTCATGCGGCATAGCTGCAACGTGATTGGCTGGTTCCCCTCCACGGCCAACTTTGCGCTACAGACGGGGAGCACTCAGTTGAGTTAGTCTAAATTCTAAATTCGACTCAGTCGGTCATCTAAATTCTCACCTTTACCCCATTCTTCTAAAATGCACCTAATAATGAAAATTTGTATCTTAACATTGTAGTTCTATAATAACTTATTTTGATCTTGTATACTCTCTTTCTTGCCAGTTAGTATCTGTGATCATAAGTTCTTTGTGTCTGTAAACTAAACGTAAATTAATTATACAGCAAGTCGGAAGCTACAATTTGTTCTTGTTGTAATTTTAATAAACTACTGTTCGTAGCGAATTCTCTTTGTTTCATTCGGCTACCTGTCACAACTGTTTTAAGCTATTATAACTTTTTTATGCCTTAAGGGGGACGACCCACGAGGGTCAGACAAAATTCTTAAAAAGCAGCATAGGTAGAGTTTGGTATCTAATTAAAGGTCTTAGTTAATATTCAGATTCAGATTCAGAAACACTTTATTCAAGATTTACATTATACAAATATAAATGCAGAATGGCGTCAATAAATACAATTCATTCTATACAATATTATCAAAATGCTCACTAAATGAGTAGTAACATTTGCTTATTATAAATATTTATAGTAGAATACATTGCCGCAAACCCAAACTCAAACAGACAATTGAGTCAAAAATGGCAGCCGTTAAACTATTTCTTGAATCTGCCATTTTGAATCTTTGAGCAGCTGTAATTTTTTACTCAATTGTTCTATTGAGCTCAAATTTGCGGTATTGATTCTACTACATAATACCTTTAATTTGATGTGCATGTCGACCTATGCTTACGTTAATGATTTTCTTCTGAATTCTCGCAGTTGCCCCTTGAGGAGGTAGCGTAGAATAGCAATGGAAATTCAATCTGTCATTTTTGACTCAGTTGTCCTTTGAGTTTGGGTTTGTGGCATTGTATTCTACTAACTAAGACCTTTGATTAGATACCAAACTCGACCTATGCTACTATTTAAAAATTTTCTCTGGCTCCTCATGGGATGTCTCCCTTAAGGCATAAAAAGGTGATACAGTAATAGCTTAAAACATTAGACATTTATAGCTATTGTTTATATACCAAGTATCATTACTTTACCTATATTGGTACCAAATATATTTAACTGTTCCGGGACTTTTCTACCACACTGTATATATATTCTAGTAATTATTTTGTACAAATCATTAGTCTCATGGGTTACCCTACCTTGAATTATCGTTTAACATTTTTGTATGTTATAATATTTATAATAGTTATTACATATCTGCATAATGCATTTTGATGTATGCTCTGATTAAAATAAAAATCCCAAAAGACTGTTCATGCGGTGTGTTTATAATATAAACTTTCTTGTTATATTTTTACATCTATTCTATATATAATTCAGTTTTGAAAATATTTGTACAACTAAATCTAGAGTTCTACTGGACCGATTTTATTAATTAATGGGTCGCTGTAAAACTTAATTCGTGTAGATTTGCAAATAATTCTGAAAGTTGTTTTTGTTATGATTTATGGTGAAAAATTTCAAAAAATCATGTTTTTCACACTTTTTATTTGGGTGAGACTTTTGGCTGTCTTTTTGAGTGTTTCCAAGAAGTATATGGTATCAGTTTGTAAGAAATTTTATTCTCTTTCAGAATATCACCTTCTACTTTGGTCGATTTCCTAACCATTTAAAAGTTATTTACAAAAAAGCTAATCAACCTCCAAATTTATAGTAATGAGAAAATACAGAGTTAGGGATATTTTTGTTAAACTTTGTACAACTAAATCTAGACTTCTACTCGACCGATTTTTTTAATTAATGGGTCATTGGAAGGCCCAACTCATGTAGATTACGGCAACAGCTGACTGTCGACTGCACTACGGTCAATGAACTTACTGTTGATGTCTACACAACGCTTAATGCTGGTTTACCATAGTGTGAAATATGTGCGCGTTTTCACCATTCAAATTGTTTGTGGACTGATGTAGTCTGGTTTATGACTCAATGTGCCAGTTGACAATAATTTAATTTCTCAAATACCGACCTCAGAGCAAAATTTTAAATATTGTTAAAGTTTCAGATTTCTATTTTTGTTATTCAGATTTCAAATGTTTAAGTATAAAATTGTTTCGTGTTAAATGTATTAAATGTAAATCAATGGAAAAAAATGAACAAAAAAATGTGTCGTCTGTTGCCACGACGGGTCGAAATTGTCCCGGGATGGAAAAGGTCTTTGTGCGGACCTGAAGGTCGCTCGGGCCAATTTTTTTGGCAGGGGAGATTTCTGTGCCGATATTAAATGCAAAGATTTAAAACCCGCGCCAGGCAACGAACCACGTCAGTCAAACATGACGTAACGCGGAGGAATACGAACAGAGAAGGACTACATTTGTGCCGTGTCCGTTCGCCACTCGTAGTCTCGGAGTTGCGCTGTCAAGATCCATGGTCGCGTTTGTCGCTGGTGTAGGACGATTATATTAATATCTTAAGTTCGCAGCTAGAAAATCGCGTTCGGGCGAAAATTGTACGTACATCAAATGATCGCAATTGTCAAAATTTTGCCGAACTGCAATTGGGGGTGTATTTTATTAGTATTAAGTCGAGACAGTTGAGATGCCGGATTGATTGTTCGCGTTCGTGATGAAAATTAGTACATGCATCATATCGATAGCAAATGTCAGTTTCTAGCGAATCATAGATCGTTGTGACAGTATTTTTAATTGAATCAATAAACGCCAGCTTCTTTACATACTAGAGGCCGTTGTATTTAACCACAACGGGCTCTGTTACTAGTTGTATTACATTTTACATTTTTACATTACACAAAGATTATATTATTTCTATACAGTGTGTAAATTAAGTATGGAAACAAATCTTTATTTTTTAAACCAAAATAGATAGAAATATTGGGTTTTTGGCATTGACTGTTAACCAAAGTTCCGCAATTTTTTGCATCAGAAAAAATTTTTCACCCCCTCAGGGGGGGTAGGGGTAGGGGGTAACTTAATTTTTTTAAATAGCAACCCCTATTGAGTGACCTCTCATTTTGAAGGGTTTGTCAAAAGAAATACAATGCCGTAAACCCGAGGTCGATATCTTACCCCTAACCAGAATGGCGGCCATTTTAAATTTCGAGATGGGCAAACGAAATTCAGTGTGGATACCCATAATTTACCTTTTAAATGGGTTACATTGGGTAAGCCGAACTCCAGATACCATTATTAGATTGAAAAGTGGATGTTTTTATCGTATTCAAAATTTTGCCCCAGCCCCCAAAATAGGGGATATTGGGGGCAGCCCCAAATTTTTAAACGCAAACCCCTATTGAGTGACCCCTCGTTTTGAAGGGTTTGTCAAGACAAAAGCAGTGGCACAAATCTTAGGTCGATATGTCATCCCTAGACGAAATGGCAGGCATTCAAAAACTTGATTGGGTAAAAAAGCGCCCATTTCACCAATTAAAAATGTTGAATGCCTGTTATAGTAGCCCCTATTGAGTGATCAGTCATTTTATAGCTTTTGTACCGCTAAACCTGTCACAAACGAATTGTTTGAAGTACAGATAAGACAGGAAATAAATAATCTAGAGCACAAATAATACACATCATAAATAATAACACATAATAAAACTAATTTAATACTGTAAAACACACACACAGACAAAAGGTATTACTATTAAAGTAATGTTTGCTGCTATTACCTGAGTAATTCATAGATGTTGGAATTGATGGCCAAGAGCAACTTGACAAAGTCCTAAGCGATTGTAAAATTCGTTTAATACTCTGCCAATTGTTTGCTGATCAATTGCCCGTGCTTCCGCCAGAATCCTTTCTGAAAGCTCTTGTAAGTTTTCTGGTCGATTTACATACACTTTACTCTTAAGATATCCCCATAAAAAATAATCCAAAGGGGACAAATCGGGAGATCTTGCAGGCCATTCTATGGAACCCCTTCTACCTATCCACTGATCTGGAAAAGTCTGGTCCAAATAGTCCCTTACATTTACAGCGAAGTGGGGTGGAGCGCCATCTTGCTGAAACCAAATACTTTCATCCACGGCATGCTCTTCATCCTCAGGAGGAAACTCTCTTGAAATAGCGGGTACAATAGACTCGCGCAACAGGTCCAGATAACGATCACCATTTAAATTACCTTCAATTATAAAAGGTCCAATTACCCTAAATCCAACTATTCCTGCCCAAACGTTAATCTTCTGAGGGTTTTGTGTATGGCATTCTTGAGCCCAATGTGGATTTTCATCAGACCAGTACCTCGAGTTTTGTCTATTGACGTGTCCATTGAGGCTGAATGAGGCTTCATCAGAAAATACTATTTTTGTTTTAAATAACGGATCTTGGATACACCGCTGCATCATTTCTTCACAAAATTGAATTCGACGTTCAAAATCATCCTCGTTCAATTCATGAATTAGCTGTACCTTATAAGGATGAAATTTTTCGGCTTTCAGAGCTTTATGAACCGAAGTGTGACTTAAACCTAGATTACTACCGAGCTGACGAGTAGATGTAATGGGATTTTCTTGAATACTCAAAAGCACATTCAGTGTCATGTCTTCTGTTACAACTGATTTACGTCGACCAGTTTTAGCTTTATTTGCTACATCCCCTGTTTCCAAGAACTTAGTACAGATCTTACTTACCGTAGATCGGTTTATTTGATGATCTGGGTACAGTTCATTAAATAACTCACAAGTTTCTTGATATGTACGTGACCTATCCCCATACCCAACAATGCGGAGAATGTCAATTTTTTGCTGTGTACTTAAAAAAACCATTGTTAAACAAAACTACAGAAGCACTTGAATACACCTCTCTCTACAAAATTAACTAAACCAGAATGAGTAGATGAAACATTATCGAAAGAATATCCTTTAGAAACCCAAACAGCTACTGATAAGAAAGGGTAAATGGGAAATCCCAAGTTAGAAACCGTTTTTAAACTACGTTGTGCATCTGCATTTCGAAGGAGCTGAGATAACCAAAGCTACTTAAATTTTTTCTAAAATTTCAATTTACTATTTCATAATTTCCTCTCTTACTTAATTACTATAAGAATTTTTATAAAATGTCTTTTTATAATTTTATTACATAATTATAAACATAATTAATTGACATTTGGTTCTTGACCACCATTTATTTTAGGATAAACGGATTTTTTATCATTCTGCACGGGGCTGGGGCAAAATTTTGAATACGATAAAAACATCCACTTTTCAATCTAATAATGGTATCTGGAGTTCGGCTTACCCAATGTAACCCATTTAAAAGGTAAATTATGGGTATCCACACTGGATTTCGTTTGCCCATCTCGAAATTTAAAATGGCCGCCATTCTGGTTAGGGGTAAGATATCGACCTCAGGTTTACGGCATTGTATTTCTTTTGACAAACCCTTCAAAATGAGAGGTCACTCAATAGGGGTTGCTATTTAAAAAAATTAAGTTACCCCCTACCCCTACCCCCCCTGAGGGGGTGAAAAATTTTTTCTGATGCAAAAAATTCCAGAACCTTGGTTAACAGTCAATGCCACAAACCAAATATTTCTATCTATTTTGGTTTAAAAAATACAGATTTGTTTCCATACTTAATTTACACACTGTATTTTGTTTTTACACTGTAAGAACCAACAGTAAGTGATATTTATTTTATGTAAACAAAACAAATACAGTTCACTTAATCAAAAATTAAAAACTATTTTTCCTCATCCAATTTAGCTATTAAGCTAACTCATTAAATAAACAATTATCAAAATTTCCTGAAAATCTTTTTCCGAAAAGGACTACGGAGGCTGTTAGAAATCTTGAATGAGGCTATATTTTGAGTATCAAAATACTCTTACGCAGGTTTAAAATAGTCTGGCGATAGATTACTGAGAAAACCACATTATTTTTGTAATGTGATCTGAAGTGTTAGGGATGAGCCGGTGAAAAAACGCTGATCGTACCCTCCTTATAACAGAGAGCATCGCGAAATAATATTATTTTAGCAATAGTTGCTGAGAAAAGCGTATTAATTTTTTAATGAAGTCTGTTTGGAATGAGCGAGTGAAATAATGCTGATTGTATCTTCCTATCAACATCAAACATCTCTAAATAATAGTAATAGTCTGTCTGAGGAACTTCTAATCACCAGAATAACTGTGAGTAAAAGTAGCCTTGCATTAGAACGAATGGCTGATACGTACTGGATGAGGAAGTTATAGGTGAAAAAATAATGGTATAGTTTCACCTATTACCAAAAAAAGTCAAGGAACGTTCCTGACTATCATTTCAAAGTAATGACACTTCCCATCCCTACCCAGTATTTTTATACTTTTTTTAGTGTGATTTTTCACACTTACCTTTTTGATATCAACAAAGAGCGGATCGCCCAATTCTGTGCGCTTGGCGTAAGCGTACTTAAACGCCTCCACCATCCTGTGAACGGTTGTTGTCATTTTGTCGAGCGTACTCACGCTGTCTGGGGTTAGATTGTATCCTTCGAGGATTTTGAGGATGAAGGTGAGGAGAACGCCGGCACCGGGTGGAGGAGAGGTGTAGACTGTGTCGTCTTGTAGCTTCACAGTGATAGGATCTGTCCATTCTGGTCTGCATGGGTAAAATGATTAGTGTGTGAGGTAACTTAAATAATTTAAATTGGGGTTTCAAGAATAAGTTTAATCATGAAGACTATATTCTGCCAGGTTTTTTTTCAAATTAAACAAGATGATCCCTACATGTTACACCATTACCCAGATTTACGGATATGCTATCTGTACCACAATAACGAATTGAAGAACTAGCTCCGCAACGGGAATTGTCTGCTGTAACCAACATCAGGGCCGGATTTCCCACTAGGCCCGGTAGGCCCGAGCCTATGGGCACGAGCTCCCAGAGGGCGCACAGCCGAGAGGAAAATATTTTTTTACTATCTTAAAATAAAATTAGGTTTGGAGAGAAAGGGCTAATTGCCTGAGAATTAAATAGTCATAAACATATTTTAGAGTTGAGTAAAAAAAAACTCTGGCTAATAAAGCATTATGATTTCAAAGTTCATTAGAAGAAATAATTGTTAGAAAATTTTAACTATTTTTCAACATTACGCATCAATATCGTTACAAAATTGGCAACGAACATTAGTTAAACTTGGAGTAGGTTGGAGGGATGTTGACGAGTGCCCAAGCATTACGTACATTCGTATCACCGGCTTGGCGCTACTGATCAGTAGGGGCACATGCGTGCTAGACACTGTTACAACCCTTACCTCACAAAACGAAAGTTATTAACTAATCTTTCGATTAGTTTACAACAATCTGCAGGTTTCTAGGCTAGTTTACAACAAAATATATAATACGTTGTGTTGAATATTAAACAAATTATAAATTTATCTTAAAAATTAATAAAAAAATATTAATCTCAGTTTACAATAGGTTTGAGAAAAATTCAATACCATCCAAAGCACCCTTAATGCTGCCATTTTCTCCTCAGACCTAAGGAACGGTATGGCTGGAATGTTGCTCTATCTTGCTTTGGAATTATAATCCAGATGCAGAACCACCATCCTAACCTTTCATCGGGCGCATCACAGAAGTTGCATCCGGGTCACTACTTTTTTCGTTATAAAAACCATAGTATGTGTGCGGCAGGGCTGTGGCCTGATTTACCTCACGAACCTCTTTTGCGGAATCGGTTTTATATTCTCTAACCCCTTTCCCAGTGGTCAGTCGACTTTGGGGGCGGTGGTTCGCGTCACTACTGGAAGTAGCTTCCATGAGCGCCCTGTGATGCTACGGGTTTCCCGGAGCCTAGTTCCGTGTGCGCCCTTGTGTTTGACCTTATTAGCGATATTATAAAATGTATGAAGAAGAGCTAATTGCGAGATTGTTGGATAGTGTTGAAAGGGAAGACAAGGAACAATATTTAGTAGAAAGAACTAATGGTACGTGAGTTCGGAAACCTTTTTTTTTTTCAAGAAAAAGAGCTTTGACAAAATGAGTAGTCCTTCTAACAAATGATTTTTTGCATTAGACAATAGGTGTTTTAAGCTTGGATAAAGTAAGTTATCCTTGAAATAACACCATTGGTGTTTTTATGCCATACACTGATGCAATTTTTGTCTAAGAGCTTTAATGAATGAATTTTCCTTGTACAAAATTATTATTTTTATTAGACCATTTACGTGTTTTTTCCCATTAAATATTAAAATTTGTTTTCTAATATATGATAGTACTGTATAAGCACAAAATATAAATCATTTTATCCACAACACTTACGTATTTTTATTTTTTATTATAACATTTTCTTTGTAATACCGGTAACTTAAGTAATAGTGTAATAACTCATAATAAATGTTTTTCATCGAGTTTTATTGCTATTAAAATGTTTTTTACTCATCATTGTATAGTTTTTGTACTCCCGGAGGTAACCTCCGTGAGCGCCCTTTGGTGTTTGAAAATCAATGCGCCTGACGGAAGGTTAAACATAGCTCAAGTAGACTTCTTATCATATTGTTAATTCTAAATTTGTTTCATGTCTAGTTCATGTTGGTGACACTGGACGTTAGTTTCTACGTAATTTTGTTTCTATTATTTTAGGGTTAGTTGTAGTTCTATGTGTGTTTTAATTTCTTAATCTTGTAACATAACCAGAAGACGACCTATTGTTTATGATTAGATCATTTTATTTAGGATAAACTAGGTTTAAATAACAATAATTGTTTTCAGCTAATAAATAAAGATGACAAATCTACTAAAGGAGTATGTTTAATCTATGGTATCATTTACTGTATGGAGTTCATGTTTTTGGGCCTGAAATTGGAATCAATGGCCATGTTTTTTTTCAGGAATGCTCTGTGGACTGGTTGAGTTGTTTTGTTTCAGTCTCAGTCCCACAAACGTGAGCATTTACTAAAAGAATTAAATTGCTAAAAGTGTTTAAGACGACATTTTGTTAAGGCTAAACAAGTCAATTCTTCAAAAGACTTGCAATTATAAAATTCAATTGGAGTGGTATTCAAGCAATTGCCATAGGCCTATAGGCATTATGGTAGTTTTTTTAATAAAGGTTTGAAGGAATGTAACTGTGACCAGACTAGGGGGGGGGGGAAATTATTTGGGCCTAGGGGTGCCAAAATGCTAAATCCGGCCCTGACCAACATTGGCTTGACTTGGCCAACAGCATATAATGGACCTAATGACAACACAGATCTCCTACCGTGATAAAGTGTAAGATTAGAAAACAATAGTCCAAGTCGATTATATTAAGAAGTAAATTTTACCCATTTGGTTATAGATTTTTGATGACAACAATTAAAATAGTAAAAAAATGACTGGTGTAGGTCTTTATTGAACCGTAATAGCCATACAATTTGGACCATTGACTAACCAAAAATAAATGATCTGAAAAGGCCTCACCCCATTGGTTTAGGTTAGGTTGGTCACGGCAATGTAAGGTTGAATGAGCCTCTTTTAGAATGGACACTATAGTGTAGCGGTGTAATGTGGAAATGCGAGACTAGTTTAAGCATGCTGAATCTGCTACCAAATGATTTACATGAAAGACTTGTTGGGACAGAGGACGGAGATCTTTTACCCAGACCGGAAGCTTGCATAGCCAGCTTTGGTTTATCCTAACACAACTAATTTACTTAAACTATCCTTCCAAAACTTGTGAGCTAGAAAATGACTATCAGATAATTTGGTTTTGATTGTACTACTTAAATCAGAAATAACTATGACGAGAGCTGTTTGCCCGTCCTACGTACGGGAATCGAGTAGTCTATCATATCTGTATAAATAGTGTGTCTATTACTAATTCAAGCATAGTTTAATCAGTTCAAAATTTTTAGTAAATATAAAGCTGCCAAGATGAATTAAAACATGAGATCATTGTTATTTTCCCAACCTTTCTTCAAAAAGTCGAATATTAAAATAATTTTCATAATCTTTCTTTAGAAGATTTGTGGGCTTTGATTAGTATATAGCAATGATTATAGAATCTTACTTATTTCCTATAATCAATGACAAAATAACAGAGTTATTAAACTAACCTCATAGTTCCATAGAATATTCTTTTATTTAACCAGCTGTTAGTTATAAAAAATTATATTGAACTAAAACAAATGAAATATTTTAAAAACTGCTCAAAAAAATAACTGAGAACATCAGATCTAGTATTTTACTATGTATATTTGAATAATCTCTCATCTTCTTACCGAATAAATGAAGGTACCACTGATTAACATTATACATAGTATAAATAAGTCAATTCTACGGTTTCATTTCATTGTCATGCAAATGCTGAATTTGTGTCGAAAACACTGAATGTTTACAGGTGTTATGTTAAGCAAATTATATCATACCAAAAGCTAGTTTAGAATTTTAGCGTCGACTGCTAGACTTTAAAAAAATTAAAACTTAATTTCTAAAAACTGTAACCCTCAACTAAATTTATGTCTTCGACATTCCCTAGTTCTCAAAATTATTTTTCTTTCAACATAAAAATCATGAAAATCCGTCAAGTGGTTGATTCAGAATCGTGAAATAAAAAAACCCTGTCACGTTTTAATCTATAGGATTTTATTGCGATAAACTGTGGTAGCCTACTGGGGAGAACGTGTTATCTTTTTCATGTTTACAATGGTCGAGGCTGAAGGCTTCGGCCGGCAATTAATTAATTCCTACATAACCAATGTCGGGCCACCCTTGCAGGTCTCCCCCTTGGTTTGCTAACTAGCCTGACATTTGAATTTAATATCTACACATATAATTAACCTAAACACTTATCCATTTTATAAAGGATTGCAGAAGATCCAATTTTCAGTGGTAGTCAGGTGATAAGTCGGGAAAAAATAGGAAGAGAATTGGAAAAGTGGGGGAAAGCGTTCACTCGCTCGCGGTGGGCTGACGAGTTTGACATGGAGCCCTGCCACGCGAAGCGCTGACACTAAGAGATATAGCGGGCCGCTATGCGTCACAATAGATTATAATCATAATTCCACCCTTCCAAGGAAAATAATAAATCAGGTCATGAATAACATTACAGACTCATCACTTGCCACTATTTGGACAAGCATTCCAAACAAAAGCCTGTCACAAGCAAGGAGAACTGCTACGATTGGAGACAGGATTAGTGCAGTTGCACAAACTGTTATAGATCAACGGGTCAATTTGTAATCAAACTGCACAATGATAGTAACTTAATGTTTTTTTCACTTCTCCACTTACTTGTAGTTCCGCATGTCGTCTTCGGTGATAAGGCCTCCCATACTTTGTACGTCGTCAACGAACGTCTTGGTGAGAGTACCATCGTGTAACGCCTTTCCTCCCTCTTGCGCAATCACTTTGAGAGTTTCGCACAACTGTCGGGGTCGGATCAGACTCCCCTTAGTCTTTAAACGTCCTTTTTTGTCCACAAACCACTCCCTGCAATCGTAATTTGAATGGTTATTGAAAGCAGTGGATGTAAACTAGGAAATAGAAATTGTAAGGTAGAAAAATAGGAAAATGAGTAAAATTAAGATACCTCACATGTTTGGGCGACTTCTCTGTAGATGGCCATCTTGCTGCTGATTTTTTCTACACTACTTCTTCTTTTGGTAGGGAGAGGCGGGAAATTTGAATGTTTAAATGAAATTTGAATGAGGGGAGTTATGGTTTGTGATGTTACAACAGGAATGAAAAAGGATAAATTAAAATGTCTCTAGGATTTCAGAAATTAAATTAAATTAAGTCTGGCTCAGGGGCGGACTGGGTACTCTATTAGGGCGTAAACCTTGACCAGCCCGAAAGCGCCAACCGGGGGGTCTGGAGGGGAATTCCATACCCCCCATGTATAGAGGGGGGTCCTCCCCCAGGAAATTTGTTAAAAATTATACCTGTAAACTCGCATTTTTAGGCAATCTAGAGGCATTAACAGTGGAAAATCAGAAATCTGATAACTGACACTATTGGTCAATGTTTGGTTTACAAAATTTAGACTATTTACCCACACGACTTGGCGTTATTCTGACAGTAAATATCCTAACAAAAATAAAAATACAAACGATTTTCTTAGGTTCTTTCGTATTATATTTGTGTATTTTCACTATTTTCCCTTGTATGACTTGGCTGCATGCATACAATATAAATCATGTGCTTCCTGTTTACAACCTGAACCTGCAACTGCTGTATTTTTTGGCACTGTAAATAACAGAAGTTATATATTTTAGATTTCTATGAAATTATTTTAACACAAACAATATGCTTTCACTGTGAACAAAACCAATTTATTGACTTAAACTGTTTTAGCATTACATTAAGTCAAAACTGTAACCCTAAAGTAGGCCTACCTAACCTATTTCTACAAACAAAATGGAAGCCATAGCCTAGAGAGAACTACGAAGGTATTTTGGGCTGGCTATGTGTAAGTAAAATAGGTAAGTAAGTAGCTCAGACCACAGAGTAAAGTGCCTTCCACTCGGAGTAGGCCTACACGTACGAGAGAGAAGAGCTGCTTTGCTCTCGCTTGTCGACAGTGTCTATTCCGGTCTCACACCCGACTTTATGTTTTGCTATTCGCTGCTGAAACTTTTACTCTAAGTTTTTCATCTTGCTTTCTAAAAATACGTCTCGTCTCATTTTTTAAAAATGTTTATGAATTTTTCCTTTAACGAGGGCGCAAATATTGGAATTTTGAGAAGGCGTGGTGGGCCGGCGGGCCAGTCCGCCCCTGGTCTGGCTCTAACAGTTATGTTATTGTTTAAATTAAAATATTTACTTTTAAGAAGACAAAATTGCTATTGCGTTTGACAAAACTTGTTATAGATCATGTCACGAATAAGTAAACCCGAAAGTAAACCAAACCATATGTTAACTAGGTGGCGTTTGCAGAGGCGTCCACAAAATTGAACGGGAGTCATCAGGGTTCATATTATATTCTTATTGCCGTCACCATCGAGCTTCATAATTATTTTTACCTACAATTTTAAATCAAGACAAAATTTGTGTGGAGATAAATATTTGAGTAATTAGAATGGCTACACGTTATTTCATAGTGAAGGGGAGTAAAAAACACATGTATGTCATTTTAGGCCTTTTTGGAGACCTGCATTTACATTTAAAGTTTAAAACCTCTAGGTTATAGATTGGTTTCAATGAATTGTTATTTCAAATGAACATTTCAAAATAAAAAATTGTTACAAAAGTTACATCAACATTCACATTCACATCGATTCCAGTGTTTAAACCCATGTTAAACCAGTGTTCTAGTCCCCTTGTTAATCTTCGACAAGATCAGCAATTGTCGATAATATCTAACTATTTGCTACATGGCGGCATTTCAACACATCATAAAAGTCATAATTATTACTGAAGGCGATGGTAAAAACTTAAAATACCTACTTTGTATGGTCGCCATTTCATTGAAAAGTATTGAAGTATTAACAACAGCCTGGAAACACATGTGAAGCCACTGCTACCGGCATAGGCACTTTCATGCAATAGGATGATCGTGAAACAAGGCTGAACCAAAACGTCCAAAACTATTATTTTTCGCGTATTTTAACACGTTCACTGCGTTGCATACTTTCCACCATTATTCCAATGGTGCGTTACGAGATCTATAGGTCTCGTCCGCTATGATTACCCAGGTGCGATACGAGACCCCGAGATTACGTTGCGCAGTAATCTTTTGCGCATCATAACCTCGTAAAGAAAGGCAAGAGAGCGCTGAGTGTTTGTTTATATGAACCAGTACAATGTTGACAATCTTCAGCCAGCCCAGGAAGTAAATATGACGTCATTGTACGAGACCCCGAGATCTCGTACCGCACAGCTGTAATAGTTCATTATTTATTTGTATTTATTCTTTTCCTACAATAACAAATTAAGAAAAATATATGTTACCTGTTTATTTACGAATTCCTTATAATCGTAACCGTTATAAAAAATATATTTTATCTTTCTTTTATCACTTTTTTATATTAATGCGTTTCCTTACGGCTGATTTCAGGCTAAATAAAATACAAATGAAATATGTTTACAAATTACTGTATTTATTTCGTTATAATTTTGGGGTTGGGCTATGACCTCGAAATGAGTGAGTGCCAACAGTGAGTCGAGTGGGCGGGGGGAAGGGATGGGTGCAACCTTGAAGCTATATTTAGACTTGCACCACTTCCCTAAAGGGCTGGGAAAGGGATCCTAATCGCAAAACAAAAACTAATGATACAAAGTTGTTTATCGGAAATTTCTTGTCCGGTTTGACGATTATTTAGCATTGATTTTTGTATGAATTACTAGGTACCAGGAGAAATATTCGAATTAATGTAAATGATTTGCTTGTTTACATCAAAATACAACATTGCACAATCGTGATATTTTAGGTCATTTACCAGTGACCTTTATTACGCATCCGTTAGTGCTAATAACAGTAAAAAAACACCATTATTCTTTCTCTTTGTTCTTGAAATATTTCTTTGGTTTCCTTCTTTCATCCAAGCATTCAACAAAGGTTACTATGGTTACTAATCACCCCATTAGCCTCATGTAGTGCTTGGAACAACTATTTTTGATACGAGACCCAGGGGTCTCGTATCGTAATAAAGTAAAAGTTTATTACTTCAGTGCGTTGTTACGAGATCTATTTATCTTGTTCATTTCATAGTTACTAGTTGATACATCAAGAAAAATGCATTATATATGTACAAGTTTCATTTCTTTACGATAACTGTATGCCGAAATATCGATGTCGTAATTTTTGGAAAGAAGCCAAATTATGGGTCCCGCACTACGGGCTAGGTACGATACGAGACCTCGGGATCTCGTAGCGCAGTGAACGTGTTAATTGTCTCAATGCTCGCCTATAATATCAAAGTCAATATATCAATGTTTATTGATTTATAAACACAAAAAGCCACGTTTGTATGAAATCAGATGATGGATGTCTTTAGGGAAATTTATTTTTCTATGTGCATTATTGTAATTCAATTAAGATGCATGACATAAAATAACCGGGTATTTATAACCGTATGGTATGGAAAATAAAGAAAACCCCTCAATAGATATTTCCATATAAGTTTGCCAAAAGACTGTTTAATAATTTATATATAAACAGTCATATGTTTTTCAATTGTTTTTGTTAAAAACAGTAAATAGTTCAACGTTGTTGTTTTGAGAAATGAAATAAAGAAGATGGTTTTTGTTAACATTTATTTTGTCATTTCTAATGTTTAATTTTAATATTAAGTAATCGTCCATGCTATCAAAATAATTGAATCACGTATAGTGACGACTTCTAAATCTAGGGTTAAGTTTAGTCAAGGAATACCTTTACTTTACACTAATTGCTTTAAGCCTTAACAAAAGGAGTATAAGCTAAAAAATATAAACTGGGTAGGGATGCTAATTTAGTGGTTTTGACCAAGAACTAAGCTTATATCAACACACCTTTATTTGCCTCATATTTGACGAAGACAATTTCAAAAAATTTAATCAGGGAAGCCTTTTGTATCACCATTAACCACAAGACCAACGCTACCTTAATAAACCAGTATTTATTCACAAACAATTATATGTTTGCTGCCTTAAGCAGAATTAAACCTATGGAGTGGTTCAAATTATTTATTGAAAATAACATCAACAAAAGCACACGCAGACAATCAACAAACTGTTTTTTACACAAAAGATATGGTGTTCAGGGATATCTATTCTGACACATAAATAATACCTATATTTCTGAGTGTGTGTAGATATTAGAATAATTTGTTTTACATTATTGAGCTTTTTAGGGAATTATGTCTCTACAAGCCACTAGTACTATTTAAATAGGGAATAAAAGTTATATTTTTAAGGAGATATTTTAGTGTAAATCCAATCAGGTGAATGTAAATTTGATTAGTCTGCAGGTTTGCTGCAGCGGAGGTATTTAATTTTTGACCCTCAAAACACAAAATTTTTCAATTTCTCTCTAAACTCTTTTAAAGTGCCTAAAAAATAATAATTATGTACATCAAAGTGTTTTTGTACAAACACTTAAAACCGGTGAGTGTTTGGGGGATTGGGGGACACTTAAAACTATTGGGGATTTAATTGGGACGGGGTTTTTGATTGCTGTTTTAATTGGTAACAGAGTAACAGAGAAACAAAATGGTAAAATTCACATGCTATTCTGATGGATAATAAATAAACTGTTGTAATTTTCTTGTTTATGGATATATTTTGATACAACTTGGTAAATTTATTTATTTTATACTAAGCTATTTATATTTTATTAGTTTCACTGAAGCAGAAAACCTAGGTACTTGTTAAACCTGATGGTATTTAAATATATTTAATTGAAAATCATTTCAGGCAGATGGTAATTCGCTTAGTCGGCAGGTTTGATGTGGCAGGGGTGATTATATTATTACATAGATTTAATATAAAATTTAAAAAGTTCAAATGTCACTTCAGTTGTAGATATATTTACAAATCTAAAATCGGGAGGTATTATCTTGCATTTATGTTTACTAGGTGATGCCTTATCAAGCACAATGACTGTAAACAAAAACAATCAACTATGGATATAAGTTGAAATTTGTTATGTTATACAACTTGATTCTCTCTCTCTTATTTCGGTTATTGAATAAAAATATAAAGAGTTAGCTATTAAGTTGTTTAGTATTTATCAAAACCACATTAGCAATCTTTGCTCAGAATTCATACAAAGCAAAAGTTATGCCACCAAAGTCTAATATCCCTCAAGTTTATTCTTTACTTGAATATGGATCAAGGATTAATTACCTCAAAATTGGCATAACTGAAAGTACAAAGTAAGGACCTTTCCCGTTAATTCACTACCACCATGTTTTTTTTTTTTTTTCAGGTTGAAATATTATAATTGTCCTCGAATGCTGTTAAGGGTTTGGTTGTATTATTACCTTTGACTGTGTATTGTTACATTTACATACAACTTATAGTGGTAGAGAATTAGCGGAATAGATCCCTAATTATGATTAAAATTGTAGGAACATCTAGGAAAATTACACTACCTCAAGTTAGGATCGTTAAGGGAAAATATAAACCGAAACCGGTTTTTAAGGCAGCTTTCTGTATATTCACTCATGCGGAAACCCTCTTCGCAGATCTTTATCGTAGGTTGTACTAAATCGGCCCACGGGAGACGGCCGAACTTCTCGTGCGCCTCCCTGTATCCTCGCAGCTCTCCGGGAACCCCTGTCGCGAGCGCTCCTGTAACCAACCTTTGCTTAACCAATTCAATTCAAATTATCTTTATTCATCAAGTACATTAGAAATATATACATGAATAGTGTCACATTTCTTATAAGTTATAATAAAACATACATGCTTATAGTAAATGGGAAAAATTGTAAAAGAACATAAAACTAACAGTTAAAACATACTTTGATTAGTAGGGAAAGAAAAGTCAATTACAGTTCATCAAATGAATAAATAGCCCTGCTTATGAGAAATTTCTTAAGTTTATTTTTAATTTTTTTTATATTTACTTCTGCTTGTATGTCCTTTGGAAGTTTATTATAGAATTTTGTTCCGGCGTATTTGGGTTTTTTTTCGAAAAGGCGCAATTTATGAGGACTTAATGCTAACTTGCCTCGATTTCTTGTAAGATAATCATGTTTCTTTCCAACCAGCTCTGTTTCATGAAATCTGTTTTTAACGGATACCACTGTTTCAAAAACATACATGCCGAAAACTGTCATTATATTTTCTATTTTAAACATTCTCTTAACAGAAGTTCTAGGTGGAAGGTTGTAAATTATTCTTATAGCTTTTTTTTGCATTCTTAATATAGATTTTAAGTTTCTCTTATTGGTTGAGCCATAAAGGGAAATCCCAAATGAAATCACTGAATGTATGTATGAAAAGTAAACCAACTTCAAAGTTTCTATTTCGCAATAGTTTTTTAATCTAGTTAAGGCATATAATCCAGAAGAAACTTTTGAAAGTACTTTTTCAACCAACAGAGTAACTTGGTCTACTAATCAAGAGGGTTACCAGTTCAATATAACTGACAACCTTTTTTGACTAGAGGTGTCCCCAGGGGTCAAAATAAACCATCTTTTCAAATTCATGTATATTTACTGGGTAGCACAAAAACTGGGACACATGGATTAAAGCAGCGTGGTACCAGTGGAGAGGAGCTGCCTGTGACTGCTGAGCAACCTTAGCTTATTTATTTTTTTTTTTTTTGCAGTGTTTCCAGTGAAGCCACGTGTTGATCTTCTAATATTAATATTCTAAATTACTAAAATGAAGTGTCAAAAGTGTTAAAACGATATTGTTCAAACTCGGGACGGATGTAAATGCGCGGATTGCCAATCAATTTTCCACATTACTTGCGTCGCAGACACATACAAGAAGAAATCTCCCAAGAGCTGGAAGTTTGATGATTGTTCTTTTGGAACCACGTCTGAATCAAGGACCAGTGAAAGTGTAGAATCAGATCGTGGACAAACAGCAGTATTGAACGCTATTACCGCACTTTGTTCCGAAATGAACTCGCGATGGGATCGCAATGGCACCAAACAGGACCAAATGCAAATGGACATTAACAGTATTAACAGTGAAATACGTGATTTAAAAGTGGAAGTTACCCGTGTCGGAACACAAGCTAAAAATACCGAGAAAAACGTTGAACAACTGCTTGAAGATAATAAACGCATTTGTGAAGAATTAGCCAAAAGTCGAGAGGACTTGCTCGACCTTCAACATCTACGGCAAAATAACGTAATCGTTTCAGGTGTGCCAAAGTTGCCGAGAGGATCAGATGTATTCCAGGTGATAGCACAAATCGTGCATCTTATCAATGTCCCGTAATATCGCTCGGACGTCAACGCGGAGCACTGGCTTCCGGGCCAAGACAGTGACGACAGAACACAGCCTTTTATAATATCTTTTGTGTCACGCATCGTCAAAAACGAGTGGATAGCAGCGAGACATTTCAAAAGAAGTTTACTGGTATCAGAGTTACGCCCGAAGTTCCCAGATCATCAAATCTACATAAATTAACATTTGGCTCCTGAAACACGAACAATCTTCAACAAAGGACACAAGCTACTCAAGGAAGGGAAACTGGAGTCTGTCTGGACGTCCGATGGCCGAGTTCTTGTCAAAACGACCCCCAAGGGACGACCGACTCGAGTAACCAGGCTCCAACACCTAGACTGCGTGACGTCACTGCACGGCAAATCCACCACCGACTACAGCTCACCGTCACCCGAGTCAACAGAGACATCGGCCACCACAAGGTCACCGACAGCTACCCAGACCACTAACACTAACGGATAGTTCAACTATTCTACATCAGGTAGGTGTTGTTTGCCATTTTGATGATATAACTATATACGGGAAAGATATGGAAGAAAATGACAAAAATTTACATAGTGTTTTGTGTAGGCTCCAGGAAAAGGGCTGGACACTTAACAGATCAAAATGTGTGTTCCGGCATGACAGTATCAGTTTTCTAGGCCACCTTGTAACTAAAAATGGAATTAAGCCAGATCCCTCTCGTGTTGAGGCTATCCAAAAACTCAAGACGCCAACTAATGTTAAAGAACTAAGGAGAATTCTAGGTGTTGTCAATTACGTAGCCAAGTTTATTCGTAATTTGTCGACCATAGTTCATCCATTACATGCTTTACTGCAAAAAACAGAATTTGTTTGGGGCCTGATCAAGACCAAGCTTTGGAAAAGATTAAACTGTCATTGATGTCCCAACCGTGTCTCGCTTTATACAGCATGTCTAAAGAAACCTTCCTCTCAGCGGATTCCTCGTCATACGGTATTGGAGTTGCACTACTTCAGCTTCAAGAAGATGGAACTAAACGTCCTGTGGCCTATGCTTCGAGAAGTTTGTCATCAGCCGAACGTAATTGGGCTCAAATAGAAAAAGAAGCTCTAGCGATTGCATGGGGGTGTGAACGATTTGAACACCTCATATTAGGGTTGCATTTGCATATTGAGACAGACCATAAGCACTTGCTCTCCATATTAAAGATAAAAGACTTGGACAATATTACTCCCAGGCTTCAGAGAATACGACTCCGACTGATGAGATATACATATGATATTGATATTACCTACACGCCCGGTAAACAGTTGATTTTGGCTGATGCACTGTCTCGAGACACAGAGAACTCTGAAGAGGAATGGGAACTTACAGAGGGAATCCTTGCATATATACAAAATATTGACACTACTCTACCATCAGTTTCGGATGAAAGGTTGCGAGAAATAAATCAAGAAACTATGAAAGATGAAACTCTAAAACACGTGTCACAGTATTGTGCGAAAGGTTGGCCAGAAGAATCTAAGATTCCAGAGGTTGTATTGCCCTACTGGTATCATAGAGAAGATATAAGTGAGCAAAATAGTAAACTTCTCTTTGGAAGTCGTATTATAATACCGAATTCTCTAAGAGCTAATGTACTAAGAAGTATTCATGAAGGACATCAAGGCAAAACAAAATGTAGATATTTTGCAAAATTTATTATGTGGTGGCCTCGTCTTTCTCAATAAATCAAAGAACTAGTAGAAAATTGCAAGATCTGTGCAGAAAATCGCGCTACGAGAGCAGAGCCGCTGATACCAACCCCTTATCCGGACAGACCTAGGCAAATAGAGGGTGCCGATTTGCTAAAGTGTAAAGGTCACTGGTATCTCTTAATCTCAGACTATTATTCCAGGTTTATGGAGATTGCTAGACTAAATGATTTAAAAATGGGCACTATTGTGACATATACAAAGTCCATCTTCGCACGTCATGGTGTACCTGAGACAGTGAGAGCAGACTGTGGTTCTCAATTTGACTGCTTTCAATTCAAACAACTTGATCGTGATTATGGATTCAAATTGATTACATCAAGCCCAAAATTTCCACAAAGCAACGGCTTCATCAAAGCGCAAGTAAAAAGCTTTAAGTACCACTTAGAAAAAAGTGATGATCCCTACAAAATGCTACTTATGTTAAGAGCAACTCCTTTAGAAAATGTGATAAGTCCAGCGGAATTATTTTCGGGAGAAGGATCCGCCCTTATGTTCCGATAATGTCTGATCAACTAAGACCCTATCTGGTAGACACTGAAAAGTTAAGGGAAAAGGAAGAAGCAAGAATTGATCGTCAAAAGATTTATTTTGACAAAAGACATAGAGCTGCTCTACCTGATGTAGCTCAAGTCCATATAAAGGACAGGAATCAAGAAGGAACTATATTAAACAAACATCCTGCCCCTCGATCCTATGTAATTCAAACGCAAGATGGTTGTTTGCGCAGGAACAGAAGATCACTGCAAAGATTTAGCACTACTATGCCTTCTGATCACTCTCAACCAGCACTGCTGACCAGTCCTTCAGAACACCTGAGAAGATCAGAACCTTTCGATCATCCTGCAATGGCATCGCAGACAATGTAGTGTTATCGTAAGTTAAATTAAAATATAGTTTTAATAAGACAAATACTTTATTAGGTAGCTTTTACAATAAATCCAGATTCCCAATGTTTACCAACAAAAACTAAACAAATAATATTCTAACACCATATGTTTCCAATTCCAAACACATATTATGAATAACAACACATCTCCCCTTTAAAGATCGAACCTCCGAATAACAAAGATTTATACATCCGGACATCACAAACTCACTAATTTAACTGAAATTACATTCAAAATCACTAAAACACTCTGAAAATATCTCAAATTCATTCAAAATGTAGGAACAAAATCTCAAAACAACTTTTATGTTAGCCACATCAGCTGACTACTTAATAATTTACTGGTTGGCTACTTAATATGGATAGTGCCTGGCTCTGTGATTGTGCGATTCTGACGCCTAAAAACGAGCAAACAATGCAGATAAACATTTAGGCGATAGCTCTCTTCCATGTCAAAGATCATACTACCCGGAGATGCTGTAAACTACCCGGCAGAGATTCTCAACTAAGAATCAGGAGCCCGTTTGCCTGCCTATGGAGGTTTACCCTGAAGGTTGGAGCTGCAAAGAAACTTACATCCAGCCAAATTGTAAAATGGGACGCGTCTTCGTATTCGCTGTCTCCATTGATACATAATTGAAGCAGAGATTCTCACGGGTTGTGGTGATGGGGAATTGATATTCATCCCAATGATTAATTTCATTAATTCCTAGCAGCTACCCGTTAAGACTTCAAGCGGCTACAGTCCCCGTTGTACTTGCTTCGCCATGACGATTAATAAATCACAAGACCAGACGTTGTCAGCCTTGTGGAACTGAGCGGATCAGCATGTTTCTCTCACGGACATTTGTATGTTGCGTATTACAGTGTGACATCCAGCAAAAGCCTTCTTCATTCGTGCTCCAGGAGGCCAGACTGCAAACGTATTGTATGAGGAGGCACTCCGATAAAACACAAACACGGCCTTTGTCAACAAAAGCCTTCTTCATTCATGCTCCAGGAGGCCAGACTGCAAACGTATTGTATGAGGAGGCACTCCGATAAAACACAAACATGCCCTTCGTCAACAAAAGAAACCTAGGGTGAAAGAAGGGGATGATATTCTAAATACCATCATTTACACCACTTCTCATTTAGATGTTTTTTTGTAATTTAGTGTAAAAAATACCTTATTAGGTTTAATAGTTTAACTGTAATTATTTCCATATAATTTTTCCATTTGTTATAACTCTTTCTTTTTATCATTACTGTAAATTAAATGCTCAAATTTATACTTGACATGTAAGATTCCTCATTGTATTGTTTGTACTGTATATTTTATTCAACCAGTACGTAGAACGGGTACACAGCTAGTAAACTATAAAAGTATGTAGATAGATAGAAGCAATTTACATCATTGGGATATCAATTAAAGATTATATGTAACAAAAGGTCAACGTTAGGCAGTAACAGGACCAGGGTTAAGACTGTTCCTTTAAACAAATTAAAAGTACCAAAGCCGTTGAAGTACACAAAATACTCTAAATTACACTGAATCAGCTGAATGTTAGCCTAACTTGTACCAATCACATTTCAGTTTACATATCAACCTAAATTATAAGAAAAAATTCATAATTCTGAAACAACTAAAACCCATAGTTTTAAACCACATGGAATCCCTCTACATTTTCACATGTGACAGAATGAGAAAATTGAAAAAAATTACATTAAAAAACCTACCATCATCAGACTTATGGAGCTTGCGGGCGAACATATCCTTCTTAGCGGCACCTGGAGCAGTGTCTCTGGCAACCAGAGCGTGAGCGGTCTTGGTCTTGCGTTGGTACACTGTCATGATGAACCCTCCGCCCAGTGCCATACTCTGCATGTTGACCACCCCGTTGCAGAACAGTGCTGCTACAGCAGCGTCCACTGCTGAACCTTCCTTGGCCAAGATGTCTCTGGTAAACACAAAGTAATACTTTTCAAAACGGTTTACTTCCAGGTTCCAGTTAAGGCCTAGTTGTTGGCAGGTCGTTTGGCCTCATATAGGCTGCATTTTTACTTCCCACAGTAACTAATAGGGCTGATAACTTAAATTATGACAAAATATAGTTCATCTCACTGGCAAAAGTGTCTTCCAGCCTTGCTCTTTTTTTCGACCTAAGCTTCACCAAATCACCTCGGTGGTTAAACTTGAGCTCAAGTCGAAAAGAGTCACTTTATGCCCTGGTGATAAAATATACTTTCTCTCAAATAATAAAATCCACTACCAACTTTCATACAAAAAACTAGTTGTTTCCAGTTAATAATATTAACTACATTTCCATTTCAATAATTTAAATACAATTTTATCTTGTCACTACATAATAAATCAAAAGTCAATACTCAATAGGCTACTGTTTTAATAAAGGTTTTAACACGTTCATGCGACGCCGCGGTCAATACCACAGACCGAGGTATACATTTGAATCTTACACACAGACCGGCTGTCACTTGGATAACAGTACACACAGACCACGGGCGAAAACCTGTAAAACAGTGATCATTTACATTGTAATACGCTACAATCGTGTTTGTAAATAATGTATTCTTGTTTTTTTTGTATTATTAATAACCTTTTGTAATGTTGCATATTTGCGACGCCCGGTCTACAGCGAAGACAATAGTGAAAATTATCATAGTTTTCTTGAAATAGACCAAACGTTGTATACATGCGACAGTTCATTTTTTGTGTTTTGAGGTGAAAGTAAGTAAAATAAAAAACAGATTGATCAAGAACAGCTTATAACTGAACAAATATAAAAGCTACATAGGATAATGCAGCATACATACTGCATACATACATACAGTGATGCAGAAAAGTAAAGACCAGTTTTTCCAACTATCATATGACGTCACCAATCATCATATCCACAGACCAAGCGACGCAGTTGTGCGTCAGACATCTCTGTAGACCACTGCAGGGAATTCAGTGCCTTCAAATAGACCGTTACAAAGATATAAGCATTTTAATAACATCAAAACCCCGACGCAAATATACGATGGCAGTCTATTTTAATGTGACTAGCCGACGCATATGTGCGTCGCTGGTCCACGTGAATAAAAAATTTCGTACTATTGCAGTAGCGAACGTGTTAACAGAGTACAAAATACTGCCTGACAGAACAATTAACATTTACATCTTACTTTTGACATGTTAAAGGTGAAACTCTTTCCATAAGATTTTTTTTGCAAACACTCTAATAACGACTTTAACCAGAAGACTTGGTTTCGTTGTTTTTTCACCATTATGTTTAGTTAATCAAAAGCGCGGTACCCCCATGCTGAAAGCAGGGCTATGGCAGATAAGACAAACTTTTCAAGTGTCTGTCCTTGAATTTTTGTGATGGTCATGACAAAAGCAATTTGGCATTGGAACTGCAGATGTTTGAATTTTTAGTAGAAAATTTCCCTCTGACGATTCTAAACTTAATTGGAATAATAATACTGTACTTGTTTTCCAGCCGAACTTGCAGTAACATTTTCATATTTAAGACTTTGTCATTAATCTCTTTCACCATTACTGTATTCTGGTTCCATTAACCAGTCCTTTTTATGGATTTAAATTTCTTAGTAAAATTACAATTCCACCTTTTTATAAACATAACTTGTGAGACATAATCATTTGGTGCTTAAGTGTGGAGAAATTCATCAGGGACATATAACCGGTCTTCCTCGTCTTGAATCAAAGTGTCCACTGAGTAGTAAATTCTACTTGTCATTATTTAGTTGCTTAGCTATTTTGTTATTAATTTGGTCACCATGTTCATTCTTTGGTTAAATTATTGCATGATTTTTGTCTTTTTTTAAGCATTTTCAGAGAATCCTTCACTGAAGATTTCGTCAATGATATTTTTATTTGCAATATATTGTGGTGGAAGACTTATCAATGTCTCACAAAGACCATAAAGGAAGCTCTCTTGGCCATTCCTTATAAGTAAAAGATATTCATCAAATATTGATTCCCTTGGATTTGCTCTCATGTTTTTAGCAAATGAAATGTTTTTAAACATTGACCATAAAGGTGATATAGTTATTTAATTTTCTACCATTTCATAGCGACTCACACCAGAGACTATGGTAGCTCATTGCCGGAAATTACCTCCTAAAACCTTTCCACCAAAAGGCTTTGCTTCGCCTTCTCTTCTGGCGATATCTCGCAGTAATCATTCTACAGACGATAAAGCATACTTATTGGACATAGAAGTTTCATCCTATAATATTATTTTACAAATATTTAGCTTCGTTACGATTGGATTTTATTCCGGAGACTGAGACTGACTCATTTAATTTTATTGGCAATTTAAATCTGTTTTGTACTGTACGTACGCTAAGATCTCTTAAGTCAAAATAGTCTGTTTTGTGACAGCATCTGTCCGTGCAATATTAAAAAAACTTCAAAAACCAGCATAGGTAACTTTTTACAATTTATTATCATACCATCTCTGTCGTTAATACGTCGCCCAATCGCAAACACAGGATTGTTTCTTCTAGGTAGAATTTTATGATAATCAAACAAAATTAAAATTTGGAAAACACAACAAATAAAAATATCTATGAAAACGTTAAACACACCATTATCTGAAAATAAAATACAATCACATAATGAAATAGACTGGTTTTTACTTTCTATGAATGAAACTGCATAAATCAACTATCCCATCTCATAAGTTATCATTGTATTTTAAAGTAAACTGATAGGTAAAAAGAAAAGTAAATATATTAAAATAGAAGGGAAACAGGCTATTTTTGTGAAGACAGATGTTTACTTTAAAGAAATGAATCATATGTTAGGTAATCTTAAAAATCTTAAAATCTTAACAAAAATGTTGACTTGTATATTTAAAATACATGAAAACTTTAAAGTCCAATGGAGCAAAGCACATTGAACTGAGCGTGACAAAAGTTATTCCATGACTTCTACAGAGAATTGCCTTTAATTTGACACCTTAATCATCAAAATCGGTTCATAAATAAAAGAGTTTTGCTGTGCACAAGAAATTCCTTTGGAATTAGAATAATAGATAGAAGTTTAAATCAATATTAATAAAAAAAAAACTAACCAATATAAGAATAAATATAAGAACTCTTGAGAACTTTGGTACAGCACAAAGAAGTGACCAATATTAGATTTTGAAGTGTTCATTGATATCCTCTGTTACCACTGATTATATCTACACAATCGTATATATGATGCAGTTACCTGCCGATGATTGAGCACGGGTTGCCATCAGTGCAGACGGCTGCCTTGCGGAAGCTGTGCTCTAAACTGGGGGAGGGTGGCAGTGGTTTTTCGGGGTCTGGGAGCTCCCCTGTGTCCACCCAAGCCCCCTTGTTGAAGAAGCGAGGAGCGAGACGACCGAAGACTTTCTGCCAGTTAAGGCGGGTAGAGGAGGCGATCAAAATAACAACAACGCAAACTGCTACGTAGCGCCCCTGTACACTGTACCTGAAATTAAATATGTTGATAAAATTTTGGATGAAATGGAAAGCGAATTTGTGATTTGGGGAAGATTGTTTTGTGTCCAGAGTTAGTCTCCGCTCTCATACGTTGATGGTTTGCTTAAGCTGAGGTTCGACGTCACTTTCAAAAACCAATTTTTTATATCCACTCAAAACTCAAACTCGAAAACAATACTTTCTCTATACTATGGTTTAAGGGGAGAAAGTAAAAATAATAATAATAATAATAATAACGAGCTGTTGGCCCGTCCTACGGGAATCAAGTAGTCCATTAAAACTGTATAAAGGGCGTTCATTTGAACACTGTCCATTTCTGTTCTGTGCAAAGGTAAGGCTTTTAACACTTTGTTTGTTCTCATTTCCCCCTAATTTGGACATGCCAAATCCAATCAAATTTTCAAATTTGAAAAATGCCCCAAAAGGGCCCAATTTGGGGGGTAGAGGTGCTTTTTGAGAAATTTTAAAATTTAAACATGGGTTGTTTGATACATCAATTTAAATGTCTAATCACCCCGATCATTTTGATGCAGAAAAAATGTAATTATCTTTAACCGTATTAACAGGGTGGGTCAAAACGTAAAAAAAAAGACTTTGAAGTTAAGACAATAATAGGTTTTTTACATACCTCAGTCAAATAGTCCAAAAATGGTATTGCTCAACAGCTTACATGTTTCGTTGCGAAGACAACATTATCAAAGCTTGCAACTCATCAAAAACACATTTAAAACACGAACACGAACACTGCTACCAGCCCCGTGCCGCGCCGGACCAAATCAGTATTATGATAGCGCTATCTAAATGTCAATTGTGTATTCGTACCGTATTAATGTCTTCTGTGTTCGTGTTCGTGTTTTAAATGTGTTTTTGACGAGTTGCAAGCTTTGATAATGTTGTCTTCGCAACGAAACATGTAAGCTGTTGAGCAATACCATTTTTGGACTATTTGACTGAGGTATGTAAAAAACCTATTATTGTCTTAACAATATAGTCCAGGGGCCGAAAACATGAATTTTGATTTGAAGTTAAGTTCCGTATTACCCTAACTACTGAACGGAACAGCGCTTATTCCAAGCTTATTCTTGAGCTACTCTTTAAGATAACTTCTAGTAAGGGCATTTTCCATGTTATTTTCTAATTTAAAAAAATCGCAAATTCGAAGAATAAAAGAAAGCTGAAAACTCAAAATTCTTAAATAACAAGGTACCTATAACAAATTTCATATCATGTGAAAGGTTCTTTTTTAACAAACATTTTATGTATTTAAGTTTTCTTTCTATCTCTTACTGTTTAAAAATTTCAGTAAAAAAACAGAATTTTCTATGGTAAAATTGTAACTAGTTTTCTAATTTCTAATTTGAAAATAGAACTTGCATATGAGCAATCATTAGCTTTTCAACCTTTCTAAAGTTGATAAAAGTTCTTTTTCATTCATTCTTACTCTCATTACAATTTTCATCCAAATGCTGAATTTGTGTCGAAAATGCTGAATGTTTACTCACTGTTATGTTAAGCAAATGGTTTTATACCAAAAGATAGAGTAGAATGTTAGCATCGGCTGCTAGACTTTTTAAAATTTCAAACTTAATTTCTAATAAAATGAAAACCTAAACTAAAATTATGGCTTCGACATTCCCTAGTTCTCAAAATTATCTTTCTGTCAACACAAAAATCACGAAAATCCGTCAAGTGGTTGATTCAGAATCTTGAAATAAAAAACCCTGTCACGTTTTAACATATATGATAATTAGAATAAAAATGAACCTTTTTTATGAAATTTGGTACAATTATTTACCCATGTTTGTTCAAATGAGTTCACTATCGAGCGTGATCAGACTTTGGGGATTTTATTAGGTAAAAATTTGTGTTTCCAATTTTGACCCCAACACATAAAATATTGCAGTTTCTTTCTAACTACGGTATTTTGTAGACAATAAAACAATAATCTTATACATAAAAAAAATTGAGTTTTCTTTTCCGAGTTCGATTAGCTCTTCTACCCGACCGATTTTCATGATTGAGGTCTCAAATTGAAGGTATGCAGTCACAGATTTGCCATCAAGCATCGGCATATAATTATCTATTGTATCGAGTGGTTATACGTAAACGAAATTTGCTCCCCATGTATTTCTTATAAGAGTTAAATTAGGTTTCTCTTTGCCGAGTTCGTTTGGCTCTTCTACCTGACTGATTTTCATGATTGAGGTCTCAAATTGAAGGTAATGCACAAACAGATTTGCCATAAAGCATTGGCATATATTTACCTACTGTATTACTCGACTAAAAACATAATTTGATTCATTTTTGAATTCTTACTTCAATTTAAGATGTATTTCACCAGTTATTATTATATAATCCTATATATTTTGGCCTAAGAACCAACAATGAAATACCGGCTTTCATTTAAGCTATTAGTTATTCAAATCGACGAGTTTCAAGCAAACGCAAGGTGTACAACGAACATTAAAAATTATTTTTCATAAGATTTTTCTGTGATTGACCAATGATTGACCTGTGATCAGACCAATCTCTCCAGTATTGTTAATGTTTTTTATATGTTTTAGACTCAAAATAATCAGTAAATTATAGGCTTTAATTTGAGCTATTGAACGTTTGAATCAGTTAAGCTCAAGATACTGGCTGGATTAATCAATCAAAAATCATAAATTTAATTATTTCTTGGATATTATAATTATTCTAACGCTGCGGAGCAGTATGGGTCCTCTAGAATTTTGTTACCAGCATCACACCACAACCATTCGACTCCGATAAACTCAAAATACTTATAAACTTTATTACTCCGGAAATCGACGAGTACATAATTGAAAGTGGTACGTATAATGATGCTATATCTGTGCTAAGAAGTATCTATGTAAAACCTGTAAATGAAATATATTCCAGACATAAACTACCTGCATGTCAGCAGCAACCTGAGGAGACTATTGACCAATATCTCCAGGCTTTAAAATTATTAAGTAAAGACTGTCAGTTTAAAGCTGTCACAGCTGAAAAGAATAGGGAAAATTATATCCGTGACACATTTATTGCTGTAATAAAATCTTCTGCAATTCGCCAGCGCTTACTAGAAAATGTTTCGTTGACACTAGATCAGGCATATAGTCAAACCAGATCCCTAGAACTTGCACATGAGAAATCGTTAGCTTTTCAACCATTTTAAAGGTGATAAAAGTTATTTTTTATTCATTCTTACTCTCATTACAATTTTATTTTTTTGTCAGATTTATTTTGAAATTACGTTTTGAGATGAGTAATTAGGATTTCTGCTACAGCAGGGGTTTAAGTATGTGTTTCTTTAATGTAAATAGCTTGTTATAAAGTAAAAAATCCATATTTTATAAAAATATTTTCTTAACAAACAGGTTTCGAGACTTTTTATATAATCTCCCCAAGAACAACAAAAACATTTATGATATATGTAGTTTTTTGGAATTTCTTTTGTGACCATTAGGAAAAAACCACACAATGGTCACAAAATAAATTCCAAAAAACGATATATATCATAAATATTTTTTTTGTTCTTGGGGAGAATATATAAAGTCTCGAAACCTGTTTGTTAAGAAAATATTTTTAGTTTACCAACAACTGAAATGCCTAACTCACAATAGTTTACCTAGAACTATTTACAATTAGAAAACTCACATTTTCCAGTTCCGGCGACAATTCAATGTGACAGAGCACGGCCAACAGCAAGGAGCGTTTACTAAACGTGGTCACAGTGAAGTTTAGTGGATGTGTTGTTGCACTAGAGCACTTCTACACTTGTGAGATGAGTGACATACCCATTAATCATGTAGCTTATAATCATTAATCATTAAGTTAAACGTTTTCAAACTCATACAAAGTATTAGTTACTACTAGGTGAAACCCGTCGAAATCGACGGTTACTCTCAAGTCCTTTGTCACATCGGTCATCTTAGCATTTTACTGTGCCAATGAATAACATTCTAGCATAGTTTTGAGAAATTGGTCGTGGGGTTACTGTTAAAGCTGGAATTCCTAGACATTCGGATGTCAGTTGTCTCAGCCTTATCAATTACATAAAGTTGTCAGTATAATCTCTCTTTGGAATGTTAGGTGTAGTGGAATTTACTTGTAGGGAAGCTGGCTTTTATTCAAGCCTCGTTTATATGGTCGTGCGGCTTCATTGATAACAAATATTGCAAATGACAAAGCAATGATTCTTTCCAAAAAAACAAATACTGTAAATAGGCTGATAAGTAAATATTGACATTTACATGCATTGTTGTTAATAAACGTATCTTATAAAGGATACGTTTATAAGAATTCAAAATTCAAAATCTTTGAGGATGAACCTTTTTGGCTGTAGTGAGTGAGCGTGATCATGTGTTCATAATACATGTAAAATTTTGAGGTTAAATCAAAACAAACCGACTGGTATGTTGTCAATTAGGGGGCGTGTTGTTTTAATTTACAAAAGAATGCTCATTTAAGATGAAATAAATTAATTTTATTATAAGTCATTGTCTGATTTATTAGAAAACATTCAGTATTTATTTAGGCTACTGCATTTTATAAACCAAACTCGAATCTTGTTACCTTGGCCTATCATATAACCTTTGACTATCAAATGGTATAACGTTTTCCTGTTTGATACCTGGTAAAACTTATCAGATTGCATAAGTGAATTATTAGCAATACAATTTAGCTATTAATTATAATTTAAATGGGTCAAAACTCAAAAAGTTATTCTATAAAGGTTTATTTCGTCATCTCGAGAGTATATAATTCTGACCCCTAACTTGAAACTCAAAAGGTGGGCCTGGGTCTTGAGATATTTCCAAATGAAACGTAAATCATCATTATGTCCCAACAGTTTAATATGTGTATCCCAGTCACAACAACTACATTATTTTATTAATATAATGATATACATTAATTTTGCTAGAAGATTCAATATTTTAATATTTACTCATGTTAAATTAATTATTTTCAAAGCAACCATCACTTTATTTGAAGACAATAATTAAATAACAATTTATTCATTAGTTGATTTGGAAATAGGAATCTCGTCTTTATTTCACAGTAAATATTCTCTAATAATGACAAAGTGATAATATTAAAGTAGAGTATGTATATTTACCTATTGCCAATTAAAAGAATATTTTATGCCAGTTTGTTTGTTTTGATTTACCCTGAAATTTGACACGTATGAACACATGATCGCACTAAAAAGGTTCATCTTCAAAGATATTCCACTACAGCTTAACCGCATCTAGCTAAAAAAATCCAATTGAACTGTACAGACTTCTCTATTTTCACCCCACCCTGTAAATAAAACATGTGATTGTAATTTCTTCCATTTGTTTTGATTTTCTGTTTATATTTCGTTGTTATTTCGTCACCAGCATGGCAACCCATAAAACCCATGTTAATTTGTTTAAATTTCAAATTCATTTCTTGTTCTTATTTTTGAGCCTATTTTAATTTTTAAATGTATTCTGCACTACTACAGGAACATATCTTTCTAACGGTATGAGTAGATTTTCCCTACAATGCACACGAGCTGAGAAAAAAGGTTTTAAAGAAACATGCTTGCCTATTAATATATAGAAAGATTGCAATGAAATATTTTTCAAGCTGTTAAATAGAGACGAACCGAAAATTTCTGGGTTAAACGTAATTGATAACACCTGTTTCTGCCACTGTTACCAATCAATCAGCCAGTTGAGGCCCAATACGGGTTGTCATCAGGGTTACCAACCTTGAATGTTGACTCATAAAATGCATGTAGTTCAGTTATAGTTTGAAGTAAAACGTCATACGTAATATATAGATTTAGATTAAAAATTCTCCTATTTTGGGTAGAATTCTCTTATAATTCTAATTACAAATTATGTTCACCTATTTTCTATTTATATGCAATTTAATAGTATGTAATGTGTAATTAGGGCCTAAATAAATATTTCCACCAATAGGTATAGCTAGTTGCTCTGCCCGTGCTTCGCTACGGAGTGAGAATGCAGAAAATAATAATTTGTTTTATTTAATCTACTATAAGAAACAGCTACAATGCATGTACCAGAAAACATAAAATAGGCAAAGCTCAATCATACACTTATTGATTATTTAAATGCAGATTTATTTATGTATTATCATCACTTTATATAGTGTATTGCATTTAAAATATATGCAAAAGTCTAAATCGTTGACCACGTGTTACCATAAGAAACAAATCAAACAAATTTAATTAAATAGCAGAACGAAGCATAACAGCTGGGTTAGTAAATTTTATTCATAAGAAATACATTGAGATTTTGATGGCCTGTGGGACAAAGCCTGAGGACTTGTATTACAGAAGTTGGTGAAAGGGAGCGTCTACAAAAAAAAAAATTAATTTTGAAACATTGCTTGTAAAAATCCGTCCATTATTAACGGAGGAGTAGTGTTTCGTATAATTCGCCTTCACGTAGGAAGGATACTAAGTAAAATACTCTATAGCACAATTTGTATGATCCCGCACTGGCAGGGTTGTAAGTTACAAAAAATAAAAAATCTCTTTCTTCTTTGTAGGCCTACGTCCACGGTTTGTGCTTATGTGCCATCTTCACATCCGCTATACTACTTACTTGATACTTGGATATATTACTTCTCTTGTCTGTACAGTAGTCGCAGCTAGTCTGGGCGCGTGGCCGCGCTGGGGTGCGGGGTGTAGAGGGGAGTGTTTATTGATAATTTCCAAAAACATCTGACCCACACGGCTCTCTGGGGTTGTACAGCGCCTCAGCGCTGTCTCAATGGCTTTTGCGTGGGGGACGGTTAGTACACAAGGGTCCGCGCGCCCAGACTAGCTGCGACAACTGTACCTAGAGGTTCACGGCATTATCACTTGAACATCTCTTAGTGGTTGGCAGGATTTGAACCTTGGACTCGCCGACCAAAGTCTCACGCTCACAAGTACTTAACTAAAAAAAAAATAATTTGTATAAAGTTTTGCTTGTTCTATAATTGTGCGGTTGGTTATAATCACTTTGTTACTTAAGGAGTTAAGAAAACATTGAACAATACCATGAAATTAGAGGGAAAGTATTCAGTCGACTCGACATCACAATCGAACATTGTACAAGAAATTTGTGTTAAAACGGGGATCATATATTTTGTCACAGAATAACAGATTTGTTTGCATTATCTCAAGTCAATAATTCGACCTATGGAGTTTGTGTGCATTTAGTTTTGTTGACTTGGGGTATTCAATTTATATAAAATAGAACCTCTTTAATCCGAACTAATTGGAACCGGGGGTAGTTCAGATTACCGATTAGTTCAGATTTTCAAACATAACCTAGAAATGCCTAATAGACACATAATTAGGCATAGAGTATTAAAAATACAGTTCTAGGATACAGTGAAAGAAATAAAAATTCTGATTTTTGTACTTAGGTATTTTCGTTATATAACTGTAATTTGTTTCTTGAAAAAAATATGTAGAGCTTATACATTGGAAACGAAAAAAACACAGACTGGCTCGGTGCGTTCACTCATTTCCCTGCCAGGCACCGACTGTTTGGCCCGTGTAATTGTAAAATATCTGTTTTCTCTGTGCTAATTCAATATTTTAAAACTCTCACAAGCGGTTCGGATTTTCGAAGTTTCGGATTTTTGACGTTCAGATTTTCGACTCTCTACTGTAGTTTGGACTATTGAATAGTTTAGGTTTCAGAATATATTGTTGTCTTTATATAACAATAGCTAAATGTAGCTAAAATGGGTCAAAATTGTCACGGGCAAAGTTAAAAAATGCTTTATAAGGTAAAATACAGTGTTTATTTTATACAGTGCACTAAACATAGTGAATAAACAGTACTGTAAATACAGTATACAATATAGAACTTCTGTACTGTGTATAGAGTACAGCAATGAGGTGTTCGGATTAGTGGATGTTGAGATTACAGGGTTTCGGATTTAAAGAGGTTCTACTGTATTTGAAATTGTTAAATTATTAAAATATTTGTTTTGTAGTACTGTGATGTTTGTTGTTTCGGCATGATTAGTTGTAGCGATCAGATAATATTTTACTTTTGATGGACGTGATCAGGTGTGTCAACACAGAAACAACTGCGCAGTCCTACCAACCACACCTAGTTTAAAACTGTAAAATGAACCGCATCTACAGTCTATGAAAAACAATAAACCACAGATTGTCATATCTCTTGTTTTGTTATTAGAAAACTGTACAGGGTAAAAAGTATCAACCCATTGGAGACTTTGCACGAGACTGTTTTGTGATAGGTTATGGTGACCCAAAAGTCTCATCACAAGACTATCTCGTGGTGACATGTTATTTTTTTATTTAATTGAAATAATCTTTAGTTTAATACTTAAAATAAATATGTCCAAGTATAAATAAATAAATGGTAGGCATAATAGCTTCTAAAAATATATCTTAATAAAAAAATATCGCAATAAATATTTTTTAAGGGAGTATGAAGCTCATTTTTTTATCGTTTTGTTGTACAAGTTAGTGCTCAGTAATCTTTACGAAAACTTAATATTTTTACCTATGGTAACTTACTCTTTGATAAATTCTAAGCTGTTTTTCAATATTGTTATTCTTGTTTTGTAGTGTTGGTAGTGCTGTACAAATAGAGAACACCTGATGTTTGTTATTAATGGCCAATTTGCCAAAATTTGTAACAGTTTAGAAAAAATACAGTAGAATCTCAATAACAAGACTCTCATGGGGATAATGAAATAGGACTTTTTATCAAGGCTGGCTTCTTCTTGAGGTTTGCAATAACATTTGATCATGGGTAAAATGAATTCAAGGCGATTTGAAAATTACATGGTGGAATGGCCTCCGGATCGTCTGAATTAACTATATAGTGGTTTAAATTACCTTGTTACTGTCAAAACGATCCTTTGTAGTTAGTAGACTACAGCTGTTTCATGCTACGAATGGAGCACATCATCAGGTCAGAAGAATGTCAAGTAGTCTTCATATTCCTCGCAGTGGAGTTCGTCAAAAGTTTAATAATAAATAGAGGACAAAACACATAACACACGGAAACACGAAACATTTAATATTGGTCGACCAGACGACGGTAACAACACACGTGATACGGCGCCGGTAGAGGGTGAGTCGCGACTGTTGACAGTCGCGACTCACCCTCTACCGGCGCCGTATCACGTGTGTTGTTACCATCGTCTGGTCGACCAATATTAAATGTTTCGTGTTTCCGTGTGTTATGTGTTTTGTCCTCTATTTATTATTAAACTTTTGACGAACTCCACTGCGAGGAATATGAAGACTACTTGACATTCTTCTGACCTGATGATGTGCTCCATTCGTAGCATGAAACAGCTGTAGTCTACTAACTACAAAGGATCGTTTTGACAGTAACAAGGTAATTTAAACCACTATATAGTTGAAAATTACACTTGTTATCAAGGGTGACTTGTCATTGAGGGTCTTCTTATCGAGGTTCCACTGTATAATAAAGTTATACTAAATGCACATTTCCACGTGAGGAAATATATTATCTACACTTCTCTGGCAGTTATAAAACGCTTCTCTATAAAACTTAACTTTAAAACTTTTTTGGCTTGGTTTAAAAAAAAAATTACTGTACTATTTTTATGGTTTTTTATTTTTACAACGAACTGACAACTTATGTCATATGAAATGTAAATATAATAAATCCAGTTTAAATTAACACAAAATGTATGTTTTTAATTTAAGTAGAAAAAACAAATTTTAATAAATGTTTTAGTAAAACCCTAGTAAAACACAATTTTTTTAGGGTTTTGGCCCTGCAATGTATTTTTTAAATGTGTTAAAATTATTAAAAAAGATAAGAAAAATAGAAAAATCCTTTCAATTAGAGCCAAGAAGGGGTTTTCAATCGATCAGTTCATTGAATGACAATAAGCTTAAGTTGAGTGGAAAGTTTCCAAGATGGAATCATAAACACACACTGATAGAAGAAGTAATTATTTTATTTATTATTATAACTATATTATTATTATTATAACCCCATGAAGAAGAGTTTTCTTTAATTTAAATACATAACAAAAGAAAAACAAATTTAAGTTAAATTTAATGTAAATTCAAATTTCCCGCCTACTCCCCACTACTCAAGACGACACTAACCAAGATGATGAAGCCGCCATTTTGTGACCTTCACTTCAATGTAATTTTTCAAGGTTAGTGCATCGCCAAAATTTGTCTCTTCTTTTTAACAACGCATTTTACATTTTCTAACTTTTATTTTTTTCGCTGTACGCAACACACACACTCTTATATTGTTTTTTCCAATAGATTTTGGGAGAAATGTATTATGTAAAGAAACCTAAGAAAATTGAATTTATATGTAAATAATTTAGTTATTTTGGTCATCTTCACAGTTGATATTTGCAAATAGTTAAAGACTACCTTGAATACATTGATAAAAACATGCATTTTCAATGTTCGTCCAATCCTGAGCAAAAAATATGAATCTTTCATATTTTTTGGTTCTATAAAAAGCCTAACAAGAACTAAAAAATTTTAACTTTGTTAAACACATATAAATTATTCAAGCCTTTGCATGACACCACCATTTGATTGGCTGCTGACGACACACAAGTGTACAAGTGCGTCATTGGTATATTTAATGTAATTTGCTAATAATGCATATGTTGTTGTGTTAGCTAAAAATTTTCCAAAATGATATAAATTACACAATTTAAAGTTTTGGCTATAAACAAAAACAAATATATTATACAATTTATTTAATATAAAAATAAATTAGCACTGCACATACAGCCACAGGATGGCTGAAAAGTAACTTGCACCCATCTTAACTTTCAACCATTTGAGATTTTGAAATCGGTTTGCTGCAACTCAAGCCTTGACTACTTCCCAGCGACGAATGTCACGACCCATTTTCTGTTTCTGTGTTTAAGTTTTCGTATAGTATGTGTTTTGCCATGTTACTGTTTCGACGTCCCCAGTGACTCCTGTTTGTCACACGGTTTTAAGGGGTCCAATGTCGGACTTTTGGAACTACAAAGTTTACAAATAAATATAATTTGAAATCAGATGTTTACTTTTCACCAATTGTTTTGTAGGTTTGAATAATCACAGCTTTCTGTATTAGTCATGATTTGGAATAGTGCCACAATGTTTCCACAGAATGCAGCACAGAAAACTATTTTACTTTTGGATTAGTCCGAAATATATTGAACCCCAATCGTAGCACACGTGTGCACTCAACAACGTTTAAATTCTCCACTACTGTATTAAATATTTAAACATAAAAAGTAAAAACTTTTATCAATTGTATTATAATCAATAAAAGGGATGGCAATGGATTAATATTTTTATCTTTTGTCGTATACCCACACAATCTAACATAAATTATTAAGTGAATGATAATTGTACGTGCTATCTCAGGTATTCAAATGCCTCCCAATTTGTCATCAACTGTCATTAAAAGTAGGAACTCCAATAATACTAATGTGAAACTTAAATCGACCCAAGTTGTGCAATGGAACCAAACTGATGATAAAAATAATGACAGCAAACTTGATCGAAGCAACAATCAGTGATAAGTTTGGAGAAATTAGTGATTGTCAAAACCAGAAATTTAGAATTTCAAAACCGAAAACGAAACTTAAAAAATCGAATTCCAAATCTCAAAACCTAAACGTGAAACTTTTTTAGTTACGTGGTCAAGGTTGCTAAAAATACAGGTAATAATAACATTTTCACTATGTGATCAAAACTGAAAGAGATTGAAATGAATGACACAAAAAATGTCAAAAGTTTTAAAAATAAAAGTTCCAACATTTTAATTTTTGAAACTTTTGAATCTCGAAACTTGCCGATCGAATCTGGAAACAAAAATTTTTCCAAAGTTTTGATGGGGTTGAGATTTGAGATTCGGTTTTGACACATCACTAGGAGAAATAGTCTTAATCCCAAGAATACTGATGATTTTATACAAATTACCCTTTGAATTCAAACAAATACAATTTCCTTTGCGTCTTGCTTTCACAATCACCACTATAAGACACAGGGCAATCCCTGACTATCGCCGGTTTTAATGTAGAAAATACATGCTTTCACACGGACAGCTGTATGTTGCGTGCTCACGTGGTGGTATGTACGCCTTAAAACTTATATTATATTTATACACCTAATGAAAAAACATAAAACATTGTTTATCCACTGGCAATAAAGTAAAATAAATATTCTATTTTTGTATTTGGTACACATTTTTATTATTTATCGTAAAGAACTAAAATAATAGTTGTTAGCGCAGCAACGCGCGCCGTGCAAAAGTAAAATAAATATTCTATTTTTGTATTTGGTACACATTTTTATTATTTATCGTAAAGAACTAAAATAATAGTTGTTAGCGCAGCAACGCGCGCCGTGCAACTGCTAGTAATTAATTATTTGTTGTAAAATGAATGCAATTCAGTGCATTCATTGAGTATTTAAATCTGATGTAACTTGTTGGTTATAACAATTTTAATCATCCTTGCAGTTGTTTTAGTTATTGTTGTCGTATTTAATCCCATGTATAATTTGTATTGTCCTCGTAACAGCACACCTGCACTCTCATGCATTTTTGTTGTGATCAATTTATAATTTGAACGGATTTAGCTATTTTGTTTATTTTAAGGCAATCTATTGTTTTAACAATAAACCCGAGACAGTGAATTATTTTAACAGCTTGGTGCAAACCCTAAATTCTGGCATACATTTTGGATGTACTGTAGCAATCCATATTTGGGTCAAGCAACAATTCAACAGTTTTTCGGGTTTAAAAAGAATTTGGTTTTAGAACTTGCTCTGAAGATGTATTGCAACACGACTGAAATAGCCAGTATTTTTTGTTGGATCAACACATAAATAATTCATAAGTGTAGATTTTGTTAGTTTACCCACCTCTGAAAGTGATTTAGCTGAGTTTAGGTGGCTTGAATTTAATTCAGGATTCAATTAAATTCATTTATTTACAACCAAAACCATTATACATCAAGTACCATGCACAAAGAAACAAAGTTATACAAACAGCAATAGTTCATGCTCACACAAGAATCAATATACGTTTAAAACATAATTAAGAGTAAGACGTAATAATAAATAGTGCATGCATAATAAATAACAAATAAACTCAAACTCGCAATTATTAAGGCGAGATTGGTGGTTTTGAATTGGAGCAAAAGTAAACATTTGAGAGAAAAAACAAGCAATACTAAATACAATAAGTGAACAAAGATAAGTAGTTAACGTGCAAAAGTTATACAACTGATCTAAGAAGATGCATACAAATCATAATAATAATACTTCTAGATAGTGCATAGAATAGTAAGTAACAAGTAGACTCTGAAGAAAAACAAGAAGCAAGCGTTACGAGAAGATATACAAGAGGATATATCAGTAAATAATGCTAATGATATACAAATGATATAAACACAAGATGCAAAAGAATCATAATAATCAAGACATAATAATAATACTTCTAGATAGTGCATACAATAATAAGTAATAGGTAGACTCTGAAGAAAAACAAAAGGCTAGCATTACAAGTACCTACAGGATCAACAGGACAAAAGGATTCAAATCTTCCATCGATTTAAATTTGCCATTTTAAATTTATATCGAGGCTCTTTAAATTTAGTGTATTGAACAAACCTAAGATCACAGTCACATTTGAAAGCTTTGCGTATTGTGTACATTAACTTGATTAAAAAGAGGCCAAAATGAGATTTGAAATTTAAATTGTTATCATGAAAATGAGTTACAAACTTACACAAGTCCATTTAAAAATACTAACACTGCTGTTAAACTGAATGGATTTTAATCCAATAAAAAAATTTTCCATTAATAAGTGGTGTTTCTAAACTTGTCAAATAGCCAGGCGCAAAATGTATTTTTTAAACTGAGGATAATAATAATCACTATTTCATGAATTATTGAAAAACAGCATATTTGGTTTTTTTTTATGCTTAAAACCTATAATAGGCTATATGCAGTTCTGAAAATAAAAGTAAAAGAATATGGTTTATAAAATTTAAAAGAAAAGGAAAACATACGGTTGTGATAAAGAAAAAATTAGACTATTACTATAAAAACCTAACAAAAAAAATTAAAAAATTAGGGCCAGATTCAAACGATTAAAAATCTTCTTCAGTCTATTCCGCAAACATTACTACTGTCTTTACGAAAATCTGCGTTGGCGTAAATGCGGTCGTCTTTTTTGGCGATAGCACAAACAATGGAGCCTCTGGCTCCAAATCTGTACATTTTGTGACCAAGTTTTTCTAGGCTCTTGACTAATGGCTGAAAAATGCAAATTATTTTATTAATAAACCCTATTAATCTACTAGTGCAGTAAAGATACTTTAAGCCCGAGTCATTCATAAAATTTTTGTATAGTTAACATAAAACATAAGAAAGAACTTTCTTACTTACTTAGGAACTTACAGATTTAGGTTTTTAGCTCTGTTACTTACAGATAAAAAAGAAAACAGATTACATCAGTGCTAACGTTTTTACCTAACCCGCCATGTTAAACTTCCCTATTCCAAGCGTGATGTATACAACTTCTCTACTTCTCTAGTGATGTAAAGTTGAAAAAAACTCATTCGGTGAGGTAATGAAACACATTTAAATAACATTGAGTGCATAACTTAAAAAATATACCTCTATGAAGCCAACGACATTCAACGCTAGAAATCAGCTGTGTGCTTGAATTTTATTGTTATGTTTTGAAGAGTTTTCCTAACCTAGCTTTTGTTTGTAAATGAACGTTTCTGTTAGAAGATGAGTGAAATGGATAGTAAAAAATATTGTTCGTAACGTCCTGTATATTGTCAGGTCAGGTAAAATCTTGTACGTTACACGTTACGCAAGAGCGTGTTTACACCACTTAGGTAAATTATGCCTGTGTGATGTAAAAACGCTCTTACTACACTTGTAAGGTAAATAGCTATTATTTAGTAAAGCATTGACGCCTACTTGTTTTCTTGTCCATACAATATTGCATGTTCAAGTGTGGGAAAGTAAAAACGAATGCAGCAAACTAGAAACTATTGTAGAAAAGGAAATTGAGTGAATTAAAGTAAAACTAGTGTCACACCACTAAAGATGTAGATAAAGCAAAACCTAGGGTCGCAAATTGAAAACTAATGTCGTAAAATAAAAAAACCTAGTGCAGGAAGGTACTAAAAAAGTAAAACTAACCAAGACGAGTGCTGCAAAATGAAAGAGCGTACGATTCAGCTCTTTTACTTCTTCTAATCAGTGCCGCTATTTTACAGGTGGCTCTTTTGTAGGCAACGTATTGTTTAAGTGTAGGGAAATATTGTTTTTACTCATAACAACCAAGCAAAACAAGGTTACTTACAGAAGTGACTCCGTATCCGTAGTCAAGCTCCATTGGATACAGCTGATGATGGAATCTTCTTGCATCCACTGCTTCTTTGATTGACTTTCCCAACCATAAATATTGTATTATGACCTGAAAAACAAATTAGCATTTTATCATCCTGTATAGGCTGGAATAATTACACTTTATCAAGCTCAGGTTGGCTGAGGCAATCCCTATAATCCCTCGCTGTGTCTCGCCCTCAGGTAGTCCCGGGTCGATCAGCCAACCTGAGCTTGATAAAGGGAAGTTGCTTTTAGTGATCACAACTCAAGACATTTTGTGTCCATATACAGTTAGATCTCCAAATCTCCGAATAAACTGGGACTGGGCCCCATCCGGATAGTCAACAATCCGAATAATTAAATTTTTCAAGGATTATCGCTCGCTGATCGATACAACAATAGACTTGTCATATAATGCACACGATTGGCACATATCTTAATATATTAAAAAAAACTGTTGCAAAACTTATGACAGCTAGCCTGACCATACTACTGGATCAAATTACACACGGGTTGTACCAACCCTGTCGACACTGTCTATCCTTTGCGTCAAATAATGTAGTTTTATAGACAAATTTATATTTAGATTTAGTTACTGACAATGTATAATGCATCTTTGCATACTTTATGTCGGATAAAAGTTTTGAAATGTAGAAAGTAATAAAACCAGGGTTTGGATCACTCAATAAACATCCACAACAATAAACAATAAAACATGTAAAAATGCCACAGAGATATTAAAAATAACGAATGTAAGAATTTTCTTGCAAATAGTTGTCAAACTCCGCTTCCCCTACTCACCCATGACACTGCGGTGGTGATATGGGTGCTCCCTGCGGCCCCGACGACCATCCGCACGTCTCCATTGCTGTCTACTATGATCGTGGGGCAGGTGGAGCTCATTGGCCGCTTGCCTGGTTCTATAAAGTTGGCGGGAGCCGGATGAACTCCATTGAAATGTGTCTCGTCGGGTATCGAGAAGTCATCCATCCCACTGTTCAGTAAGATTCCCGTTCTCTTTGATGTGATTCCTGCGCCAAAACTGTCAACAGATTGGTTTCAGAATAAATTTTCTGCTAATATACATTTCTTTCATATTTGCATTTTAAAATCAGAATATACATTTCCTTTGTCAGAGGTACAATATATTTTTGTGGAAATTTTTATAACATTCCTCCATTCAAAATATGAAATGGGGTACCCCGTCTCATTTTTCAGCAACATGTTTGTTAGGCCTACCATTGAACTACTATATATGCAAAATGTAAGTGACCTGAAATAAAATACTGTATGTTTATTCGGCAAATTTTGTATGCAAAAAATTGCATACAGTCTTTTTTTAGGGAATTTTGTCTGCTATAACTTTTGTATTTAACACTTTTCAATATGACTTACAGATTCCGAAATAAAAGCGAAAGAGCCACACACATTAAGAGCCCTTCCCTTAGTCAAGCTCGACCCCACCCATCAGGACTTTTTATTTTCTTCAATCTAATGAACAAAAGGAACGTTTAAACAAATTTCCATTTCTCCGGGAATTGTTTCGCCCTAATGGCAATTTTTTGTTTTATTTGACTGGGCTAATAATTACAACTGTGCAACTAAGTGGTCTAATTAAATTAGCACAAACAATGAATTTTAAATTTAAAAAAATTAACATGGGCTTTATGGGTTGCCATGCTGGTGACGAAATAACAACAAAATATAAACATAAAACAAATAGTATATTTCATACCTAGGGCCGAAAATGAGGTTTTGCCGGCTCGAGATAGTCTTTAAGTTCGAGACGAAGTCGAGAACTTAAATCGATCGAGAGCTGCAAAACCATTTCGGTCCGTGGTACGAACGCTATTTTTCACCACACTATACCCTATTACAACTATTCACCACTATAATAATGCACACTGATAGTCAACACAACTACAGCTTTAAGGTTATGTGAAGAAATAATTTGAGGAATCAGCAAAAATAAAAATAAATAGTTGCTAGGCAACGGTGACAATAACACAATTCTATTGCAATGCTATGGATTTTGATTGTGTATTTAAATGCATTCATGTTTTAAGTATGTAAGCGGACAACTGATTTTGCGGCCCCGGCCTGTAAAAACCTGCTCGGCCCCCAAATTACGATGACAGCTGGCATGGCCAGCAAAACGTAACTTTCAGCCACCAATTCGTATGTAATACAGCCAAAAACATCATAGTGTGGTGAAAACAAATTTAAGAGATTCCAATCACATGTTTTATTTACAGCTTGGGGTGAAAATAGAGAAGCCACTTTTGACCATAGGCAAAAAGATTTAAATATAGACTGTCAGCCATGCTGTGGTTACTATGGTTACCACTTGAAATTCCATCCCCATGTTAAAGTTGTCACCAGTTTTTAAATTATATTTGTCGTAGTTGATGTGAGCCACCAACAGATTGCACTGATCTAAATTACTAATTTTGAGTAATTTCTGTCGAATAAACGATGTTTTTTATCAAGCCAACTTTTGGAATGACTTATCATGAGCTATAGCAACTGTTATTACCCATCAATTTCGTCAGCAACAAAAAATAAGGTAGAAAATAGAATTTTAGACACACATTCTGTATGGCTCACACAATTACAACGTTTTATAATAAAAAAATGACGACAGCTGGTCCATATAGATGAGTTGATGGGATGTCTACTTTAGTATCCAATAGTCAATGCGTGTACATTACGTATTTTTGGTCGCGTTTTTGACTACTGGAAGACCACTAGTACTTATTTAATACGCAAGCAGGTTTTTTGTGACAATTACTCCTCCGAAACTACTGAACCGATTGAGATGTTTTTGATGTCATTGGAAAGAGCGTAACGTGAAGTCGTGCAGGAAACTTTGTTTTTAGGGAAATAATTAGAGAGTGAGGCCCTGGGGCCCTTTAAAGTTTCATATTTTTCCATAAGATTAACATGGGAACAAAAAATGTTATGAAACTCCAGCTGTTGTCAGAAATTAAAAGTGAGAAGAAGATCATATGTTAATTGTACACAGTCAATAAGTTTGTTTGCTAATTTAACGGTTTGCTACAAACATTTACTGACTTGGTTGAAATGAAATTACTATTTGAATTTGGGTTGGCATAAATATTACATTGGAAAAAAGCAAGAGAGCCGAGATAATTTTATATACCAAAAAGAAAACTGAATTAACACTGTGCTGCATTTCTTAGTAATCATTGAAAGAGCCGATTTGCAAACTATAGAAAAGATAGTCATAGAACAACACCAAGGAGAAGAAAAAGAAACAATGTTTTTTTTTATTTATAATCGTTATGGTGGACAACCTAATGAGGCTATGAGTAAGGCTATTTGTAGAAAACACTAAAAAACAAGATCAGCTTTTGAAAAATTATAAGATATTTACATGAAATGTTGAATATATCGATCTGCTTTGTATATCTTGAGTATTTCTATAATCTTTAAGTCGAATATTTTAAAGTCATCAGAAATTAAACTGTTATTCGTTTTAAAATAACGCCTGTAATACTTAGCAATTGCTCGAATTCGGGACACTAGTTTTGTTTATAAGAAGAGATATTTATTTTTGTAAAGAAGCTAGTTATTATTTTTTTAATGGAATAAATGTTTTATTTTGTTTCTTGTCTTTAATTATTCCTAAGGCCATAAACCCAATTGTTTAGTTAGAAATAGGATTATTATTTAGGTATTCAAATTATTCTGGTATTATTGATACATAACAATGGAAGTTTAGTTGAAAAGTTTGAATGACAATAGTGTCAGGCTTAGAGAGAGAGAGAGAAATATAGAGCTAGAAGTTAGCATTGAGGTAGCGGCCGAGCTTATCAGCTGTTAGGGCAAAGGTGGTGGGGCAAGACAACTGGACTGCCGAGCCTACCTCCCCTACCTCACCCCTACACCCCCTGCCACTGGAAGGTCCTATGTAAGCAGGTGCATTAGGGGCACTAGTCTCAATCAATGTTGGACGTCGGACAGGTCACAAGGTAGACACCGTCATGGTCGAATATACCTCTACTATAACCATAAGTCACTTATAGTAGTCTTAGGGTGGATAGTGTCGGTAAGTAGAAGCTCAGGGTTGTTAGGCATACTAACTAAGCAACCCCATATCAGTATAGTTAGTTCTACCCAAGCGTTATAACTTAAGCAGAACATTCAACGGGTCGGCTTAGGAGGTAGGTACCGTGAGGGAATACCTCGCGGCGGAGTTAAGCTGGTTGGAGGGGTTATACCCTGCCACAGCGAATTGTGTTCAACCGGATTTGGACTACAAAATAAGGTAAGTGCCAGCTCGTGACCGAATAAGTTGCGACACTCAAGTTAGGGTAACGGATAGTTACCTTAACCTACAAATCAGTCAGTAGGGTCACGGGAAACATTAGTTACCGCGAAAATTCGATATCAAAGACCATATGGTCAAAGTCCAAATTCGATATCTCGAGGTGGGCGATGATGAGTCCATTGCAGGCGTACTTGGTTGCCGCGGACTGAGCTTAAACCTCGAGATATATAGGGAAATCAAGATTTAGGCTAACTTGAGACCCCTGGATGGTTGGTTAGACACCCATGCCCTGTGAAATTTGTAGAAATCAAAATTCATCGTTAAGGGTAAAAATCCCTCACAGAAGTTTTCCAATATGCCCGAAGAGTACATTTTAAGTTATCGCCAATTAATGTTAATAAATGCGTAAAATATAATAGGCCTACGGTATGTCTAATTAGATTTTATACCGGTGGGGACTTATATAACTTTATCTAAGTATTATTTTTGCAAAGACATAAAAGTTAAAAGGTCAACAAGTGTTCAAAAAGCTTTTATACTAAACTACTACGACAATATTCAAGTGCCGCAAGCATGCAGATTGGGGAACGCAACACCCATCACTGTTGGAGCGAACGATCGTGGAGTGAACTTCAAGGTTATTCAAGGTTATTGTTCAAGGTTATTACATATTTAAATAATACTGATCGTTCATTCCAATGTGTATTCGATCCACTGTACAGTAAAATTCAAAATGAATATTTTCTACTGGTTAGTCTACTTCAAGAGCTGACTGTACCCGGTAGATCAAATGAACAGTGGAGCGAACAAACAGGCAAATAATTTGTAAAATTACTTTTTGGAGTGAACGATCGTGGAGTGAATAAAACATATCGGTTCGTTTAACTCTTCTACCCGACCAATTTTCATGATTGAGGTCTCAAATTGAAAATACGGCCACACAGATTTGCCATCAAGCATCGGCATATATTTATCTATAATCCCACTCGGGTTATATGTAAACATAAGTTGCCCCCCATGTATTTCTTATGGGAGTTAAATTTGGTTTCTATTTTCCGAGTTTGTTTGGCTCTTCTACCCGACCGATTTTCATGATTGAGGTCTCAAATTGAAGGTATGCACGCACAGATTTGCCATCAAGCATCGGCTTTAGTGATGGGTTGGTACCGGTTCCTAGCTAAAATCGATTCTCTGTTCTCAGTTTTGTTACCATCAGTACCTTATTTTAAATTTTTAGGATAGGCTACTTTTTTTATTAACAAAATGACCATATTTCAATTTTTCAGTATTTTGCATTAGTATAGGTCGGTCATACAAAACTTAAGGGATTAATAAAATAAAACTTATTTAAATAACCGAACACATTCAGATCACAATAATAACTTATATAGTGAGAAGTGTTAAAAATATTTAATTGGTGATGGGTTGATAACAAAATTTATTGATTCTCAAACTAACGCAAGGTGAACAACCAGCATAAAAATTATTTTTTCATAAGGTTTTTCTATGATTAAAAATCAATAGCTCCAGTATTGTTCATGTTTTTTATACATTATAGACTCAAAATAATCAGTAAATTATAGGCTTTATTTTGAGCTATTGATAGTTTGAATCGGTTAAGCTCAAGATACTGTATATTTAAAAATCATAATTTTGATTATTTATCAAATATGATATGTATTTTAACAGCGTCCTCTGGTTGTATTATAAAAATTTAAGTCCACTCACTATTTATTAACAGTGCTAGTGACCGCCACAGCGTCTCCGTCCGGCGCAAGGATGCTGATGTGTGACGTGCCATGGTCGTCAGGGTTGTAGTACACGGCGCCATAGTGGGTGGCCTTCTCAAACGTTTGATCGTCCTTGATCTGTGATCGTATATTGTTAATGTAGTCCTCAGACATCAGGTCGGCTAGTTGCTAGAGAAAATAGACCATCATTAATCTGTTGTTTAAGGATGTGAACAGGTTATTAATGTATACCTACAAGGTTTTTTTGTTGTTGCAGATCTTTCTTAGGATGTTCCTTTAAGCGAGTTGACAAAGCTTTACAAATAAGTGCTATATAAAAAAAATCACTTGAAGCAATTATTTTTGTTCAGTATTTATTAATTTTCATTATTTCAATCTTATTTTAATTATTCTAAACAAGTCAATCAAAATTAATTAACCAATGTTTATATTTATTATTATCTATATTATTTACTTATTTAATACGCAAGCAGATATTTTGTGACAATTACTCCTCCGAAACTACTGAACCGATTGTCATGTTTTTGGTGTCATTGGAAAGAGCGTAGCGTGAAGTTGTGCAGGAAACTTTCTTTTTAGGGAAATAATGAGAGAGTGAGGCCCTGGAGCCCTTTAAAGTTTCTTATTTCTCCATAAGATTAACATGGGAAACAAATATTGTTATGACACTCCAGCTGTTGTCAGAAATCAAAAGTGAGAAGAAGAGCATAGGTTAATTGTAAACAGTCAATAAGTTTGCTAATAAAACAGTTTGCTACAAATATTTGCTGACTTGGTTGAAGTTCGTTTTAAAATAACGCCTGTAATGCTTAGCAATTGCTCGAATTCGAGCAACAGGGACACTAGTTAAGTTTAAATTACAATTAATTTCAATATTAAAAATTATCATATGTTATGAAATCAAATTCTATTATATCACATTGTATCTCAAAGAATACTAACTGTTACCCATGAGCTTCACCCCATTTGAATTCATCTATCTATACTATAATAAAAAAGAGGTGGTTGCTGTATGTATGGGAAAAGTAAACGCGAAAAATACTGGTCGGATTGGGCTGAAATTTGGCATGATGATAGCTCACATTCCCGATTAACATATAGGCATATTCTTATTTCAAAAATCCTTTCGGGCTCCGCCCCAGTGGCTCTGGAGTTTCCCATCCCATGTTAACCTTATGAGAAATGAAATTATTGAATCTTAACAGCTGTTTCAATTAAACAAGTTGGTTCTGTTCTGTGATGTTCAATAGCATTAAAGTTACAAGGATTACCAACAGGGTGCAGCACTAGCACTATTATTTCTTTTACATTTATGACAACAGCTAATTTGCAACCAAAAGGTGAGTGAGCGTAGCGAACGAACTTCAACCTGGAGGCGAGTGAGCGTAGCGAACGAGCTAACCTGAATGCAAGTGAGCGTAGCGAACAAGCTAACCTGAAGGAAAGTGAGCGCAGCGAACGAGCTCCAACCTAAAGGTGAGTGAGCGTAGCGAACGAACTTCAACCAGGACGTGATTGAGCCATGCAAACGAGATCATCTTGAAAATTAAGAAGTTAAACGGGGCAAAGCCCGCGGGTTACAGCTAGTAAATAATAAATATTAATAAAACTATTGATTTGTTAGGTTAAGCGGTTTTAAGCTGAAATAAACAAAACAAAATACAGTAATAAAAAATAAAAACTAGTGGCAATAGCTCCTATATACAGTGTGGATGAAAAGTCCCGGAACTGTTAAATATATTTGTTACCAATATAGATAAAGTAATGATACTTGGTATATGAATAATAGCTATAAATGTTTACTGTGTGACGGCCTCAAAAATTCCCAGACCCATTACATATCAGCTGGGGAGGTTTTTGCTACACCCTCAAGAAACCCTGTCAATACCGTCACAAAAGCATTGCTTTATTTCAAATATAAAAGAAGGGTGTGTAATATTGGACTGTGTTAACCTCCCAACTTTTGCGTCAGCCAGTTGCCTCATCATGGAATATTCTGTCAGCCGTTGCTCAGCGCTAAGCCAGGCCAATGTTCTCGGAAGTGTAACGCGAGTGGCTGGAATTTGCTGAGCCAGCTCAGCAAAGCAAGTCACTCGATGAAATCACTGTGCAACTGCAGTTTGCCTAACGCCCCGATTGATCGTTAGGCAGCAGCACTGTCCAGTGTTTGCACTGACATCATGCGGCATAGCTGCAACGTGATTGGCTGGTTCGCCTCCACGGCCAACTTTGCACTACGGACGGCGAGCACTCAGTTGAGTTAGTCTAAATTCTAAATTCGACTCAGTCGGTCATCTAAATTCTCACCTTTACCCCATTCTTCTAAAATGCACCTAATAATGAAAATTTGTATCTTAACATTGTAGTTCTATAATAACTTATTGTGATCTTGTATTCTCTCTTTCTTGCCAGTTAGTATCTGTGATCATAAGTTCTTTGTGTCTGTAAACTAAACGTAAATTAATTATACAGCAAGTCGGAAGCTACAATTTGTAATTTTAATAAACTACTGTTCGTAGCGAATTCTCTTTGTATCATTCGGCTACCTGTCACAACTGTTTTAAGCTATTATAACTTTTTTATGCCTTAAGGGGGACGACCCACGAGGGGTCAGACAAAATTCTTAAAAAGCAGCATAGGTAGAGTTTGATATCTAATTAAAGGTCTTAGTTAATATTCAGATTCGGATTCAGAAACACTTTATTCAAGATTTACATTATACAAATATAAATGCAGAATGGCGTCAATAAATACAATTCATTCTATAAAATATTATCAAAATGCTCACTAAATGAGTAGTAACATTTGCTTATTATAAATATTTATAGTAGAATACATTGCCGCAAACCCAAACTCAAACAGACAATTGAGTAAAAAATGGCAGCCGTTAAACTATTTCTTGAATCTGCCATTTTGAATCTTTGAGCTGCTGTAATTTTTTACTCAGTTGTTCCATTGAGCTCAAATTTGCGGTATTGATTCTACTACATAAGACCTTTAATTTGATGTGCATGTCGACCTATGCTTACGTTAATGATTTTCTTCTGAATTCTCACAGTTGCCCCTTGAGGAGGTAGCGTAGAATAGCAATGGAAATTCAATCTGTCATTTTTGACTCAGTTGTCCTTTGAGTTTGGGTTTGTGGCAATGTATTCTACTAACTAAGACCTTTGATTAGATACCAAACTCGACCTATGCTACTATTTAAAGGCACGTTTTGCTTGGAGCGACAGGTGCGACGTTTGCGCAGCGACTGTCGCCGAGCGGCTGTCGCAGGACACTGATCTTAAGGGTTTTGCATAGTCCTGTTTTGCTTGAAGCTACTGTCGCTAGAGCCGCGAGCTGCAGTCGCTGGGTACTGCTCCAAGACCAGTCAGGAGCGACAGCGACAGTTACATTTCTGATTGTTTTTATAGTGTACAAGTACAACATTTTGACAAGTTCGAATACCTTTTATTTTCGCTATACGGCGTCGGACAACGTCTGGGATTAAGTTAAATTTTAGTGGTGAGGAAGAAGACAGTTTATTAGAAGAAGTGGAAAAACACCCCGCACTTTATGATTTGAAACATACTCCTTTTATCTATGATATCTCCTACAAAGACCAAAGAATAAAGGACAACGTCAGGTTAGTTTAATATTATGTTATTTTATTATATTACAAGTTTAGATTATTTAGATTGTCGAATTTAAAGACTTCTAATTACATTTTCGTTTAGGTGATTCAAAAAAATATTGTTCTGTATAAATAGTTATTGAACAAATTGGCTTAAAAGTCAGACGTGTCATATGTAAATATATAAAATGGCAATTATTAAAGTAATGTGGTAAGAAGAGGCTATTCAAATATTAATGGAGTATATGTAATTGGTATTTTTTCCCCATTCACAATACAATCAATAAAATAAAAATTTAACTCTGTGAGGAGGTTGTTTATAACATTGATTTCCAATTCAAGTTATGCTTGTGTACTGCAATTTACGGAGAAATTGAGTAATTGTATTACATTTTGGCTTGTGACATGGCAGTTTTGGAATGTTTCTCATAACAAATAACTATGCCTATAAAGAATACTTTATTGTTAAGTTTTACCTGTTTTACTAAGTGAATTTATCGAATTTAATTAGTGACTTTATAGTGCGCACTTTTGGGGTTAGGTGCACTGGCGGTACCACGTCTCGTCTCGTGACGCCAGGAAGAGATTAATTATTGTCCCTCCAAGCAAAACAGTCTACCACCCTGCGACTGCCGCTCGGCGACAGTCGCTGCGCGACCGTCGCACCTGTCGCTCCAAGCAAAACGTACCTTAAGAATTTTCTCTGGCTCCTCATGGGCTGTCTCCCTTAAGGCATAAAAAGGTGATACAGTAATAGCTTAAAACATTAGACATTTATAGCTATTGTTTATATACCAAGTATCATTACTTTACCTATATTGGTAGCAAATATATTTAACTGTTCCGGGACTTTTCTACCACACTGTATATATATTCTAGTAATTATTTTGTACAAATCATTAGTCTCATGGGTTACCCTACCTTGAATTATCGTTTAACATTTTTGTATATTATAATATTTATAATAGTTATTACATATCTGCATAATGCATTTTGATGTATGCTCTGATTAAAATAAAAATTCCAAAAGACTGTTCATGCGGTGTGTTTATAATATAAACTTTCTTGTTATATTTTTACATCTATTCTGTATATAATTCAGTTTTGAAAATCTTTGTTCAACTAAATCTAGAGTTCTACTGGACCGATTTTATTAATTAATGGGTCGCTGTAAAACTTAATTCGTGTAAATTTGCAAATAATGCTGAAGGTTGTTTTTGTTATGATTTATGGTGAAAAATTTCAAAAAAATCTTTTTTTTTACACTTTTTATTTGGGTGAGACTTTTGGCTGTCTTTTTGAGTGTTTCCAAGAAGTATATGGTATCAGTTTGTAGGAAATTTTATTCTCTTTCAGAATATCACCTTCCACTTTGGTCGATTTCCTCACCATTTAAAAGTTATTTACAAAAAAGCTAATCAACCTCCAAATTTATAGTAATGAGAAAATACAGAGTTAGGGATATTTTTGTTAAACTTTGTACAACTAAATCTAGACTTCTACTCGACCGATTTTTTTAATTAATGGGTCATTGGAAAGCCCAACTCATGTAGATTACGGCAACAGCTGACTGTCGACTGCACTACGGTCAATGAACTTACTGTTGATGTCTACACAACGCTTAATGCTGGTTTACCATAGTGTGAAATATGTGCGCGTTTTCACCATTCAAATTGTTTGTGGACTGATGTAGTCTGGTTTATGACGCAATGTGTCAGTTGACAATAATTTCATTTCTCAAATACCGACCTCAGAGCAAAATTTTAAATATTGTTAAAGTTTCAGATTTCTATTTTTGTTATTCAGATTTCAAATGTTTAAGTGTAAAATTGTTTCGTGTTAAATGTATTAAATGTAAATCAATGGAAAAAATGAACAAAAAATTGTGTTGTATGAATGAAGCGTCTGTTGCCACGACGGGTTGAAATTGTCCCGGGATGGAAAAGGCCTTCGTGCGGACCTGAAGGTCGCTCGGGCCAATTTTTTGGCAGGGGAGATTTCTGTGCCGATTTTAAATGCAAAGATTTAAAATCCGCGCCAGGCAACGAACTACGTCAGTCAAACATGACGTAACGCGAAGGAATACGAACAGAGAAGGACTACATTTGTGCCGTGTCCGTTCGCCACTCGTAGTCTCGGTGTTGCGCTGTCAAGATCCAAGGTCGCGTTTGTCGCTGGTGTAGGACGATTATATTAATATCTTAAGTTCGCAGCTAGGAAATTCGCGTTCGGGCGAAAATTGTACGTACATCAAATGATCGCAATTGTCAAAATTTTGCCGAACTGCAATTGGGGGTGTATTTTATTAGTATTAAGTCGAGACAGTTGAGATGCCGGATTGATTGTTCGCGTTCGTGATGAAAATTAGTACATGCATCATATCGATAGCAAATTTCAGTTTCTAGCGAATCGTAGATCGTCGTGACGGTATTTTTAATTGAATCAATAAACGCCAGCTTCTTTACATAATAGAGGCCGTTGTATTTAACCACAACGGGCTCTATTACTAGTTGTATTACATTTTATATTTTTACATTATACAAAGATTATATTATTTCTATATTTTGTTTTTACACTGTAAGAACCAACAGTAAGTGATATTTATTTTATGTAAACAAAACAAATACAGTTCACTTATTCAAAAATTAAAAACTATGTTTCCTCATCTAATTTAGCTATTAAGCTAACTCATTAAATAAACAATTATCAAAATGTCATGAAAATCTTTTTCCGAAAAGGACTAAGGAGGCTGTTAGAAATCTTGAATGAGGCTATATTTTGAGTATCAAAATACTCTTACGCAGGTTTAAAATAGTCTGGCGATAGATTACTGAGAAAACCACATTATTTTTGTAATGTGATCTGAAGTGTTAGGGATGAGCCGGTGAAAAAACGCTGATCGTACCCTCCTTATAACAGAGAGCATCACGAAATAATATTATTTTAGCAATAGTTGCTGAGAAAAGCGTATTAGTTTTTTAATGAAGTCTGTTTAGAATGAGCGAGTGAAATAATGCTGATTGTATCTTCCTATCAACATCAAACATCTCTAAATAATAGTAATAGTCTGTCTGAGGAACTATACTAATCACCAGAATAACTGTGAGTAAAAGTAGCCTTGCATTACAACGAATGGCTGATACGTACTGGATGAGGAAGTTATAGGGGTAAAAATAATGGTATAGTTTCACCTATTACCAAAAAAAGTCAAGGAACGTTCCTGACTATAATTTCAAAGTAATGACACTTCCCATCCCTACCCAGTATTTTTATACTTTTTTTAGTGTGATTTTTCACACTTACCTTTTTGATATCAACAAAGAGCGGATCGCCCAATTCTGTGCGCTTGGCGTAAGCGTACTTAAACGCCTCCACCATCCTGTGAACGGTTGTTGTCATTTTGTCGAGCGTACTCACGCTGTCTGGGGTTAGATTGTATCCTTCGAGGATTTTGAGGATGAAGGTGAGGAGAACGCCGGCACCGGGTGGAGGAGAGGTGTAGACTGTGTCGTCTTGTAGCTTCACAGTGATAGGATCTGTCCATTCTGGTCTGCATGGGTAAAATGATTAGTGTGTGAGGTAACTTAAATAATTTAAATTGGGGTTTCAAGAATAAGTTTAATCATGAAGACTATATTTTGTCAGGTTTTTTACAAATTAAACAAGATGATCCCTACATGTTACACCATTACCCAGATTTACGGATATGCTATCTGTACCACAATAATGAATTGAAGAACTAGCTCCGCAACGGGAATTGTCTGCTGTAACCAACATCAGGGCGGGATTTCCCACTAGGCCCGGTAGGCCCGAGCCTATAGGTGCGAGCTCCCAGAGGGCGCACAGCCGAGAGGAAAATAATTTTTTACTATCTTAAAATAAAAATAAATAGTCATATAGCTTAACATATTTTAGAGTTGATTAAAAAAAACTCTGGCTAATAAAGCATTATGATTTCAAAGTTCATTAGAAGAAATAATTGTTAGAAAATTTTAACTATTTTTCAACATCACGCATCAATATCGTTACAAAATTGGCAACGAACATTAGTTAAACTTGGAGTAGGTTGTAGGGATGTTGACGAGCGCCCAAGCATTACGTACATTCGTATCACCGGCTTGGCGCTACTGATTAATAGGAGCACAAGCGTGCTAGACACTGTTACAACCCTTACCTCACAAAACAAAAGTTATTAACTAATCTTTCGATTAGTTTACAACAATCTGCAGGTTTCTAGTCTAGTTTACAACAAAATATATAATACGTTGTGTTGAATATTAAACAAATTATAAATTTATCTTAACAATAAAAAAAAAAAATATTAATCTCAGTTTACAATAGGTTTGAGAAAAATTCAATACCATCCAAAGCACCCTTAATGCTGTCATTTTCTCCTCAGACCTAAGGAACGGTATGGCTGGAATGTTGCTCTATCTTGCTTTGGAAATATAATCCAGATGCAGAACCACCATCCTAACCTTCCATCGGGCGCATCACAGAAGTTACCTCCGGGTCACTACTTTTTTTGTTATAAAAACCATAGTATGTGTGCGGCAGGGCTGTGGCCTGATTTACCTCACGAACCTCTTTTGCGGAATCGGTTTTATATTCTCTAACCCCTTTCCCAGTGGTCAGTCGACTTTGGGGAGTGGTTTGCGTCACTACTGGAAGCAGCTACCGTGAGCGACCTTGTGTTTGACCTTATTAGCAAAATTTAGTAGAAAGAACTAATGGTACGTGAGTTCGGAAACCTTTTTTTTTCAAGAAAAAGAGCTTTGACAAAATGAGTAGTCCTTCCAACAAATGATTTTTTGCATTAGACAATAGGTGTTTTTGGATAAAGTAAGTTATCCTTGAAATAACACCATTGGTGTTTTTATGCCATACACTGATGCAATTTTTGTCTAAGAGCTTTAATTGAATGAATTGTCCTTGTACAAAATTATTATTTTTATTAGACCATTTACGTGTTTTTAAGCCATAGAATATTAAAATTTGTTTTCTAATATATGATAGTACTGTATAAGTACAAAATGTAAATCATTTTATCCACAACACTTACGTATTTTTATTTTTATTATAACATTTTCTTTGTAATACCGGTAACTTAAGTAATAGTGTAATAACTCATAATAAATGTTTTTCATAGAGTTTTATTGCTATTAAAATGTTTTTTACTCATCATTGTATAGTTTTTGTACTCCCGGAGGTAACTTCCGTGAGCGCCCTTTGGTGTTTGAAAATCAATGCGCCTGACGGAAGGTTAAACATAGCTCAAGTAGACTTCTTATCATATTGTTAATTCTAAATTTGTTTCATGTCTAGTTCATGTTGGTGACTCTGGACATTAGTTTCTACGTAATTTTGTTTCTATTATTTTAGGGTTAGTTGTAGTTCTATGTGTGTTTTAATTTCTTGTAACATAACCAGGAGACGACCTATTGTTTATGATTACATCGTTTTATTTTGGATAAACTAGGTTTAAATAACAATAATTGTTTTCAGCTAATAAATAAAGATGACAAATCATCTAAAGGAGTATGTTTAATCTATGGTATCATTTACTGTATGGAGTTCATGTTTTTGGGCCTGAAATTGGAATGCTTTTTTTTCAGGAATGCTCTGTGGACTGGTTGAGTTGTTTTGTTTCAGTCTCGGTCCTACAAACGTGAGCATTTACTAAAAGAATTAAATTGCTAAAAGTGTTTAAGACGGCATTTTGTTAAGGCTAAACAAGTCAATTCTTCAAAAGACTTCTTCAAAATTCAATTGGAGTGGTATTCAAGCAATTGCCATATAGGCCTATAGGCATTATATAGTTTTTTAATAAAGGTTTGAAGGAATGTAACTGTGACCAGACTAGAGGGGGGGGGAAATTATTTGGGCCTAGGGGTGCCAAAATGCTAAATCCGGCCCTGACCAACATTGGCCTGACTTGGCCAACAGCATATAATGGACCTAATGACAACACAGATCTCACACCGTGATAAAGATTAAGATTAGAAAACAATAGTCCAAGTCGATTATATTAAGAAGTAAATTTTACCCATTTGGTTATAGATTTTTGATGACAACAATTAAAATAGTAAAAAATGACTGGTGTAGGTCTTTATTGAACCGTAATAGCCATACAATTTGGACCATTGACTAACCAAAAATAAATTATCTGAAACAGCCTCACCTCATTGGTTTAGGTTAGGTTGGTCAAGGCAATGTAAGGTTGAATGAGCCTCTTTTAGAATGGACACTATAGTGTAGCGGTGTAATGTGGAAATGCGAGACTAGTTTAAGCGTGCTGAATCGGCTACCAAATGATTTACATGAAAGACTTGTTGGGACAGAGGACGGAGATCTTTTACCCAGACCGGAAGCTTGCATAGCCAGCTTTGGTTTATCCTAATACAACTAATTTACTTAAACTATCCTTCCAAAACTTGTGAGCTAGATGACTATCAGATAATTTGGTTTTAATTGTACTACTTAAATCAGAAATAACTATGACGAGAGCTGTTTGCCCGTCCTACGTACGGGAATCGAGTAGTCTATCATATCTGTATAAATAGTGTGTCTATTACTAATTCAAGCATAGTTTAAACAGTTCAAAGTTTTTAGTAAAGACAAAGCTGCCAAGATGAATTAAAACATGAGATCATTGTTATTTTCCCAACCTTTCTTCAAAAAGTCAAATATTAAAATAATTTTCATAATCTTTCTTTAGAAGATTTGTGGGCTTTGATTAGTATATAGCAATGATTATAGAATCTTACTTATTTCCTATAATCAATGACAAAATAACAGAGTTATTAAACTAACCTCATAGTTCCATAGAATATTCTTTTATTTAACCAGCTGTAAGTTATAACAAATTATATTGAACTAAAACAAATGAAATATTTTTAAAACTGCTCAAAAAAATAACTGAGAACATCTAGTATTTTACTATATATATTTAAATAATCTCTCATCCTCTTACCGAATAAATGAAGGTACCACTGATTATAACATTATACATAGTATAAATAAGTCAATTCTACGGCTTCATTTCATTGTCATCCAAATGCTGAATTTGTGTCATTGTTTACAGGTGTTATGTTAAGCAAATTATATCATACCAAAAGCTAGTTTAGAATTTTAGCGTCGACTGCTAGACTTTTTAAAAATTAAATCTTAATTTCTAAAAACTGTAACCCTAAACTAAAATTATGGCTTCGACATTCCCTAGTTCTCAAAATTATTTTTCTTTCAACATAAAAATCATGAAAATCCGTCAAGTGGTTGATTCAGAATCGTGAAATAAAAAAACCCTGTCACATTTTAATCTATAGGATTTTATTGCGATAAACTGTGGTAGCCTACTGGGGCGAACGTGTTATCTTTTTCATGTTTAAAATGGTCGAGGCTGAAGGCTTCGGCCGGCAATTAATTAATTCCTACATAACCAATGTCGGGCCACCCTTGTAGGTCTCCCCCCTTGGTTTGCTAACTAGCCTGACATTTGAATTTAATATCTACACATATAATTAACCTAAACAGTTATCCATTTTATAAAGGATTGCAGAAGATCCAATTTTCAGTGGTAGTCAGGTGATAAGTCGGGAAAAAATAGGAAGAGAATTGGAAAAGTGGGGGAAAGCGTTCACTCGCTCGCGGTGGGCTGACGAGTTTGACATGGAGCCCTGCCACGCGAAGCGCTGACACTAAGAGATATAGCGGGCCGCTATGCGTCACAATAGATTATAATCATAATTCCACCCTTCCAAGGAAAATAATAAATCAGGTCATGAATAACATTACAGACTCATCACTTGCCACTATTTGGACAAGCATTCCAAACAAAAGCCAGACACAAGCAAGGAGATCTGCTACGATTGGATACAGGATTAGTGCAGTTGCATAAACTGTTATAGATCAAAGGGTCAATTTTTAATCAAACTGCACAATGATAATAACTTAATGTTTTTTTCACTTCTCCACTTACTTGTAGTTCCGCATGTCGTCTTCGGTGATAATGCCTCCCATGTTTTGTACGTCCTCAACGAACGTCTTGGTGAGAGAACCATCGTGTAACGCTTTTCCTCCCTCTTGCGCAATCACTTTGAGAGTTTCGCACAACTGTCGGGGTCGGATCAGACTCCCCTTAGTCTTTAAACGTCCTTTTTTGTCCACAAACCACTCCCTGCAATCGTAATTTGAATGGTTATTGAAAGCAGTGGATGTAAACTAGGAAATAGAAATTGTAAGGTAGAAAAATAGGAAAATGAGTAAAATTAAGATACCTCACATGTTTGGGTGACTTCTCTGTAGATGGCCATCTTGCTGCTGATTTTTTCTACACTACTTCTTCTTTTGGTAGGGAGAGGCGGGAAATTTGAATGTTTAAATGAAATTTGAATGAGGGGAGTTATGGTTTGTGATGTTACAACAGGAATGAAAAAGGATAAATTAAAATGTCTCTAGGATTTCAGAAATTAAATTAAATTAAGTCTGGCTCTAACAGTTATGTTATTGTTTAAATTAAAATATTTACTTTTAAGAAGACAAAATTGCTATTGCGTTTGACAAAACTTGTTTTAGATCATGTCACGAATAAGAAAATACCCATTATGGATCATAAACATAAACGAATGACGTTTTTAGCCCGAAAGTAAACCAAACCATATGTTAACTAGGTGGCGTTTGCAGAGGCGTCCACAAAATTGAACGGGAGTCATCAGGGTTCATATTATATTCTTATTGACCGTCACCATCGAGCTTCATAATTATTTTTACCTACAATTTTAAATCAAGGCAAAATTTGTGTGGAGATAAATATTTGAGTAATTAGAATGGCTACTCGTTGTTTCATAGTGAAGGAGAGTAAAAAACACATAGATGTCATTTTAGGCCTTTTTGGAGACCTGCATTTACATTTAAAGTTTAAAACCTCTAGGTTATAGGTTGGTTTCAATGAATTGTTATTTCAAATGAACATTTCAAAATAAAAAATTATTAGAAAAGTTATATCAACATTCACATTTACATCAATTCCAGTGTTTAAACCCATGTTAAACCAGTGTTCTAGTCCTTGTTAATCTTCGACAAGATCAGCAATTGTCGATAATATCTAACTATTTGCTACATGGCGGCATTTCAACACATCATAAATGTCATAATTATTACTGAAGGCGATGGTAAAAACTTAAAATACCTACTTTGTATGGTCGCCATTTCATTGAAAAGTATTGAAGTATTAACAACAGCCTGGAAACACATGTGAAGCCACTGCTACCGGCATAGGCACTTCCATGCAATAGGATGATCGTGAAACAAGGCTGAACCAAAACGTCCAAAACTATTATTTTTCGCGTATTTTAATTGTCTCAATGCTCGCCTATAATATCAAAGTCAATATATCAATGTTTATTGATTTATAAACACAAAAAGTCACGTTTGTATGAAATCAGATTATGGATGTCTTTAGGGAAATATATTTGTGCATTATTGTAATTCAATTAAGATGCATGACATAAAATAACTGGGTATTTATGGTATGGAAAATAAAGAAAACTCTTCAATAGATATTTCCATATAAGTTTGCCAAAAGACTGTTTAATAATTAATATATAAACAGTCATATGTTTTTCAATTGTTTTTGTTAAAAACAGTAAATAGTTCAGTGTTGTTGTTTTGAGAAATGAAATAAAGAAGATGGTTTTTGTTAACATTTATTTTGTCATTTCTAATGTTTAATTTTAATATTAAGTAATCGTCCATGCTATCAAAATAATTGAATCACGTATAGTGACGACTTCAAAATCTAGGGTTAAGTTTAGTCAATGGAATACCTTTACTTTACACTAATTGTTTTAAGCCTTAACAAAAGGAGTATAAGCTAAAAAATATAAACTGGGTAGGGATGCTAATTTAGTGGTTTTGACCAAGAACTAAGCTTATATCAACACACCTTTATTTGCCTTTTCATATTTTACGAAGACAATTTCAAAAATTTTAATCAGGGAAGTCTTTTGTATCACCATTAACCACAAGACCAACGCTACCTTAATAAACCAGTATTTATTCACAAACAATTATATGTTTGCTGCCTTAAGCAGAATTAAACCTATGGAGTGGTTCAAATTATTTATTGAAAATAACATCAACAAAAGCACACGCAGACAATCAACAAACTGTTTTTTACACAAAAGATATGGTGTACAGCGATATCTATTCTGACACATAAATAATATATTTCTGAGTGTGTGTTGATATTAGAATAATTTATTTTACATTATTGAGCTTTTTAGGGACTTATGTCCCTACAAGCCACTAGTACTATTTAAATAGGGAATACAAGTTGTATTTTTAAGGAGATATTTTAGTGTAAATCCAATCAGGTGAATGGAAATTTGATTAGTCTGCAGGTTTGCTGCAGCGGAGGTATTTAATTTTTGACCCTCAAAACACAAAATTTTTCAATTTCTCTCTAAACTCTTTTAAAGTGCCTAAAAAATAATAATTATGTACATCAAAGTGTTTTTGTACAAACACTTAAAACCGGTGAGTGTTTGGGGATTGGGGGACACTTAAAACTATTGGGGATTGATATGGGACGGGGTTTTTAATTGCTGTTTTAATTGGTAACAGAGTAACAGAGAAACAAAATGGTAAAATTCACATGCCATTCTGATGGATAATAAATAAACTGTTGTAATTTTCTTGTTTATGGATATATTTTGATACAACTTGGTAAATTTATTTATTTTATACTAAGCTATTTATATTTTATTAGTTTCACTGAAGCAGAAAACCTAGGTACTTGTTAAACCTGATCGTATTTAAATATATTTAATTGAAAATCATTTCAGGCAGATGGTGATTCGCTTAGTCGGCAGGTTTGATGTGGCAGGGGTAATTATATTATTACATAGATTTAATATAAAATTTAAAAAGTTCAAATGTCACTTCAGTTGTAGATATATTTACAAATCTAAAATCGGGAGGTATTATCTTGCATTTATGTTTACTAGGTGATGCCTTATCAAGCATAATGACTGTAAACAAAAACAATCAACTATGGATATAAGATGAAATTTGTTATGTTATACAACTTGATTCTCTCTCTTTTACTTCGGTTATTGAATAAAAATATAAAGAGTTAGCTATTAAGTTGTTTAATATTTATCAAAACCACATTAGCAACCTTTGCTCAGAATTCATACAAAGCAAAAGTTATGCCGCCAAAGTCTAATTTCCTCAAGTTTATTCTTTACTTGAATATGGATCAAGGATTAATTACCTCAAAATTGGCATAACTGAAAGTACAAAGTAAGGACCTTTCCCATTAATTCACTACCACCATGTTTTTTTTTTTCAGGTTGAAATATTATAATTGTCCTCGAATGCTGTTAAGGGTTTGGTTGTATTATTACCTTTGACTGTGTATTGTTACATTTACATACAACTTATAGTGGTAGAGAATTAGCGGAATAGATCCCTAATTATGATTAAAATTCTAGGAACATCTAGGAAAATTACACTACCTCAAGTTAGGATCGTTAAGGGAAAATATAAACCGAAACCGGTTTTTAAGGCAGCTTTCTGTATATTCACTCATGCGGAAACCCTCTTCGCAGATCTTTATCGTAGGTTGTACTAAATCGGCCCACGGGAGACGGCCGAACTTCTCGTGCGCCTCCCTGTATCCTCGCAGCTCTCCGGGAACCCCTGTCGCGAGCGCTCCTGTAACCAACCTTTGCTTAACCAATTCAATTCAAATTATCTTTATTCATCAAGTACATTAGAAATATATACATGAATAGTGTCACATTTCTTATAAGTTATAATAAAACATACATGCTTATAGTAAATGGGAAAAATTGTAAAAGAACATAAAACTAACAGACAATAGACAATAGACAATAGACAAATAATCTTTATTTACACATTCATTAAGAATAGTAGTAGCGTCAATTTACAATTTTTTCTAAATGTTTGGTTGAGGTGTTGTTTAGTCAAAGACCTGTTGATGGTATTCTTCTAAGGAATAGAAAGGTCGATTAATGAGCCATTGATGCAAAGCTGGTTTGAGGTCATCTTCTGACTTGCTTCTTAGATCTGGAGGTAGCCTGTTGTAGATTTTCATTCCTGCGTATGAAGGTTTCTTTTCAAACTGTGCCGTGCGATGTTGTGGAAGGTTGTACTGCATGGTGTTTCTCAGGTTGTGTTGGTGCATTTCGCCACGCCTTGTAGGGTTATTTCTTACTGCAAATAACACAACTTCCTGGATGTAGAGTGCTACAAGGGTAAGTACTTTGAGTGACCTGAATGCTTCCCTGCAGCTGTCGAGTCTGTGGAGTCCTGCAGTTATTCTGACTGCCTTTTTTTGTTTTCTGAGAACTCTTTGCATGTTAGTGGCAGAGGTTCCACCCCATGCTACAAGTCCATATCTCATATGCGACTCGAAAAGTGCAAAGTATGCTACTTTTGTTGTCATGTCATCTGTTGCATTTTTTATATGTTTAAGAGCATAGATGTTTGAACTTAATTTTTTACATATATTGTCCACATGAGGGGTCCAGGTTAAATTCTTGTCGAGTGTGATGCCCAAAAACTTAGCTTCATCTTCCACTTCTACATCTGGGAGTCGTGGCACTTCTTGAGATTTACGGCCAAAAGCTATTTGAGTTGTTTTAGACGTGTTTACTGCGAGATCATTGTTATAGCAGTATTGGTAGGCCATACTGAGTGACACATAGGATTTTACTTCTAGATTTTCAGCTAGTGGTTCATTAAACACTAAGGTTGTGTCATCAGCATACATAAGAGTAAGGCAGGCGTCTCCTATTTGTTGCGGCAAATCGTTGGTAAAAAGAATAAACAGTACCGGACCCATAACTGAACCTTGGGGAACTCCTCGATTTATTGGTTGAAAATTTGATCTTGTTTTTCTTATTAGGCTGTTATCTCTGTGCCTTAGTTCTACAAACTGACTCCTGTCTGTAAGGTAGCTTTGAAACCATTCTCTTAATATCCATGATACCCCCAGGGAATCCAGCTTTTTAATGATTAGCTGGTGGTCAAGGCAGTCAAATGCCTTACTGAAATCAAGAAAGATTCCTGTTGTTAGATTTCCTTCATCTAGGCTGTCAATCAGGGACTCAACCATCTGAATTATTGCTGTTGTTGTGGATTTCCCTTTTGTAAATCCATGTTGAAGGTTGTTTAGTAGGTTGTGATTTGTGCAGTGGTCTAAAAGTCTTTTTAAAACAACTTTTTCGTATATTTTGGAGAAGGTGGAAACGAGGGAAATTGGTCTGTAGTTGCTTGCTTCTAATGTGCTACCTTTTTTAAATTTCGGGTATACTTTAGTTATTTTAAGTAGTGAAGGAAAGATGCCTTGTTTTAGGGACTTATTTATCAAATCAGCCAATGGTAGTGCTAGTTCATTGCAGCAATGCTTAAGTATTTTTGACGAGATTTCATCAATTCCAGACGAGTTTTTTGCTTTAAGTTTGTTTATAATCATTTTAACTTCCTTCTCGTCTGTGCTTTGAAAGGAGGAAAACAGTGGACCTGTTTGAGTTATGTCAGGAGTTTGAGCTGTGGTCTTTAGGTGTTTTTGTTTCTCTACTGTTTTTTCTCCTACTTGTGTAAAAAATGTATTCAAATGCTCTGCAACATGGGTCACATTACTTATGAGTTGGCCATCTACTTGAAGGGTTATTTCATTTAGGGATGTTTCCTTTTTGGACCACACTGTGTTTATTGTTTCCCAGATAGCTTTAGATTTATTTTCAGCTTTCATCAACTGGTCAGAGTTAACCTTTTTCCGCATCATTTTCAAGTACAGGTCATAGTTCTTTTTATTTTCAATAGAAACCCTTCTGTCATCTGGATTTCCCGTCACCTCAAACTTTCTTAGAGCTTTAAGAAATTCGGCTTTAAGTCTCACTGCTTCTGGGTCCATGGAGAATTTTAGTTTATGTTTTCTTTGTATTTTTATCTTCTTTTGGGGGCAGGCTGCATCCATAGCTACTCTCACTATGTTACTAAAAGTTTTAAAAGCTTCTTCGGCATTGTTTATTGAGGTAACACTAAGCCAGTTTTCTTGACTGAGAAGATACTTGAGGTCTTGCAGGTTTTTATTTTTTAGACAGCGTCCAATTTGGGCAGGATAACTTGAGTTGATGTGTGAGTTGAAGTTTACAGTACAGAGTTGAGCAGTATGATCCGAAAGTCCTGCATTGATGATTTCTGGAGTGAGTTGGTTTGTGTCCATATTTGTACATATCCAGTCAATGGAGGTTTGTGTTAGATTTGTTATTCTCGTAGGTGGAAGCTGTAGTCTCTGGATGTTGTGCATAGCAAGAGTTTCATTTAAGATAATGTGTTTCCTGTTTGGGTTACACAAATCAACGTTAATATCTCCCATGATGATAAGAGGGGAATTTTCAATTTTTGTTTCCTCAATTAGTTCTGTAAAGGTGTTTAATGATTCCTCAAGGTCTCCGTTTGGGGGTCTGTAAGTTCCCAGTACAAACAGATTTGAGTTCTTGAATTCTTGAATTCACAGTTGATTGAAATCACAGTTAAAACATACTTTGATTAGTAGGGAAAGAAAAGTCAATTACAGTTCATCAAATGAATAAATAGCCCTGCTAATGAGAAATTTCTTAAGTTTATTTTTAATTTTTTTTATATTTACTTCTGCTTGTATGTCCTTTGGAAGTTTATTATAGAATTTTATTCCGGCGTATTTGGGTTTTTTTTCGAAAAGGCGCAATTTATGAGGACTTAATGCTAACTTGCCTCGATTTCTTGTAAGATAATCATGTTTCTTTCCAACCAGCTCTATTTCATGAAATCTGTTTTTAACGGATACCACTGTTTCAAAAACATACATGCCGAAAACTGTCATTATATTTTCTATTTTAAACATTCTCTTAACAGAAGTTCTAGGTGGAAGGTTGTAAATTATTCTTATAGCTTTATTTTTTCATTCTTAATATAGATTTTAAGTTTCTCTTATTGGTTGAGCCATAAAGGGAAATCCCAAATGAAATCACTGAATGTATGTATGAAAAGTAAACCAACTTCAAAGTTTCTATTTCGCAATAGTTTTTTAATCTAGTTAAGGCATATAATCCAGAAGAAACTTTTGAAAGTACTTTTTCAACCAACAGAGTAACTTGGTCTACTAATCAAGAGGGTTACCAGTTCAATATAACTGACAACCTTTTTTGACTAGAGGTGTCACCAGGGGCCAAATAAACCATCTTTTCAAATTCATGTATATTTACTGGGTAGCACAAAAACTGGGACACATGGATTAAAGCAGCGTGGTACCAGTGGAGAGGAGCTGCCTGTGACTGCTGAGCAACCTTAGCTTATTTTTTTTTTTTTTTTGCAGTGTTTCCAGTGAAGCCACGTGTTGATCTTCTAATATTAATATTCTAAATTACTAAAATGAAGTGTCAAAAGTGTTAAAACGATATTGTTCAAACTCGGGACGGATGTAAATGCGCGGATTGCCAATCAATTTTCCACATTACTTGCGTCGCAGACACATACAAGAAGAAATCTCCCAAGAGCTGGAAGTTTGATGATTGTTCTTTTGGAACCACGTCTGAATCAAGGACCAGTGAAAGTGTAGAATCAGATCGTGGACAAACAGCAGTATTGAACGCTGTTACCGCACTTTGTTCCGAAATGAACTCGCGATGGGATCGCAATGGCACCGAACAGGACCAAATGCAAATGGACATTAACAGTATTAACAGTGAAATACGTGATTTAAAAGTGGAAGTTACCCGTGTCGGAACACAAGCTAAAAATACCGAGAAAAACGTTGAACAACTGCTTGAAGATAATAAACGCATTTGTGAAGAATTAGCCAAAAGTCGAGAGGACTTGCTCGACCTTCAACATCTACGGCAAAATAACGTAATCGTTTCAGGTGTGCCAAAGTTGCCGAGAGGATCAGATGTATTCCAGTTGATAGCACAAATCGTGCATCTTATCAATGTCCCGTATTATCGCTCGGACGTCAACGCGGAGCACTGGCTTCCGAGCCAAGACAGTGACGACAGAACACAGCCTTTTATAATATCTTTTGTGTCACGCATCGTCAAAAACGAGTGGATAGCAGCGAGACATTTCAAAAGAAGTTTACTGGCATCAGAGTTACGCCCGAAGTTCCCAGATCATCAAATCTACATAAATGAACATTTGGCTCCTGAAACACGAACAATGAAATGAAATGAAATGAAATCTTCAACAAAGGACACAAGCTACTCAAGGAAGGGAAACTGGAGTCTGTCTGGACGTCCGATGGCCGAGTTCTTGTCAAAACGACCCCCAAGGGACGACCGACTCGAGTAACCAGGCTCCAACACCTAGACTGCGTGACGTCACTGCGCGGCAAATCCACCACCGACTACAGCTCACCGTCACCCGAGTCAACAGAGACATCGGCCACCACAAGGTCACCGACAGCTACCCAGACCACTAACACTAACGGATAGTTCAACTATTCTACATCAGGTAGGTGTTGTTTGCCATTTTGATGATATAACTATATACGGGAAAGATATGGAAGAAAATGACAAAAATTTACATAGTGTTTTGTGTAGGCTCCAGGAAAAGGGCTGGACACTTAACAGATCAAAATGTGTGTTCTGGCATGACAGTATCAGTTTACTAGGCCACCTTGTAACTAAAAATGGTATTAAGCCAGATCCCTCTCGTGTTGAGGCTATCCAAAAACTCAAGACGCCAACTAATGTTAAAGAACTAAGGAGAATTCTAGGTGTTGTCAATTACGTAGCCAAGTTTATTCGTAATTTGTCGACCATAGTTCATCCATTACATGCTTTACTGCAAAAAAACATAATTTGTTTGGGGCCTGATCAAGACCAAGCTTTGGAAAAGATTAAACTGTCATTGATGTCCCAACCGTGTCTCGCTTTATACAGCATGTCTAAAGAAACCTTCCTCTCAGCGGATTCCTCGTCATACGGTATTGGAGTTGCACTACTTTAGCTTCAAGAAGATGGAACTAAACGTCCTGTGGCCTATGCTTCGAGAAGTTTGTCATCAGCCGAACGTAATTGGGCTCAAATAGAAAAAGAAGCTCTAGCGATTGCATGGGGGTGTGAACGATTTGAACACCTCATATTAGGGTTGCATTTGCATATTGAGACAGACCATAAGCACTTGCTCTCCATATTAAAGATAAAAGACTTGGACAATATTACTCCCAGGCTTCAGAGAATACGACTCCGACTGATGAGATATACGTATGATATTACCTACACGCCCGGTAAACAGTTGATTTTGGCTGATGCACTGTCTCGAGACACAGAGAACTCTGAAGAGGAATGGGAACTTACAGAGGAAATCCTTGCATATATACAAAATATTGACACTACTCTAACATCAGTTTCAGATGAAAGGTTGCGAGAAATAAATCAAGAAACTATGAAAGATGAAACTCTAAAACATGTGTCACAGTATTGTGCGAAAGGTTGGCCAGAAAATCTAAGATTCCAGAGGTTGTATTGCCCTACTGGTATCATAGAGAAGATATAAGTGAGCAAAATAGTAAACTTCTCTTTGGAAGTCGTATTATAATACCGAATTCTCTAAGAGCTAATGTACTAAGAAGTATTCATGAAGGACATCAAGGCAAAACAAAATGTAGATATTTTGCAAAATTTACTATGTGGTGGCCTCGTCTTTCTCAACAAATCAAAGAACTAGTAGAAAATTGCAAGATCTGTGCAGAAAATCGCGCTACGAGAGCAGAGCCGCTGATACCAACCCCTTATCCGGACAGACCTAGGCAAATAGAGGGTGCCGATTTGCTAAAGTGTAAAGGTCACTGGTATCTCTTAATCTCAGACTATTATTCCAGGTTTATGGAGATTGCTAGACTAAATGATTTAAAAATGGGCACTATTGTGACATATACAAAGTCCATCTTCGCACGTCATGGTGTACCTGAGACAGTGAGAGCAGACTGTGGTTCTCAATTTGACTGCTTTCAATTCAAACAACTTGATCGTGATTATGGATTCAAATTGATTACATCAAGCCCAAAATTTCCACAAAGCTACGGCTTCATCAAAGCGCAAGTAAAAAGCTTTAAGTACCACTTAGAAAAAAGTGATGATCCCTACAAAATGCTACTTATGTTAAGAGCAACTCCTTTAGAAAATGTGATAAGTCCAGCGGAATTATTTTCGGGAGAAGGATCCGCACTTATGTTCCGATAATGTCTGATCAACTAAGACCCTATCTGGTAGACACTGAAAAGTTAAGGGAAAAGGAAGAAGCAAGAATTGATCGTCAAAAGATTTATTTTGACAAAAGACATAGAATTGGCTGCTCTACCTGATGTAGCTCAAGTCCATATAAAGGACAGGAATCAAGAAGGAACTATATTAAACAAACATCCTGCCCCTCGATCCTATGTAATTCAAACGCAAGATGGTTGTTTGCGGAGGAACAGAAGATCACTGCAAAGATTTAGCACTACTATGCCTTCTGATCACTCTCAACCAGCACTGCAGACCAGTCCTTCAGAACACCTGAGAAGATCAGAACCTTTCGATCATCCTGCAATGGCATTGCAGACAGTGTAGTGTTATAAGTTAAATTAAAATATAGTTTAAATAAGACAAATACTTTATTAGGTAGCTTTTACAATAAATCCAGATTCCCAATGTTTACCAACAAAAACTAAACAAATAATACTCTAACACCATATGTTTCCAATTCCAAACACATATTATGAATAACAACACATCTCCCCTTTAAAGATCGAACCTCCGAATAACAAAGATTTATACATCCGGACATCACAAACTCACTAATTTAACTGAAATTACGTTCAAAATCACTAAAACACTCTGAAAATATCTCAAATTCATTAAAAATGTAGGAACAAAATCTCAAACCAACTTTTATGTTAGCCACATCAGCTGACTACTTAATAATTTACTGGTTGGCTACTTAATATGGATAGTGCCTGGCTCTGTGATAGTGCGATTCTGACGCCTAAAAACGAGCAAACAATGCAGATAAACATTTAGGTGATAGCTCTCTTCCATGTCAAAGAACATACTACCCGGAGATGCTGTAAACTACCCGGCAGAGATTCTCAACTAAGAATCAGGAGCCCGTTTGCCTGCCTATGGAGGTTTACCCTGAAGGTTGGAGCTGCAAAGAAACTTACATCCAGCCAAATTGTAAAATGGGACGCGTCTTCGTATTCGCTGTCTCCATTGATACATAATTGAAGCAGAGATTCTCACGGGTTGTGGTGATGGGGAATTGATATTCATCCCAATGATTAATTTCATTAATTCCTAGCAGCTACCCGTTAGACTTCAAGCGGCTACAGTCCCCGTTGTACTTGCTTTGCCATGACGATTAATAAATCACAAGACCAGACGTTGTCCACAGCCTTGTGGAACTGAGCGGATCAGCATGTTTCTCTCACGGACATTTGTATGTTGCGTATTACAGTGTGACATCCAGCAAAAGCCTTCTTCATTCATGCTCCAGGAGGTGTATGAGGAGGCACTCCGATAAAACACAAACATGCCCTTTGTCCACAAAAGAAACCTAGGGTGAAAGAAGGGGATGATATTCTAAATACCATCATTTACACCACTTCTCATTTAGATGTTTTTTTGTAATTTAGTGTAAAAAATACCTCATTAGGTTTAATAGTTTAACTGTAATTATTTCCATATAATTTTTCCATTTGTTATAACTCTTTCTTTTTATCATTACTGTAAATTAAATGCTCAAATTTATACTTGACATGTAACCTCATTGTATTGTTTGTACTGTATATTTTATTCAACCAGTACGTAGAACGGGTACACAGCTAGTAAACAATAACAGTATGTAGATAGATAGAAGCAATTTACATCATTGGGATATCAATTAAAGATTATATGTAACAAAAGGTCAACGTTAGGCAGTAACAGGACCAGGGTTAAGACTGTTCCTTAAAAGTACCAAAGCCGTTGAAGTACACAAAATACTCTAAATTACGCAGAATCAGCTGAATGTTAGCCTAACTTGCACCAATCACATTTCAGTTTACATATCAACCTAAATTATAAGAAAAAATTCATAATTCTGAAACAACTAAAACCCATAGTTTTAAACCACATGGAATCCCTCTACATTTTCACATGTGACAGAATGAGAAAATTGAAAACAATTACATTAAAAAACCTACCATCATCAGACTTATGGAGCTTGCGGGCGAACATATCCTTCTTAGCGGCTCCTGGAGCAGTGTCTCTGGCAACCAGAGCGTGAGCGGTCTTGGTCTTGCGTTGGTACACTGTCATGATGAACCCTCCGCCCAGTCCCATACTCTGCATGTTGACCACCCCGTTGCAGAACAGTGCCGCCACAGCAGCATCCACTGCTGAACCTTCCTTGGCCAAGATGTCTCTGGTAAGCCACATAACAGGTTGGTGTAAAGATATATTAAAATAAGGAAAGCCAGAAGTACTGTTACCTTACTGTTCAGACTAAAAAGTAATTAGTTTTCAAAATTGTATACCTGACCTATGAGCTTTCTTTCAAACAGATGTTTTAAGGAACCAAACACAAAAGTTAATCGGGAAAACAGTTCTTCAAAATACTAGGTTACACTAAATTTTAGCCCTTGATGGTACATGGAAAGTGAAAATTTAACTGTTCTGTATAAAATCTAATCAGGTTTAGTTTCTCAAATTTGTAAAAAAAGGCAAAATATTCTCTAAAGCCAAGCTATGCAACTTTGAATGATAGAGTCTCAAGTTTTTTATGTTGCTTTAGAATGTGTCAGAGTACCAGTGTAGGGCTAGACCTAGTAACTTTAATACTTAATTACATTTTAGTGAGTTGACTTGAGAAAAAGACCCTCAAACTATAAGCAAAAAAATTAATTGTGTGGTAACTTAGGCTACTTTTACAAAATTTACTTCTTTTAACTATTGATACAACCATCTTAAAACAACCACTTGCAAACTGATGTGACATGTTTTTCCTGGAAAAATAATTGTGACTTGAGTGTTGATTGGCTTTTGGAGGTGGGCTTTTATGGGGGGATTTTGGGGGGGATAATTTTTTGCTACCTGTCATAATGATTGTATAGTTTTATATAAGCTGCCCAAAAAAAATTTCTAAGTACGGTGGTTCACTATCAACACAAATAAAATTTTGCCATTTGTAATTAAGATTGCATCTAAGAATGGTAAAAACACACCTTGTTAGACAATCCTAACATGTACGGTAGGGTAAAATTTTACTTGCTACTTGTTTTGGCGGTTCTTTAACTCCTCGTTCGTCAGGCTTACAAAAATATCCAGTTCTGGAGGTGTCGTCAGAGTACATTACAAACATTTAACGCAAAACGATTACAGGTAGGCCATCAATTTGCTGTAGTAAATTGCTGTCGGCAAGACTGGAAGTAAACTGAATCAGGTGAAGGTTATGATGTACCAACGTGGTCTCTGGATTGTCATCTGCGTTTTCAACAGCTGATATTGGACTATTGTAGTGACTGAGAAGAGTGTTGAAAATATTCATAATTAATAGAGTGTTTTCATTCAAAATTTGTGTGCTGTCCTTAGTATTATGTGTTTATATATTTCAAACTCTTCCAAAGTAATTAATAAATTTCCTTTCCCGCAGTAATGTCGAATTTTGAGACCATCATTTATATCCAGCATATAAAATGGTTATTATCAATCGTTTTTGTCAATAATTTTGAATGGAAAACTCAATTATGAATCCCTTTATATTTTCAACACTTTCCTCCGTCACTACACTACAATTACAGTATAACCAGTATAAATTTCGGCTTGTGCAGGCACTTGTACTGTCTGTGTTTGATTACTGTCTTCCGGTGTATGGTAATGTTATATCACTGGGAGACATGAGTCGGATGCAGAGGGTGCAAAACATGTGCGTCAGGTACGTCTGCGATCTGCGAAAATTTGATCGAATTTCATCAGACCTCACATCTCTTGGCTTATTGCCTATGGCTGACCTGTGCCTTTTACACACTTCCTGCATCATCCGGAGGGTACTGTCAGAGGAGAGACCTCAGTACCTGAAGGTAAGACTGAGAGCTCGCTCTGAGATGCGATCCCGATGCACACGGCAGGATGACATGCTGGAGATGCCCCGTGTGCGCTGTGAGTCCGACCGTTGTGGGTTTTCTTATTTTGCCCCTAAAATCTGGAATAAATTGTCATCCAGGACTGAGCCAGGGGTGTTGGACAGTGAAAAGTCATTTAAAAAATATATAACAAATGGTTTGAAGAATGGTAAAATAATTAGGAATAGAGAACATATTTTAATTTTTAATTAGCCTAACTTAAGATTTGAGAGTTGCTTTTGTTTTATATTATTTATTTATGTTGAAGTGAGTTGTTTTGAAAAACATATGTTGTAATATGAAAAACGCTCAAGAATAAAGACGATTTTCATTTCATTTCATTTCATTTAACCCATGTTAACCAAAACCCGGGTTAACCGAAATGGTTCTATAAAATAATATAGGGTTGTAAAATGCTTAAATAACTTCAGTTGTCTGTTGTAAAGTATTTTCTATCCGATTGTAACATTTTGTAGCTGAAGTAAAACACTGTATTATATAGACATTCTCTTAAATTCATTTTTCCTACACACTGTGGTAATACATTGGCTATTTTTAGCATATGATGGGTTAACCGAAAAATAATTATCCAAAACGGCTCTCCCCCCTTTATTTCGGTTTAGCGGGGTTCTACTTTAGTTCAATATAAGCTGTAGATAACACAGACGACAATCAGACAATCCAGAGACCACGTCGGTCCGCCATAACCTGATTCAGAGTACTTCCAGTTCTGCCCGCGGCAATGTTAACGCATGAATTGATAGGCCTATCTGTTATCATTTAGTGTTTTGTGTTTAATATTTGTAACATATTCTCACGAAACCTCCAAAAGTGGATCCTTTTGTAAGCCTGGAGATGGTGGATTTAAAAGAACCGCCAAAACACTACCATTATTAGTCTTAAAACTCAACCATGGGGTTATCAAAATGAATTATAAGATTATTGTACTTCGTCAAAAAACCTTTTGTGGTGCTGGTGGCAATTATTATATTGTGGGTATTTTGCCCGGCGGTTTTTGTAGAAGGCAGCCTGGGAGTGGCAAGCAACCCCTCCTAGTCTGCTCTATTTCGTGACCTAATTTTGAAACAAGATACTTTTGCCAAAGTATTATTCGTGCACTTAAAGTAATTTAAATTCTTAAGCCCTATAAAAATTTACACCACCTAAATAAATTGTACAGTTACAGTACTGTGTTGGAGTAGAGAATTCACCGAGTATATTGTTGAACGTTTTGAAGACGTTGCCTATTTTAATACTGAGCACCTGTTGGCTGACAATACAGATTCTAATTGTAAATTGAAAAACTTATAATTTGTCCATTACTTAGATATAACTTTAAGGTTATCTTATAAAAAGATAGGGCATTTGCCAGGAATTATTAAGGAAATTGACAGGAAAGCAGGCTTACCTTTAAATTTAAAGGTAAGCCTGCTTTCCTGTCAATTTCCTTAGATATAACTTTGTATTGTTAAATTACGTTTCCTATTAAACATTTAATTTTGATTATAAACAAGTTTGTCAAGTTTACTAAATACTTGAAATGCTCGTTTTATGTGTTAAAAGGGAAATTGCCAGGTAAATTGGAGGGGGGAGGGTAGGTTGAAATAGAGGGCAGCATAAATTAAGGGGGGATTGCGCCACTGGGCACCTCTGCCAGAAGATTACGATTTCACATGTCAAGTAAACTTGCTAAATAGTTCTGCTACAGTAGAACCTCTTTAATCCGAACTAATTGGGACCAGGGGTAGTTCGGACTATTGAATAGTTCGGATTACAGAACATATTGTTGTTTTTACATAACAATAGCTAAAACATTGCTAAAATTGATCAACATTATTTTGGGAAAAGTGAAAAATGTTTTATAAAGGAAAATACAGTGTTTATTTAATACAGTAGTAAACATGGTGAATAAACAGTACTGTAAATTAAATACAGTATAAAATAAAGAACTACAGAGGCCGCCAACCTCTTTTAAAAAAAAAAAGAAAAGAAAGAAAAAAACTGCCGTACTGTGTATAGAGTACAGCAATTAGGGGTTCGGATTAAAGAGTACTGTACATGACAAAGAATATAGTTCATCTCACGGGCAAAAGCGTCTTTCAGCCTTGCTCTTTTTTCGACCTAGGCTTCACCTCGGTCGTAAAACTTGAGCTCAAGTTGAAAAGAGCCACTTTATGCCCTAGTGATAAAATAAACTATTTCTCAGATAACAAAATCCACTATTCATTTTTAAACTTTCATAAAAAAAATTTTAAAATCAATATTAATTAAAGAAACTAATCAATAAAAGAATATAAATACAGGGTGGCTGAAGAGTAACTTGCCCCCCCTCTTAACTTTTCAACCATTTGAGATATTCAAAATCGGTTTGCGGCAACCTTCTTAGATATGAGGGGCTACAATAATGATCGTAAATTTTGAAAACTTTGCCCTTAGGGGTAGCGGGGGTAGGGGGTAGCTCAAAATTTTCAAACGACAAGTATAGTCGAGTTTGGTATCATTTTACAGGTCTTAACAAAACAATTAACATAAAGAAAACGAAAATCGGCCCACTAATAACAAAATGGCGCCGTAAAACGTATCAAATCCAAATATCCATGAGGGTGGCTGAAAATTAACTTGCACCCCCCTTTATCTTTTTAACTATTTGAGATATTTGAAATTGTTTTACGGCAACCTGTTTGGATCTGATTGGGTACAATAATTATGGTTAGTTAAAAAAAATTTGCCCTTAGGGGTAGTGGGGGTTGGGGGTAGCTTAAAATTTTCAAACAGGAAGTATGGTCGAGTTTGGTATCATTTTACAGGTCTTGACATAACTAAACAATTAACATAAAGAAAATTGAAATCAGACCATTAATAACAAAATAGCAGCTAAAAATGATTAAGACAATGGTTAATTTAATTAGAGTAATTTAAATAGCAATCTCTTATATTAAATTATCTTATTTAATTTATCTTAAATTATCTTATTTAATTTATCTTAAATTATCTTATTTAAATTAGGCCTATCTTAAATTATTTAATTATTATTATTATCTCTATAATCTCCTTTATTAAAATTTTTAATAATGGGGGGTGCAAGTTAATTTTCAGCCAGCCTCATGGTTATTTGATTTGATACGTTTTAGGGCGCCATTTTGTTATTAGTGGGCCGATTTTTGTTTTCTTTGTGTCAATTGTTTTGTTTCGTCAAGACCTGTAAAATGATTCCAAACTCGGCTATACTTGTTATTTGAAAATTTTGAGCTACCCTACCCCCGCTATCCCTAAGGGCAAAGTTTTTAAAATTTACCATAATTATTGTAGCCCCATATCTAAGAAGGTTGCCACAAACCGATTTCGAATATCTCAAATAGTTAAAAAGATAAAGGGGGGGTGCAAGTTACTTTTCAGCCACCCTGTATAAGAACTCTTTGAGAACGTTTGTTCAGTACAAGGAAGTGACAAATATTAGATTTTGAAGTGTTCTTTGATATCCTCTGTAACCACTGATTATCTACATGATCGTTTATATGATGCAGTTACCCTACCTGCCGATGCTTGAGCACGGGTTGCCATCAGTGCAGACGGCTGCCTTGCGGAAGCTGTGCTCTAAACTCGGGGAGGGTGGCAGTGGTTCTTCGGGGTCTGGAAGCTCCCTTGGAAGCTTGAGGTTGATGAAGCGAGGAGCGAGACCACCGAAGGTTTTCCGCCAGTTAAGACGGGTAGAGGAGGCGACTAAAATAACAACAACGCAAACTGCTGCGTAGCGCCCCTGTACACTGTACCTGGAATTAAAATATGTTGAACTTAGTCCCCTCTCTCTCATAAGTTGCTGGTTTGTTTAAGTTGAGGATCGATAAGAAAACATTGTTGATCGTTCTAAACTGAACCAAGCTTAAATAGCCTACTAATAAATATCCTGGCTAAACACAGGCTGATTTTGTCAAATCTGTCACCTCATTTATTAAACACTCATCCTTTGCTAATTTCAATCTGCTGTGTCATTGTAATAATCCATATTTATTCACGTAGATTATTGTGGGCTTCACTCACCTTTATTTTTGTCTGTGATGTCCGGGACTCGTCAAAACACACATATATAAAACACAAAATCGTCCACGGCATCAAAAGTCCGACGTTTCGCGGAACTCAAAAAAACGTTCCGCTTCTTCAGGAAACCTACTGCTACAGGTCAATACCTCAACTTTGCCTCTAATCACCCCACACACGTCAAGACAGGTCTAGCCATTGGTTTGATTAAATCTGTAGTACTGAGAAAATTTTTAAAACAGAACTGGAAAACATAAAAACACATCTCCAAAACTGTGGATACCCTCCCCTCATTTTTGCTAAGGCCTTAAAAAGCTTAAATAAAGTAAACATTCCAGAAGACCCTAGTACTAAGATAAAACCTCTGACCACTGTATGTATTCCATACGTTAAAAATATTTCTGAAAAATTGAGACGGGTGAACTCCAAATACAATAGGCTATAAGAACTGTTTTCAAAAATAAATATACCATCCATAGTCGTGTCACAAAACTAAAACCCGTTAATGAGCAACAAAATACAAAAGACATTGTCTACAAAAACCTGTGTTCTTGTGGCAGAAATCATGTGGGCCAAACTTCTAGGCCAGTTCAAGTTTGAATTGAACACATAAAAAAGGTCAAAAACAAGGATAAGTATGGCTTTAAGATAGGTGAGCACGTTGTAGAAACGAATCATATTGTTGATTGGGGTTCGTCTGCAATTCTATACAAGGAGTCTGATTGGAGGAAACGAAATACGGCAGAGTCGCTTTTCATGGCAATAGAAGACGAGCCACTCTCACGACCATCGGTGGATGTCAGTACAGTGTACAACATTGTTAAAAACGAACTAGAACAACTACGAGATAAGGCCAGGAGCGTGAATGGCTTATCAACAATGGACAATGCACCTACCCCCGCCCCCGCCCGTCCTCCTCCAAGCTCAGCTGATCCGGCAGTCGTGGTTAGGCGTTTGACCCGCGTGCGGGCTAAAAATAGTATATTTCCACCCTGAAGAAGCGGAACGTTTTTTTTGAGTTCTGCAAAACGTTGGACTTTTGATGCCGTGGACGATTTTGTGTTTTATATATGTGTGTTTATGTGTGTTTTGACGAGTCCCGGACATCACAGACAAAAATAAAGGTGAGTGAAGCCCACAATAATCTACGTGAATAAATAACACCTCGCCTAAAAGCATGTCGTTCAGAAACAGAATCCATATTTCGTACAGAGGGGATATTCAATATATATGTTGAAATATATTTATATATAATTTCTTAACAGAATTTGGAAATGCTGGAGACAGAGCGGGTTTCTATCATTATTATATAAATCCATCTATAAATGAGATGAACGGAACTGGGCTTTAAAATTTGTCAAATGATATTACTAAAACGACAGGTTGCGTATTTTAAGACGAAGATGTTCAGAATTGGTGTTGAATGGATGAACATTGGTTCTTTAGCTGTACCATTTGACCAAGGACAGTTGACAGCTATACTGTATTTAATTTTGAATGAACAAAAAGCTACTCGATTCAAGTATCAAGTAAGTAAGTACTGAATTTCCTCACGTTCGAACCAGCACCCTCTAGATTAGAATATTCACATATATACATAACATGTATTTCACCTCACTAAGTCATTCCCATCCATTGAATCAATAACAAATCTGCAATACTGCAAATGTCATTAATTCCATTTTACAATGTGCATTCATATTCACATGTCCACCATGGTAGTGTTGCAGCCCAAAAAAAACAGTGTCAGCAATCTCACACATAATTTCTCCCATTAAATCAAATCAAATCAATGTATTGTTGTAGACATTTCACAATGCATTAACAATGGTAACAAAATACATAATGCTGTTAATACAGCAAATGAATCTTACATGTAATCAATAAATATAATAAGATCTCGTATAAAATATATATATATTTATATATATGAAATCCAATGTATGTTTGTTTGTTTGTCCTTTATGGACTCTGAAACCGCTCGATAAATTTTAATGAAACTTTTAGACATTATTAAGCGTTATACATATATGTATAAAATGCAGGCACAATTAAATAGAAATATTCTGACATGTTAAAAATCCTCCACTGTATATGGACATTTTTGTATTTAAAATATTTAAATTATTAAATTATTTAAATTATTAAATTATTTAATTATTTAAAAATTATTAAATTATTTACAATAAATTAAATTTGTTATTTTCTTGAGGTTCTTGAGGTATTAGCATTAGCTAGTCAACAACTTTTATCATGTTAAGTGGAAAATTAAAGTAAATGAAACAAAATCTGTTCAAGTTACATTTACTATGTCTACAAGAACTTGTCCCCCAGTAACATTGAATAATGTCATGCTTCCACAATCCAACGAAGTTAAGTACCTTGGTATGCATCTCGACAGACGGCTTACATGGCATTCACACATTTGGAACAAACGACTTCATTTAAATTTAAAAACAAACAAACTAAATTGGCTCATTGGTCGAAATTCAAAATTATCTGTTGAAAATAAATTACTTTTATACAAAATTATATTGAAACCTATTTGGACCTACGGTATCCAACTCTGGGGAACCACTTCCAACTCAAACATAGAAATAGTTCAAAGGTTTCAATCGAAAACACTGAGAAAAATTTTACAAGCACCTTGGTTTGTCACAAATAAAGTAATTCATCAAGATACAAAATTACCCTATGTTAAAGAAGAAATAAAGAAACGAAGTGAAAAATACCAAAGAAAATTAGAAACCCATCCAAATTTCCTGGCAGTTAACCTCCTCGACAATAGTGAAGCTACATATAGGCTCAAAAGAGTTAATCCAATAGACCTTCCAAATCGTTTTTAGTTGAACTTTTTAACATTTTTTGTATGTTAGTGCACTTGATGGAGTGTAACTAACCCATGTTAAAATGGTTATCAAATTTACTTATTATTCTAGTATAGAATAGATTGTGAATAAATACTTGTTAAAAAAAAAATGTAAAAAAAAAATGTTAAGTGGTGGGAGTAACTTTGATAATTAGGGAAAATCACAAAGGTTTAAAATTCATGTTTTCGGCCCCTGGACTATATTGTTAAGACAATAATAGGTTTTTTACATACCTTCGTCAAATAGTCCAATATATAATATTGCTCAACAGCTTACATGTTTTGTTGCGAAGTTGTTTTTGACAAGTTGCAAGCTTTGAAAATGTTGTCTTCGCAACGAAACTTGTAAGCTGTTGAGCATATCATTTATTGGACTATTTGACGGAGGTATGTAACAAACCTATTACTGTATAAAAAGGGCTTAAATAGCTTTTGACCGTTATTTTTTACAGAAATTGGGGGTTGCACTATTTTGTTTAGATTTATATAAATTGACTGGGACAGGTGGCGTAGTCCTGGCATGCACTGTGGATTCGATACTCCTTTGGTGTGGATTAACGTCCGCACGACTGAGTACTACGACTATCCGCAGTACTATCCTGATAATTAGACCAATTCGTATATACCAAGGCGAAAATGTGGTTCGGATTCCACTATAAACTGTAGGTCCCTTAGTTGCCATTAGTTGTATGGGCTATTAATTAACAGCTGTGTCTAAGGAATATGTCGGCCTTAGTCACTAACAAGACTACAAGATCGCGCCACTCATCCTACACTCATCTCCATTCATACTTGGCTTAAAATACCTACTTTGTATGGTCGCCATTTCATCGAAAAGTATTAAAAAAGTATGTACTAATTTTAATAAAAACCACCTTTTTATAAAATTAGATTTTCCGTTATTTTATGGGTTTTTATAGGGAAATAAGTTAAAATAACTGTTGAACCGTAATTGCTACAGCAATGGGAGTTGTACAATTTTATTTAAAAGGTCTATAACATACAAATTTTTCAAAATCCTTTAGGCCATTTTTGGAGAAAATTCAATTTTACAGTTTTTTTTTTTATTTTTTGTTATCACTTACTACTACTGGTACTATATAATACATAAAATCAATACGCTCAACCCCTTTCATTTATCCCCTCAGTACATGGGGCCACTATGGTATAAGGGAGAAAGTAAAAATAATAATAATAATAATAATAATAATAGCAATAACTAGTGTAAAAATGGACCTTTTTTAATTTGGTACAAAGATTTACCTATATTTATTCAAATGAGGTCACAGACGAGGGTGATCAGTCTTTGAGGATTTTATTGGGTAAAAATTTGTGTTTCCAAATTTTACCCCCAACTCATAAAATATTGCAGTTTCTTTCTAAACTATTTTGTAGACAATAAAACAATAATTTAGAATATTAATGTGTGGTTTTTTGCCAAATGGTCACAAAAGAAATTATTCTTGTGCAGGATATATAAAGTCTAGAAACCTGTCTGTTAAGAAAATATTTTTATTAAATATGGATTTTTATTTTATAACAAGCTACGTTAAAGAAACACATACTTTAAACCATGGCTGTTGCAGCAATCCTAAGTACTCATCTCAAAATGTAATTTAAATAGTAAATCTGACAAAAAAATTAATCTTTCTTATCTAGTTATTATTAAATCATTTTTTATTAAAAAATAAAAAATAAATCTGACATTAAGGGAATATTTTACTGAAGATCCAACCAGGTAAATGGAAATTCGCTTAGTCTGCAGTTTCAAAACATGATCGGAAATGGTTGCGGTATTTGTAAGCAAAATTTAATGTAAACACATCAGTGACAGCTATAAAAAATAAACTTGATCCGAAGAGCTGTTCATTATTTCATAGATGATTTTGGAAATTCGCTTAGTCTGCAGGTTTCCTTAAAATTAAGTATGTTATAGTCCTTTAAATTCTGATCAAAATGGTACAACCCCATTGCTACAGAAATTAAGGTTCAAAAGTTATTGTAACTTATATTATTTCCCTTAAAGACCCATAAAATAAAGGAAAATTAAATTTTATAAAAAGCGGTTTTGATAAAAATTATTACAGTATGTTATATAATTCAAAACAAAATAGTGCAGCTTTAACAGCTGGAATGTCTAACTCACAATACTTTACCTAGGACTATTTACAATTAGATAACTCACATTTTACAGTTCTGGCAACAATTCAATGTGACAGAACTCAACGGCCAACAGCAAGGAGCGTTTACTAAACGTGGTCACAGTGAAGTTTAGTGGATGTGTTATTGCACTAGAGCACTTCTACACTTGTGAGATGAGTGTCATACCCATTAATCATATAGCTTATAATTATTAATCACTAAGTTAAACGTTGCCAAACTCATATAAAGTATTAGTTACTATATGTTACCAAGTTAATGTGTAACACAACTACTGCCAATCTTATAATATATTAAAAATTTTTGGTTTTTCTTTTCCGAGTTTGTTTGGCTCTTCTACCCGACCGATTTTCATGATTGAGGTCACAAGTTAAAGGTATCCACACACAGGATTGCCATCAAGCATCAGCATATATTTATCTATAGTTCCACTCTGCTTATACATAAACAAAATTTGCTCCCCATGTATTTATTATTATGGGAGTTAAATTTTTTTTAATCTTTGCCGAGTTTATTTGGCTCTTGTATTCCACCGATTTTCATGATTGAGGTCTCAAATTGAAGGTATGCACGCACAGATTTGCCATCATGCATCAGCATATATTTATCTATAATCCCACTCGGCTTCAACGTAAACAAAATTTGCTCCCCATGTATTTCTTATGGGAGTTAAATTTGGTTTATCATTTCCGAGTTTGTTTGACTCTTCTACCTGACCGATTTTCATGATTGAGGTCTCAAATTAAAGGCATGCACGCAAAGATTTCACATCAAACATTGGCATATATTTAGTTACTGTATTATTCTACTCACCTAAAAACAGAATTTGATTCCTTTTTTAATTCTTACTTCAATTTAAGATGTACTTTACCAGTTACATTTATTTATACTCCTATATATATTTTGGTCTAAGATCCTTGAGTGAAATACCGGCTTTTATTTAAGCTAAAAGTTATTCAAATCGGCAAGTTTCAAGCAAACGTAAGGTGAACAACCACCATAAAAATTATTTTTCATTAGGTTTTTCTATGATTAAAAATCATTAGCTCCAGTATTATTCATGTTTTTATATATGTTTTAGAGTGAAAATTTAAAAACGTAAGTTTTCAAGAAAAGCACTTTATAATAACTTTTTTTTCTTTTTTGGAACAGTTTTTATTTTTTTTATTTAATTGCCATTTGAAGTTTCAAAATGTCTATGGTAACGCAATATCCTTGGTGGTTTTTTATTAATACAGCATATTTGTCGGAAAAACACTAAATTCTGTCACGACCATAACGAACGTAAAAATGAATATTAAAAATAGTTAATGGTATTTTTATAAATATGTTTTGCTGTAAATGGATTTAGGTTTAGGGCCGTTTTGCAATAACCAACTCACTAAACTTTTGTTATTTCAAAAAAAAATTTAAAAACGTACAAAAATTGAAAAAGGCTGAAAAAATATCTTTAAGTTTGTGATAGCTCCAAACAAACCTTCCCGATATATGAAAAACCTTTATGTTTTTAAAGAGGCGTCCTTCTTGTGTGTATCAAACATTTTAATATTATAATATAATGAGTGGTAGTATTAAGGGAAAAGGTCCTAGCAGCCCAATCAAATGCTCCTAGCCAGTTATTTAGGGTGACAACCAAGATAAACGGACGTCTCTATGGATGTAAATGAGCTATCATAATGTATTGCAATGAAAAATTTTCCAAGCTGTAAGATAGATAGACGCAACAAAAATTTAGGTTAACTGTATTAATAACACCTGTTTCTAAATGTTACCAATTAACCAGCCTGTTGAGGCCCAATACGGGTTGTCATCAGGGTTACCAACCTTGAATGTTGGCTCATAAAATGCATGTAGTTCAGTTAAAGTTTGCGGTTAAAAGTTATTACATAATATATAGATTTAGTTTTTAAAATTCTCCTATTTTGGAGCAACAATTCTAATCACGAATGACGTTTACCTATTTTTAAAATTTTCAATTTCTTTTATTTTCTCTGTTACCAATAACCGTACAAAAACACTTTGATATACTAAATTATTTGTTTTTAAGCTCTTTAAAAAGGTCTAAAGAGAATAATTCCTATGCTAGATCATGCAGGTTCACAAACTCATTCAAGTTTACCCTGCCTTACACTTTAAACCAAATTTCATCGAAATCGTAAAAAAATTACTCAAGTTATCGCGTTCACGGACGTATATCAAATACATACATACATACATAAAATTTGAACGAACTGTGTTTTTGGCCTCTGAGGACTTCAAAATAAAAAAGTAAATCGGTCCAGGGCCTAGCTGTGCCACTTATGGAAATAGCCCTAAAGGGAAATTCGCTAAAAATTTAATTTATATGTAAATAATTTAGTGATTTTGGACATCTGTACAGTTGATATTGGCAAATAATTTAACCTTGTTGAATGCACTGGTAAAAACACTAAAAACATGCATTTTTAATGTTTGTCCAATGATTACTCCAGCCAAATTGAAGGAATTTTTCAATTTTTTTGTTCTTTAAAGCCTAACAAGAACTAACTATTGTTCTTATCATTCAAGCCTTTGCATGACGCCACATTTTGATGGATGCTTCTCATTGGCTGCTGTTGACACACAAGTGCACAAGTGCGTCATTGAATTGGCATGTTTCATGTAAGTTGCTAACGATACATATGTGTTTCTGTGCGGTGTAATTATACTAGAGAGGAAAAAGTCGAGAGAATTTATATGAAGAAGTTTAATTTATTAAGACAAAAAAATTAGTAAGTATTGTTATGAGAGGTGATTCGAGGTGAATGAATGCGAAGTAACTTGCACCCCTCTTTTCAACCATTTGAGATATTTGAAATCGGTTTGCTGCAATCTTCTTAGATATGAGGGTTGAAAATGGATAGTACGGTAATATAGTGAACGAGTTATCGTTTATGATTAAATAGTATTATTTTGTTAAACAAGGTTTTAAATTACTAAAATAGCAAGAAACAAATTGTAAACAAGAGCGTAATTATAGACAAAATTAATGAAATATAGACCGTCAGCTGTGCTGCGGTTACCATAGGTTCTGGCGCACACCGCTTGGAGCACCACGGTAGTTACGGCGTACGCGCTACGTAAACTACAGCGGTGTGCGCCGGAACCTATGGTAACCATGGCAACCGCAGCACGGCTGACAGTCTATATTTCATTTTTTTTGTCTATGGCGTAACGTGAAGTTGTGCAGGAAACTTTCTTTTTAGGGAAATAATTAGAGAGTGAGGCCCTGGGGCCCTTTAAAGTTTCGTATTTATCCATAAGATTAACATGGGAAACAAAATTTGTTATGGAACTCCAGCTGTTGTCAGAAATTAAAAGTGAAATATTTATTGATGGTATCCATAGTAACAAAGAACAAACCCACAAAATTTAAAAATGTAAACAAGCAGAACTAACTGTCAAATTAATTTTGATTTCACAATTCCACACAGCTGGTCCAAATATATTAAATACTGCATGATTATTAGAACAGGAACGGTATGGATCATAAACATAAATAAAATATGTCACTCGCCCGAATGTAAACATTTAACATTGATTAAATGGAACTATCAAACTATATGTTAATGTCATTAGTATGGGATTCTTTCTGATACGTCATTTGTTGACCAAGTCTGTCCAATATTTTTGAGCTGCTGTAATAATATTTTACAGGAAATAATTGTTATATAAATTCATAGATATAAGTAATAATTTAGATTCTACAATCATTGCTGTCATTAAAATTGTGTATCTATGTTTTTTGGTTTCAAGATGGCGGGTAGTAACTAAACCTATTAAAATGCTCTGTGTTTTGGTGTAAAATAGAGTTTTTTAATTGATGTCTGTAATTTAAAAGTTATAAAGATTTTTATTTAACATACCTTTAATTGTTTTAAAGTATTTGTTTCACTTAATAGTTTTCTCTGTCACCGTGAAAACTGTAAGTAGATATGCACTCAAGCTGACAAACTGATAACTGGAAACCTGATAAGACTGGCTGGACAGACAGACTTCTCAACTGTCTGGACAAGGATAATTGTCGTCTGCTATCAGCTGTTAGCAAGAGGGAGACTAGACTGATAACATCAGGATTGTGTTTTTGTTTACATTTTGAAAACTGCAACCAATTATAATTATTGCTTTTTATTTTAAATTTATCCTCAAGAAAATCCTTTTATTTTTGATTTCTCCAAGCAAAGCTTTTTTTATCATTTTATTCATAGATGATAATTTTATTAATGAACTAAACACTAGCTATTTATCTGGACATCTGCTGTTTTTTATTTGCATACAAAAGCTTTGAGCTCAGTAATTATGGTACAATGTGCAGTAGGAGATCTTGTGTTTGCTAAAATAAAGGGATACCCCATATGGCCAGCAAAAATTATGAATATTGACAATAAAACCTACAAACATGTGATCAAATATAATGTTACTTTTTTTGGTACAGGAGAATCAGCAACACTAAATAGTTCTGACTTATGTAGATATGACGAAAATAAAGGTAAATACCCACTTGATTCAGTGGCTCAAAAATACAAGGAAAAATATGGGAAAGCATTGAATGAAATCGACTCATATTTAATTTCCTCCACTGAGAAAGTAAACTCTAGCACCCCAAAGAATAATAAGTCCAATTTAATTAAGACTAGATTAGCTTTGACTGAACCGTGCTCAAAACTGAAATCAAGTTCTGAAATCACACCAATATCGGCTACAAAAGGGATTTCCCAGACCAAAAAGGTTTCTAAACCATTACCAGTAATGAAAGTGGCAGAAACTAATACTCCTTACCGCCAATCCATTTGTATGAATATATTAGAATCTAAATGGTTGACAGATGATTCGATCCAGATGTACTATGATGTACTCACAGCTAAAGTAACCAATGAAAACATACTGCTTTTGAACCCTGTAATGGTGCAGGCTGTAAAGTGCCTGCAGGATACAGACCATGTCATTCAACCACTCCAAATGCGTGATAAGTCATATATATTTTTTCCAATCAACGATGCTCTGGTTATTGACCAAGTGGGCGGTAGTCACTGGAGTCTAATGGTTTATGTAAAGGCCATAAAGAATTTTGTTTACTTCGACTCAAGCACAAAATATAACTTAAAGCATGCCCAGCTG